AGATAGATAGATAGATAGATAGATAGATAGATAGATAGATAGATAGATAGATAGATATTGTGTTCGTCTGTTCATCTACAGAAGCCTGATGATGGCAGATGAGATTTTGCTGAAACGTTGCTACAACTTTAAAAGCACAACTATAATGACATGGGAAAATACCCGAACAAAGCTGAATATCATACATGTAAGTACCCACGAAAACTTAAGAAATATATATATATATATCCACACACACATAAATTACCTTCAGAATAGAAGCATTTAATGTGTCTCTGTTCTTTTCAAGTTCTACAATCATGACAGATTCTCGTTTTCCACTTGTAAATGCTGGAGGTAATATATACCCTTTGTAAAAATAACATACATGATCAATTCCAATGAAAGCACTCAAAACAATGTAATTTAAAATAGCGAAAAGGTGATTACAAATGAATTATTTCTCTAGTACTCTCAAGTATATTTAGTATTCTCATGCATAATGTCAAGAATTTAACACATGCGCAAGGATGCAAGGGAGTGTGTGAGAGGCACCAAGGGTGAGGGTGTGCAAGAGATGGGATGCAGGTCAGGGAAGGTGTACAAGGGTACAAGGGGATGCATGACAGGCATGGTGAGGGTGGAATCCTCTTGGGATTGCTGAAAGGACTGCATTGTAAGCAGGAGCTAAGTAGGGGTATCCTAACCCACCTGTCGAGAGACAGCTTGTTAATTTTAACGCAGATAGCCTCCCTAACTCATTTTTCAAACTAGTGCTCCTCTCTATCCAGAATGGGGCCTTGGAATGGCCCTTTTCTTTCAAGTGCAGAAGAATTGTTTAATACTGTGCTGATGCATTGATTCTGTTTTGTGCCATGCATTTGTGTAGTGGTTGTTTTATGTCCCCCAAATTGAACAGCCCGCCTCTCAATAGAGGGGGAGGAATAGGAAATTACTTAGCTCCTGTTTACAGTGCAGCCCTTTCAGCAATCACAAGACTCATTTGCACTCTGATTCAGGTAACTGAGGAAACAGATTCACCCCCAGGAGTTTTCAAGGACCCTCAGATGTTAATAACTGGCTGACTGCAAAGAGTATAAATCCTTTCCATTCCTCACCAATTAGTTAGAACTCAAAAAGCTTCTTAGATGAAAAGTGAAACCTTTAAAAAAATCAAGATGGTCCAGTTGGTGTTTGGGGGAGGAAAAAGCACCTTTTGGGACATGTAAAGCAAGCACATCCTTTTTCAACATATTTTAAGCTTCATATACCATACAGTTAAAATAAAACTTTTAATTTATCTGATCAATACCTTTCATGAATGCATCAGTATTTCTTCCTGACCTTCTTAATGCTTCAGAGTCAGTAGAATATGCTGTCTTTATTACTTTTTCAGGAATACAACATAATGTTGCAGATACACTAATAATAAAATGCATTTTAGCTAACATAAAATTATCCATGATTTTTGGTTCACATGCTACAGTCCATGATGAATGTATAGGCCTGTTAAATACTTCTTCCAATACCTTGTAAATTAAAAAAAACATTTTATGACAAATAATTTTCTTTTAAAGAATACACATATAATATTTATTTTTAAGTAAAAGAAAATACCTTTCTTTGAGACCAAATTAAAATCTAGCAAAGACATAGAGAATGAAACATTTCATGCATTTTCCATCTTCCTTATATATCTACTTCCTCCATTTAAAATATGATCTTATATGAATTCAACCAAACTCATTTATGCTGAAGAATCACACATGTAACCATTCATATCAGTACTGACTTAAAATAATGTTAAGATTATGAATTACAAGGAATCTTATAGGCCATCTGCCCCAATCCTTTTTACTTGAAGAAATTCACTAAGCACATCTGCTAGGTGGCCTTGCAGCCCATTTTAAAACCTCTAACAATGAGATTTCATTGCTTAAGCTTTTATTGTCAAGAAATTCTGTCTAAATATTCCTTCTTTTCAAATGTCAGTATATTAATCATTGTCCTGCTTTCAGTTTCAACAAAGAACAGTCCATCTCCTTTTTAAAAAGATATTTATGGCAATTATTAAATCTTCTGCTATGCAAACTAATATGCCCAACTCAAGCATATCTGTTAAACCTCTGCTCCATGAGCTGCATTTGTTACCAGTTTACTTCTGAGTCCGATTCAGGATGCTGGTTTTAACTTCACAGCAGGGAGCCAGGTTGAGAAACTGTCTCTGCCTAAGTACATCTACTTGTTCCATTAAATCCAGCAGAAGAGATATGATGCAGCAGGAGTCATCTGCAAAGGAGCTACATCTGGGGAGACCTGGGAGTCTTTTCTGGCACAGCAGCTGCCCAAACTAAGACTGGCACCACCCCGTCATCCTTCCAAAACTGCTCAAAATATGATTATGTCAATAGGCTTGGGAATCTTAAAGAACATGATGGACTAGTGAGGTTGCTGTACTGTTTTAACATTGAATTCTTTCAACTACTCTGTTAATAGTAAATATTGATGATTTTTTAAAATTGTTTTTAATATTATGCTTGTTTTTTATTGTATGCCACCCAAAATCTTGTCTTATGAGATGGGTGGCAATATAAACATGATGAGTGAGTGAGATAGAATGAAGAAGGGAATTAATTATTTGAAAGCGCTTTTCCAGCCTATTCCAACTTCTTCATATCAGAATAATCCTAGATCTTTCTAACACTCATTGCAACTAAGCTATCCTATTCTATAGTTATGTACTTGACTTCTCTTACCCAGGTGTGAGATCTAACACAGCTGGACATTTTCCTGTTGGATTCAAGTCTGACAAGGTAATTTTGAATTGTAACTTTTGCCTCTTCAATATTACCCCATTTTCCTAACTGATATGATCTTCAATTTGACGAGTAAACCATTCATATTCTAGGTAATGTATAAAAATTGCAATAGCCCTAGGCACATGTAGCCCTGTGGGAGTCCAATTTATACTTCCCACTTGGATTATGCAAAAGATTTATAACTACATTTTATGTGGTTGTTCAAATAGTTCCAAATTACTATTTCACAATTTTACATATGCCTATCAACAGTATATACCATTTATGATGTATTATATTTCTAGATATTTTAATTGTATACAGGCAGTTGTTAAAAAGGAGTTAAAATTTCCCAACTGAAATTATACTGAACTTATTTAACTGCAACAAACTGCACTTTAGCACAAAACAGTAACATGTGAGATACCTCTTGTGAAATAGCAGATTATTCATGTAAAATAATACATGAGTTATCTCAAATACATCTACAATAATGCAATGTTTCTCATTTTACAATTTACATAGAAAGATTTTGAGTTACAAGTTGCTGGTCGTGTGTAAAGAAACACATATGACCAACACAAAATGACAGAATTAGTATGAGTTTGCTACAGAAACAATAAATCTATCTGAACAAGACAAGGACAATGTCAATATCAGTATTAAGCGCTATCTTACTGATATCAATTTGCAGCATTATAGAAAATATCATTACTGTTCTGTTTTGAGAAAGGTTTTCAGTTGTGAGAAGGACTAGCTTCTATAGGGAAAGAAGTAGGTTTAGATGTTTAGATGTAAATTAAACTTGACCTTATATTTTGAGAAAATCTTCTCCCAAACTGGTTAGTATTTATATCACACTTTCATACTAAGAGCATGGTCTCCTCTTAGTACATGTAAATTAGGCATGTCTGCTTTTCAAAATAGGTCAGACACGAAATCAAAACCATGAGTACTAACATTACCTTTATTGTAAGGTTAGAGTAACAAAAACCTGCAAGCATTTCTCCCTTCCTCTGCCTTTACTTTCCCAAGAACTAGGAAGGGTCCTTCTAAGACTCTTTCCACCTCCCATTCCTTTTGTGGGCTGAGATATATCTGTCTGACTATTATCTCAGCTTCTCCTTTTTCTGTCTCTCAAGTCTATTCTCACAATCCATTGAAACTATAACACTTTACCTGTAGATTTCCACTTGTCAAGAGGGTTTGTGATGAATCAAAATTTGGACAGATCTAAATTTAGTAAAAAATAACAATATAATTACTATATAATTATACAGTAAGAATGGAAAACTGAAGTAATAACACTAACAAAATATAGCTTTACCTCAGTTCAAATTCATCAAATAAATAAATATAACATTCTGTACCTATATTGTTTCTTTTTGCTATGTGAGGGTTTTAAATTTTTAAATGATTATTCATATGGCAGAAAGAGAAGAGAGAGAAGAAAACAATCTTTTGTTTCATTAAAAATGAAAAAGATAAAAAATAAGCCAAGAGCTGTAAGCCCTTCAGAGGCCAAGTATTCTACAACTAAATGCAAGGGAGTCTATTTTCTTGATTTTAGGCTAAGAAAATAAAATAAATGTCTTTACCCAAACTTTTGTAGTACGTTTGTATATAGTAGGCAATTTCCAAGGAATTTTATCGCCACGATTAATAATACAAAGTTCATGAAAGGCATCAGAGAAAAATCCCAAATCTGTAAGAACTTTTATCTAAGAATAAAAAGAATAACTAATTAACATTCATATACTATATACGTATGTCTGCTATACTGGATGCTATTTCTTAAACTATAGACGCTTCCCTGAGACAGCCACTACTGTATAATTAATTGTCTTAGCTATGGAATTGGTCTTAAAACAATTAGTTTCCTCTCATAGATGATTTCTAAAAGAAATCATGATGGAATAGAACTAGTTGCAACAAGTATTTCAACGAGCTGTAGCACAGTGGTTAGAATGCAGTATTGCAGGCTAACTCTGCCCACAGCCAGGAGTTCGATACTAACCAACTGAAGGTTAACTTAACCTTCCATCCTTCTGAGGTCAGTAAAATGAGGACCCAGATGGTTGGAAACAATACATTGACTTTTGGAAACAGTTCAAAGAGTGCTGTAAAGCACTGTGGAGCGGTATATTAGTCTAAGTTCTAGTGCTAGTGATATTATCATGCTATGTTGTTATTCTCAAGTTATTAAAGAAATATGGAAAGCTACCCCACTATAACAAATAATTCAAAGCAAATTTTACAGGTTCAATTATGCGTAATGCAATGGCATAAAACTGTTTGCTAGAGAACAGTACCACATTATAAATCAGTCCCTGCAATCCCCTACAATTTAAAATGTGATGATTATTCAGATTTCATATGGATGAGCTCCACTCTGAAAACAAAGTGTAAATTTTAGCTCTACCTTGTAGGTCTGACAATATCCTACAACTTCATCACTATAAATTTTGTCAAAACGCATGTAGTTTCTGTATTCTAAAATAGGCAATATAGGAATATGCACATAAAAGAAAAAAAAATTTTCTTGCCACAGGTAGCAGTTTATCAACAACAGAAACATATCTTTTCCAGTTTATTTCTATAAATAACTATTCTAGCCCAGGAAAAATTTAGCACAGTTTATGAACAGCAACAATAGTAAAGAATAAATATGTCTGCTTGTAGTCTTTTCTCTTACTAATGCATGAATGCACATTGTACAATTCTGTATTGGTTATCTGCCAGCAACACTCCACAAACAAGCTAAAATAATAAGAGTCTGAAAATTCATGCAGATGGTACACACTGAAGTTCAACACATAAACAAAGCAACATAATCCTTCCATTTAGTCTGCACAAAACAATCAAAATCAGAAACACGTAGATAAAATAGAATAACGGAATTGGAAAAGCCTTGGAAGTCTTCTAGTCCAACCCCCACCTCATGCAGGAAACCCTATACTAGCTATCAATTTTCCCAGGAGTGGGTATCCTAGCAAATTCACCCCAAGGTCAGATCATGCAATGCTCAGAAAAAATTGCAAAAAATCCAAAGTTACATCTCAGATTCTACAGGCCTCAGTTAGCATGTTAAATGTTAAAGTTCATGACAGTACAATTAGAAAAATATTGAAAAAGTATGGTTTCTTTGGAAGGATTGCTAGGAGAAAGCCCTCTTTAAAAAGAATATGGCAGCAGGCTTAGGTTTGCAAAGTTACATCTGAACAAATCACAAGATTCTGGAACAAGCCTTTGGGGCAGCAAGACCAAAGTGGAAACGATTGGCCATATTGCAAGAGTTTGGTTTGGCAAAACCCAAATACAGCATATCAACACAAAATTGTATACCAACTGTCAAGCACAGTGGTGGATGGATGATAATTTGGGCTTGTTTTGCAGGCCCAGGCCTTGGGCACTTTGCAGTCATTAAGTCAACCATGAACTCCTCTGTATACCAAAATATTTTTGAGTCAAATGTGAGGCCATTTGTCCAGTAGCTAAAGCTTGACTGACATTGGATCATGACAATGATCCCAAGCAGACCAACAATTAACCACAAAATGGCTGAAAAAAGAAAGAATCGAGGTTTTGCACTGGCCAAAGCCCAAGCCTCAACCCCATTGAAATGCTTGACAGGATCTCAAGCGAGCTGTGCATAAACAAATGTCCACAAACCTCAATGAACTGAAGCAATGTTGTAAAAAAGAATTCCTCCACAATGATGTGAGAGACTAATGAAGTCTTACAGAAAATGATTACTTCAGGATATTGCTGCTAAAGATGGTTCTACAAGCTGTTGAGCCGTAAGGTGTACTATTTTTTTTCATACATGGCTTCTCTATTTTGCCCTTGTTTTTGTAAAATAAATGATGACATGGCATAAAATGTCCTGTGTTGTTATTCATCTGAGGTTGTATTTATCTACTTTAAGAACTGCTAAGGACCAGGTGATTTTTACCATGTCCTGATACATAAAACAACAGAACTCAACCCGGGTGTACTTTCTTTTTCACATGATTGTATATTTATGTAAACATGTATTTGTAAATACAGACACAAGTCCAAGTGAAGTAATAAGGAGAGTTTGAGTATCTGTTCCTGAAATGTAGCAGTGTAGTTCTCACAAGAAATCATCAGATCCAAAAGTTGAATGAAAGTCCTAAGAATTGTTTTCTTCATCACTCACTGAATTTAGAAGTTTGTGCCAGAACTCTTCAAAAAGGGAAAAATAAAAATTAAACAGTATTTAAAAAGAACATATAATGAGGATTGCTTGGCTTTAGCAATCTGTTTTCTGTTTTGACAACTGAATGGCCTCACGAAATGGCACAATAACCAAGCTGCATTAAATTATTTTTAATAAAATATTTTGGTACATTTACCTTTAGAATCCTTCCTTCAATACACTTAATTTCATTTCGACAAATTTCTGACACAAAGTACTGATATAATGTGAACAATGGCAAAATCTGCAAAATAAAATACAACAATGTATTTATTTATATGTACATATAACTTTCTTCAACTTTTGTGGTACAGTTCAAAGCAATATGCAATCCAAAGCATGAATAGTGGACCTGGGCAGATTGTTCAGCAAGACATTTCGCTAATGTGTAAAGCTCATCAGAATTTTCAAAGATGTAGAAAAGAGATCTCAATTAATGTAATATTTAATGCCAGTACAGCAGTTTGGTGGTAAGAAAAAAATGCTTTGTATGCAGCAGACCTCAAGTTTAATCTCTAGTGAGTCAAAGCTGAAACGATACTTTGGCATAAGGCAGCTTTCGATGTTACTGAACATAGCTCTAAAATAAGTACTAAATTAGTATGTTTTGAATTGTGAATATAAATTTTAATTCTATTTTAGAAAGCTAATTTAGCAAATTTTAAGTTACGCAATAGGAAGCAATATTTCCATGAAGTATCTTCATATTTCCTCCTCTTCCCCTTCCTTCCCTTTTTTTAATTTGCCAGTGTAGCTTACAATTCTGGTATTTTGTCCTGCCCAAAAACTTAACAGGCCCAACCCTGCTTAGCCTCCCAACCCAGATAGATCAATTTACTGAGACTATATACAAATGGGGGGAAATCAGTTCAAGAACACATTAGACAAACTATATCCTTACATGACAAATTTTATGAATTTTATGATTTATATCTATACATGCAACTTTATTTGTAAATTTATTTAGCAAGTGTATTTATTCTAAGCAAGCAACCATAAAATCAGTTATATAATTAAAAAGATGCATAACTGTATGTATTATTGGCTGTTTGATCCCATGTAGTTAAGAGTGAAAAAAAAACATGTTAATCAATATTATAAATTTTACCTCTAAGAAGCATAAATATACTATATCCTTTATAATACTTACTATTAGATTTTGCCTTCTGCAATGCAATTCATGCAGAACAAAACTGAGATTTGCAATAACTGTTGCAATATCAGCTCTATAGTAATCCACAAATAAATCAATGCCAGGAATTAATATGTCTGTTTCATATTGTGCAAAGTCACAATCAGCTTTAGGATGTGGTAGTGAGGCTCTAAACAAAGACTGAAATACAGAATAATAACAATATTCAAGTTCTATACAGGTATAAACACATTTAATTAATTTCTAATTCTTCAAACTCCTAAAATGAAACCAAATATAATACTGAGCTATAATAAACAGGATCAAGCCACTTTGCAGGATTGCCTTACTTTCCAATTATAAACTGTTTTTATTAACTAAATATGAGGTGAAAGGGGTTTTTATACACAAATCAGTTAAAACAACTATTTAGTTTCAAACACATATTAGATTTCTATTAAGGTACTTCAAAGCATCTGAAAGAAGTGTTTTGCAAAGTGCATTTGTCTGAGCAAAGTTCGCTTCCTCAAAAATTGCACTCATCAAGGGGCTCATGCAACTATTACAAAGACTATACCTTGCTTTCTTCACATGCAAGCAATGGTAGCACTTCCTGCAATTTTTAGAAAATAAAATTGCCGTGCATCTGCACATATGCAAAGAGGGAGAGCATTAAGGTGCTGTACAAATCTCCCAATTACTTCAGTGGTTCCAAAGGATATGCTTTGCTCTCATTACTGTACAGCATGTTTTTCAAATACTTTGCACAATCCTACTGCTGATGCATTTCCACTTCAGTGATTAGAGAAAATAAATTGATTAGCTACATTTGATCTGATACTAGGTAGTAGGAAAAACATAAGCAAGAAAGTGGAAGAGGCAGGAAAAGTAGAAGAAAGTAAGCAGAGAATGCTGATATTACTAATTTTGAAGTAACGCAGACCTGAATTGAACAAATTAGTAACTTTATTATCAAAAAAAAGATAAGCCTAATTATTGCCAAATAAGCCATGGTGAGCATTTGTTTGTTTTTTAAATTTTAACCATAAAAGTAGCTGGAAGAGAAATGTCAATTTAAGAATATAGGGAGAAAAGGGAGCGAGCAGGGAATAAATCTCTTGAATGACTATTCCAAAAGATCCTAAAACTCTAGAGATCAGAGCCATCTGATTAACTTCATTCGTCAAGGCTCACACTCAAACACAAGTGCCCCAGGCTCAAGCGCCCTCTGCTCATGCTCCAAGCTCCATTTGCACGAGTGGAAGGCACGCATACCTGATGCTCACATCAATGGAGCTGTGCATGTGCGTTTGCACCTGCCATTCACACCACCACCCCTCCCCAGGCCTGACCCCCAAGGTGGAAAGATTGCGGACCGCTGCAATAGACTATTTGCTGATCCATGGATTGAATCCTGTAATGGACTGAAAAGTATATACAGCACTATAATGCAAAACATTGAGCAAGTGTTCTGCATTATTTGTTTTGAAAATACTAATGTTGGTGGAATTATAAAGTATTCTACATTTCTTTCTTCTCTAATAGGTACTATTGGCTGATTCCTTCAGCTGGCTTATTTCCTGACTTGCATGTATAAATGAAAGCATATTACTTACATATTTGCATAAGAATTATGATAAGCATTTTATCTGTAATATAGCTCCATGATAATCACCAATTAATGTTATTTGATATCAAAGTACTCTCCAGATTTTCCATAATATATAAAGCAAGTAAGTAAATTAAATAAATGAACAAATAAATTTATGTGGGCTTATAATAAACAATGCCAAGCATCTATCCATATGCATGCACATTTACCATATCACAGCATAATTTTCTATTTGCAATTCAATAACGAAAGTTTATCTACAGATTACTATATAATGTCTAATTTTTAATACATATATTAATTTTACCTTGAAGAGTATAGCAGATAAAATGCAGGTTTTGGTTCTTAGTTTAATGTTATATTGTAATGAATGCCTAAATGCAAAAAATAAGCAATATAGTTAAACAGTGTTGTTTGTGACTGATTTACAATACCAAAGTAAGTATTTGAGCTTTCAAATAAAGATATTTTTTTACAGATTTCATCAAGTATTCAAACCTCCTTCACTCTTGTCAATTTTGTTATGCTGCAGCCTGATTCTACAGTTGTTGAAATACATTTTTTGCTCATTAATCTACACTCAGTACATCATAATGACAAAGAGAAAACATAATTTTAGAAATGTTTGTAAATTTATTTTTAAAAAGTGAATATCACATTGGCATAAGTATTTAGAACCTTTGCAACATTATTTGATATTTAACTCTGATGCCTCCCCCATTGCTTTTGATCATTGCTGACATGTTTCTACACTTTGATTGGACTCCATTAAATTGATTGGTCAGGATTTGGAAAAGCACACACCTCTGTGAGACCTCTCTATAGAAGGTCTCACAGCTGACAATGCCTACTGTAGCAGTGCAAAAGCCACAAGGTCAAAGAAACTGCCTGCAGAGCTCAGAGACAGGATTATTGTAATGCACAGATCTGGTGAAGGCTACAGTTAAATGTATGCTGCACTGAAGGTTCCTAAGGGCACAATGGCCTCCATAATTCTAAAATGGAAGAGGTTTGGAACAACCAGGACTCTTCCAAGAACTGGTCACCCACTCAAACTGAGCAATTGGGGGGTGAATGGCCTTAGTAAGAGAGGTGACCAAGAATCCAAAGGTCACTCTGATTGAGCTCGAGAGATTCTATTTGGAGATGGGACAGAATTCCAGAAGGACAACTATTACTGCAGCCCTCCACTGATCTGGGCTTTATGCTAGAATGATTAGACAGAAACCTCTCATCAGTGCAAAACTTATGAAAGCTCATTTGGAGTTCGCAAAACAAAAGCATCTGAAGGACTCTCATATTGGGATGAACAAGATTTATCTCTGATCAGATAAAACCAAGATTGAATTGTTTGGCCTCAATTCTATGTCTGGAGGAAATTAGGCACTGCTCATCACTTGCCCAATATCATCCCAACAGTGAAGCATCATGCTGTGGGGGTGTTTTTCAGCAGCCGGGACTGGTCAGGTTTGAGGGAAAGCTGAATAGAGCAAAGTAAAGGATATTCTCAATGAAAACCTGTCCCACCGCACTCAGGATCTCAGACTGGGCTGAAGGTTCACTTTCCAACATGTCAACAATCCTAAGCATACAGCCAAGACAACTCAGGAATGGCTTAGGGACAACTCTGTGAATGTCCTAGAGCGGCCCAGCCAGAGCCCTGACTTGACCTCTACTGAACATCTCTGGAGGGACCTGTAAATGACTGTCCACTAACAATCACAACATGACTGAGCTTGAGAGGATTTGCAAAGAAGAATGGATAAAAATCCCCCAATCCAGGTGTGCAAAGTTTGTCTCATCATATTAAAAAAGACTTGAGGGAATAATTGCTGCCAAAGGTGCTTCAACAAAGTACTGAGTGAAGGGTATGAATATTTATGCCAATGTGATATTTCAGTTTTATAGATATTTCTGAAATTCTGTTTTCACTTTGTCATTATGGGAATTGAGTGTAGATTAATGAGCAATGAATTTCAACAACTGTAGAATCAGGCTGCAGCATAACAAAATTGACAAAAATGAAGGGGGTCTGAATCAAAGGTAGTATTCAGCAGGTTCTGACCAGTTCTGGAGAACTGATAGCAGAAATTTCGAGTTCGCAGAACCAGCAAATACCACCTGACTGGAGATTTGACAGCATCCTTCCCCTGCCACACCCACCAAGCCACACCTTCAGAACCAGTAGTAAAAAAAAAATAATGATTCCCACCACTGGTCTGAATACTTTCTGAATGCACTGTAATTTCTATTAATTAAGATATCTGAATACACTGTACAGAATTGAGGAGATGCTAAGGGATTAGAACTTAAATGCAATCACATGTAACAGCTACAAATTGGAGAAAAGTGGAGATGAGCACTGCCCTTATAGCAGCAATGACTAGTGGAGTCAATTCTGCAGGGACTCCTTTACCTTTTTTATAATTTTGAATGGTCAGCATTTAAGTGAGAACTATATGTTTATCACATTTGTTTTATTTCACAGTTCTGAGGACTTCAGCTGTATATGCAGTGTGTTTCGATTTACCATTTATATTTTCAATTTTATTATTTATTTTCCCAAACTTACTATATTTCTTTATAATGGAAATCTAAGATGTAAATTTAACATGTAAAAATTTTATGTTATTCTACCTACCAGGAATTTGTATAAAATCATGTGACAATGCAAAGATACAATAAGAATATAACATGATATAGGACTGTAAGATAATTTTTTAGTTGGAACAGAGAAAGTCCTGTATTCATAATAAATGTAATATGTATGAATCATTGGTCTGAATTTCTGTGAAATTAACTCATTAAGTAAAAAAATTAAATTGTAGATTAGCAAATAGAAAAAATACTCACTGAGCTATTTTAGCTGCTAAGGTTGCTCCTTGTAGGCAACCCCAAATTCCAGCCCGAGAAATAAACTTCTCAGAATAAACTTGAGATGTTTCTGACAAATTACCAGTGGTTTTCTCTGATGAGTCATCTAATTCTTGCCACTGATGAAGTGCATCATCCATTTTGAGAACTGCATCAAGGCCCTGACACCAGCATTTGAAAGCAATTCTGAGATACATTAGAACTTACATTACTGATATTCAAATGGAAGGTAGAAAGGTAATATTTTATTTTGCATATCTCTATGGTTAAATGCAATGGAAGTAGAAAGTAATAGAAAGCAAATAAAGTACACATAGTCCTTGACTTATGACCAAAATTATGGCCTGGCATCTCAGTGATGAGTTAAGTTGTTGTTAAATGTGATGTCCACGACTGCTTTACTCAAGGACTGTGATCCCAGCTCTCCAGTAGCATTTGTTAAGCAACCATGAGGGTCATTAAATGGAAGGAATGAAAGAGCTACCTACTGAAGAAAGGCAGAAAGGTCCTTTCTTTGAGTGAAAGGGAACTCCTGTGCACAGCTGAAGAAACAAGCCTTGGATCTTCTAAGATCCCTGCTTTATTTTTCCAGTACAGTGCAGGAGTTCCCCTCTGCAAATGAAGAGAAGGTGAACTCCTGTCCTCAGATGCAGAAACTGAGTGGGGATCCCAAAAATCCACATTTCATTTCTGCAGCTCAATGAAGTATGTCAGTCCCCCACCCCACATGAATATAGGATCTAAGATAACTCGCCATCACCAGCTCGTCATGGCCAACTTATTGCTGCAGCTTGCCACCACCAACTTGCCTCTGCCAACTCACCACCATGAAATTGCCACACAACTCCACACAACCAATCGACATGGGGTCAACTCACTGCAGGCATCCAGAGAGGTGGGCAGGCAGGTAAGTAGATAGACAGAGCGCAGAGCAAATTGGGGCAAGCAGCAGGGTCTTTCCATTTTCACACCACATGTAGCACAGAGCTACTGCTGATGCCACCACTGTGCCGAGCGAGAAGCTACTACCGTTGATGTCGCCACCATGCCAGGTACAGAACCACTGCTGCTGATACTACACCAGGCCTGGAGCTACTGCTGATGCTACCACCATGCTGGGCATGGAGCCATTGCTGTTGCTGCCACATTGGGTACACATCTGCTGTTGCTGCCAGCATGCCAGATGTGGAGCCTGGCATGACAGCTGCAGCCAAGTCCAATACTGCAGCAATGGTGCGGGATATGAAAATGGGAAGCCCCCAGCCTCACTCACCCACCTGCCTCTCCCTCCAGCCACTTGCAGCAAGTTGTCTTCACGGCAAGTTGTCCCATGGTGATTTGTCTGCAGAAGATGGTAGAGGTAAATTATTCAGCAGGCAGTAATAATTTGCAATTTTCCCTGCCAGCTTCCCCACTAACTTTCCTGGGAAGCTGGCAGAGAAAACTGAAAATGGTGATCACTTGATCATGGGGAACTTGGCAACCAGTTGTAATCAAGTAGTTATTTTTAAAAAGGTCATTGATTTCTTGCAATAACTACTGAAGGACCAGACCATTGACAAACCACAATACTACTGCCTTTAACCCTGGGGAAGCCACTTCATGCATACATGGACTTCCCAAAATCAACAAATCAGTTCAAATCCAAGGAAAACCATTCAACATCACAGTAGTCTAAATCTGTGCCCCAACCATTGGTGCTAAAGAGGATGAAACTGATCGGTTCAATGAAGCCCTACCACATCTTATAGAATTAGCACCAAAAAATGATGTCTTTATCATCATGGGGGATTGGAATGCTAAAGTAGGAAGCCAAAAGAAAACCGGAATAACAGGCAAATTGGCCTTGGAGTACAAAATGAGGCAGAGCACAGGCTGATAGAATAACCCAACAGATAGCTCTACACATGGACATCACCAGACAGTCAACACAGAAATCAGATTGACCATGTGTTCTGCAACCAAAGATGGAGAAGCTCTATACAGTCAGTAAAAGCAAGACCAGGAGCTGACTGTGGCTCACATCATGAGCTTCTCGTTGCAAAATTTAGGCTTAAATTGAAGAAAGTAGGGAAAACTACTAGGCCACTCAGGTATGAACTAAATCATATCCCTGATGAATATATAGTAGAGGTAACAAATAGATTTAAGGAATTAGATCTGATAGACAGAGTGCCTGAAGAACTATGGACGGAAGCTCGCAACATTGTACAACTAAAACTTGGGCCACCTAATGAGAAGGAAGGACTCACTGGAGAAGAGCCTAATCTGGGAAAGACTGAGGGCAACAGAAGAAGGGGACGACAGAGAATGAAGTGGCTGGATGAAAGCAGTAGGTGTAGGCTTAAATGGACTCCAGAAGATGGTAGAGGACAGGAAGGCCTGGAGGAATGTTGTCCATGGGGTCGCATTGGGTCGGACACGACTTCACAACTAATAACAAAAGCAACAACAACAAACAAAATCAAGTCGCCTTTTGAAAAGCATCTTTGGGACAACCATGACCTGGATGATTGAGAAGATCCATAGATATCTGCAAGAAAACAACCAAGATCAGAGAGCACCAAGGACCCCACAGTTCAATCCTGAACTACAAATATTCTCTTATATTGGTATATTCCAACTAGTTAACTAGTTAGCGAAGAAGGCACAAACAAAAATCAGATAAGGAGAGTAAAAAATTAGTAGTAATGGGTTTTTTTTTAGTTCAAAGGAATTAACAAAATAGAATGGAAGAAAAGGCAAAGAGGAATTCAGAAGAATGAAATATGTTGTTATAATTCTAATGAAAATTTTGACTTTGTGTGCCCCATTGATTTCTCTACAATGATTATACATTTTATTAATTTTACAAGGGATAGATTGATATACAAAATGTAAGAAGCTAATACCTTTTGCTTCCTGTGAAAAAATGCAGATTTCCAAGTTCATGAAAAGCCTGGACCATGAGACCATGCTGATTATTTCTTTGAAGAACTTCTGTTTTTCATCAATTTGAAGGGGAAATGTTTGAATATTTAATAGTAAATATATTTAGAGAAAGAAACTTAATATGACTGCTTTAAAATAAATTGCTGTGTTTTTCTATATTAGTTAGTCTACCATTTTAGTATACTATCCAATTAGAAAGCTCATGGTAGTACAAATAACATTTTTGAAATACATTTTTAACTCTCCACCCACAATTAAAAAGGTAATAAACTAACATTTGCCACAATCACCCTATGGATCAAAGGTTTACTGAAATAAAGTGGTCTTCAAGGCTTTCCAGAATGAGAATGGAGTTAGGGCTCATCATACTTCATACAGTGTATTTGACTCTGGAAACTATTACAAATCTGTGTTAGCATTTTGTATTTATTTATTTTTTTGCCATTTCTGTAATATCAAGTTGCAAAATATTTTAAAGCCAATTATTTTTGCATTCAAAGTGCCCCATTTCAAGCTTGAAGTAGTGTAAAATGGGGGGGGGGGACTCTTGTATGAAATTACCAGACTGAGTCCGAGGAAGGGGTCAAACACATCATCAGTCATAAGTCCCTTTGTGCCCATAAGAGATCTAAGTTCAGATTTATGTCGGCACCAGAGAAATCAGGAGATCCAGGCAGTTCAAATGCGTACAAAGATTTATTGTAAGCATAAGCTCTCTACAGGAATACCAACTACTGATGCTCAAGGGAAATTAGCGGGAGTTAAGAAGAAAAAGAAATTCAAGTTAGGCTGGACTTAGATTTGTTGTGGGCACGCAGGGACTCATGACTGATGATGTGTTTGACCCATCCCTCAGGCTCAGCCTACTATCTCCTACATCTCCTCTTGAAATAAAATGGTATTGTTTCAATAATTGTAGAAGTATTTTAAGCTTGAAACAATGTTGTATCCCTAAACAATTCCACAATGACGTGAGTTGGGTGCTTTACACTGTAAGCAACTGTTTCTTTGAATTTTAAAACTGGTTGAATTGGCAATATTTTGCATACCACTAGACCTACATATACTTTTGTAGTGGTTCTGCAGTGACCCATTCTCTTCATCTATTAACTATTATTAAATGAATCTTAGCAGTAATTTCCAGGGGTGGGATTCAACCAGTGTTACTACTGGTTCGGTGACTATGTTTTGCGTGCACATGCTGTAAAAAATTTTAAGCTGTGATGCACGGACAGCTGAAAAGCGCTGCCCGTGGGTGTGCAGTATTTGAAAAACCACTTTTTTCCTGCTTTTTCAACCTCAGCTGTGCTGCACAAAGCAGATGAGGTTGAAAAAGCAGGAAATAAAGGACAGATAAAAGCCCGGGCAGGTGGGTGAGCCAAACAGCAGCAAACACAGAATCGGTTCGATGTCTGCTGCTCTTCAGAGCTACCGGTTCTATAGAGCCGGGCAGAACCAGTAGCATCCCACCCCTGGTAATTTCTCTCTCATCAGAGAAAAAAAAATAAAAGCAAGGTTATTTCTTTGAGTCTACTAGAACTCCAACAGCAGTCTGCTGAAATACTACTATTTTCCTCTCTCTGAACTATTTAAAATAATACATTTCTGCAAGCACAATATGCGTTCAAATTTCCTATCAGATCATACAGTAATTCAATGTACGAAATAGAATGGATTATAAAGTTACCAATTGTTTGTTCATATGAAGAGATCACTACTGAGACTTTTGACTGGGGAATGGAGTTGCTCTCAACCATACTGAGGCAAGTAAAACTTTCTTCTGAAAGATCAGGTGGTTCTGGTTCATACGTCAACTCAGCTCCCATAGTAAATCCCACTTTTCCACGTGAAGTCTTCTGGTTTGCATATATCTCTAATCTTCCAGAAGAGTCTTGTTTTATAAATAGATTTATTGAAAACATTTTAGCAATTCTTACAGATTAGAGATTCTGAATGTAATATTAGATATTATACTATTATTCCAGAGAGATTTGTACTGAAAATAGATATATTTTACAATTTATTTTAATTAAATGTATGGCATTAGAGAGCACCTATACTATCATATGCTCCCTTTCCTAGGTCTTCTCTTTCCTCACACAAATTTCTTTTCTTTTTCTTGTCTTTGGAAGAGATAATATGAAATTGTTATAATTATGAAAAGGGAGTAGTTTGGTACCTCCAAATCACATTTCTTCTATTTACATTAACCAATGGAATAAAATAAAAAGTAATTTTTCAAAATAAGCTGGAAGAAAATTTGCTGAAGCCCCATTATGTTCCTTCAGAAATAGCTAAAATCCCAAGATTATGTAACATTTACAACAACCTTTACAGATTTGGTGTTTGAAAGTATGGAGAGCAACAACTGCATTAACAGCCTTCAGTCCAGCTCTACCATCTCCAGGGAGTTGCATTGTTCTAGGCTTGGGTAAAAAGAAGCTATCCTTCTTGACATTTTTTCCTATCAGGCCCACAAGCCTTCAAAAAGATGGAGGGTATTTTGGTCTATGCTGGATCATTGTTAGGACAGCTACAATGAACTGAACATTATAGGACAGAATGGGAATAGAATGATTGGTGGTGGCTATGTTATTTTTTCTACTATTGTTTAGTTTATGTGCCTAGAAGAATCTTACAATAATATCACAGTGAAGAGGAAGTTATTTGTGCTCATACATAAATTATACGAGAATTCCTGAATCAAGGTACAATGATTTTTGTTTACATAATATGCTTCAATCTTTATTCAAACAGTTCTTAGGCATTTCTTGTCTGGCTTTTTTATGAGTACCTTATCCCTGTTATTTAAGAAGGTTGAAAAGAATGAAAATTTCAAACTTAAAATTTTCAGGTAATTAACTTTACAACAAATTTCCCTTTTTAAAAAGTCAAAATTTACATGGTATTTGGGTAAACATTACTTGAGGAATTAAAAACTTTCAAGCAGGGGTGGAATTCAAATTTTTTAACAACTGGTTCTGTGGGCATGGCTTAGTTGGTGGGCGTGGCTTGGTGGTCATGTTATTGGCTGGGCATGGCCAACTCAACATCACTCACATCGAGGCATGCATCTCCTCGCCTGGTCTCTTGTGACTGTGGGGATGCTGCAACAGTCGTAAGTGTGAAAAATGGTCATAAGTCACTTTTTCAATGGTCACAAGCAAAATATCAGCAAAGGAGAGGGGGAAAAACTCCAGAGAAATTCCAGAGACAGGAAGTCTACTTCTACCAAGAATGTAATAAGGGTTAATGGAGAGGGAGTTCCTGTAAGCAACACCAGAATGTTTCCTTCCTGCCTTTTTACAGGATTAGGACAGTAATTTCTTCTAATACAACCTGTTCTCCGAACTGCTTAGAATGTTAACAACCAGTTCTAGCCAATAGGTGTGAACAGGTAGAATCCCACCCCTGCTTTCAAGTGTTTCTGTAAAGGAGTCTGAAAGATGTAACTATGTAAGAGCTCTGCCATTCTACTGATGAAATGGCATTTGGTTATACCTTTCAGGAACATTAGTGTAAATATAAACCAATTTACTTCTTTATAAATGGCATTGTTCCTATACATATCAGCCAATACCCTAGAAATTGGTTTTTGGAGAAAACTGCTAATTCAGTTGGATTAAGAAAACTTTAAACTTTTGAAAATTATATTTCTCATTTTAGACATTTATCTTCACACTTTTTTTAAAGAAGAAGATCTTGATTTCTTTGGGATTCTTAATTTCAAATTGTGCCAATATAATTTATATAAACATGCAGTAAATAGGACAGTATATATTTTTATTAAATTATTATTAGGAATTTCATTTTGCTTCTCTATAGCAATATGAAAATTAATTCATCAGACATTATATATATACATTATAGCATGTAGTTAAAGTTTTATTACGATTCTAATAATTATTAGTGTGGAATGTTCAAATAGAATAGTCAAAAAAATTAAATGTTCTAAAATCAAATCAATGTGTATGTGTGTGTGTTTGTGTATTCATACTTACACACATATGCACACATTTTTTTCAATATTTTTAAAGTCTATTTACAGTTATATATAAATCCAATTTCTTATGAGAGGTACTCACCTCGCACATCAGCAAGAAATAAACAAAGCAATTTCCTGCTGTATTTAAGGGCTCTACTGTGGTTCTTTGATTTTTCCAGAGTTTCTCTAAAACATTTTAGCGTATCCATCGGATCCAGAGGAACAGAAAATAGTGGTCTGGTTAGAGTGATACCTATAAAGAACCCATAGTTATTTTAATAAGCTCTATGTCTAAGTAACAAATGTGTAATATACAAAAATAAAATTGCACAGAAGTTTACTCTACTACTAGTAGTATCTTTATTACAGTCATAGATCAACTTACAGAGTTCACACATTGGCATAGTTCAAATTGGAAAACACGATACATATAAGTAGTAGAATTCTAAAAAAAGCTCCTGAATTCAATGTGGAAGGTTTTGAGTTATTATATATTCAGAAGAAATCCACGCTAGAAACAATGAAATTATTGCAGTTAATCAGATGGTGAATATGGGCTCCTCAGTGAAATCAACTTGAGAACAACGATTAAGTGTCAATTTGTCTAGAGCTGGAATTTGTGGCAAGAGTAAATGCATCATGTGTGGAGGGAATATCAATCTTCAGTAGAATGTCTAAGTGATTTGGATTGATCACTGAAACAAGTTTGGAAATATAAGAGGAAGGAAAAGAATCTATTGGGCTGAGTAGATGCTTTATGCATGATACTACATCCTGTATTTTAGTTGCCTCTCCCAGATGTGACACATTTCCAGTAATGAAAAATGAAGACTAATGCAGTTGAATATTCTGTTAGCACCAGTGTAATGTAGAATTAATGTATAATATGGCTTTTATATATTTTTAAAGACATTTGGGGGGAAATGCAGACAACTTGTGCATAATTGTTAGATAAGATGTCCCCAAAATTCCCAATGTTTATCAAACGATCAATGTTATATTTAACTAATAGAGGAACAGTATCTATAGTATACACTCTTCTGATGTATGAAAATAAACAGTTCTCCCACCCCAAACTTATTTGCTCCTTTAGTTTGTACACAATCTAGAACTATTTTGACTGAATCAATTTTTGTTATCATTATCTCAGTAGCTATAATGTAGATCATCTACATAATTGGTTTTACAAGTTTTTGATAAAGATAAAATAATACATAAATACATTTTACTTGATATACTAAATCTATGCAACAAATAAAACCTGCACGTGATTGAAACAAAACAATTTATCCATCCATAAAAATAATCCAAAAGAACATAAACACTTAATTATCCCAAACAGAATGAACTCTGAAATTCTTAAAGAATATAATTTACATATCTTCATACCTAAGTGATCAAAATGTTCAACAATTGGTCCTTTCCATTTTGTAGCAGCATACAAGTTTTTTGCAACAAAGTTTCTGCAGCATACCTTAAGAGAGTATTTTCTGATATAGTTAACAGCCTTTTCAATGAAGGAGATCGGGTTAATCTAATTAATCTAAGACTAATCTTCTTAAACATTTAAAATTAGATTCTGAAAATTCATCACTACTATTTCCATTTTCAAAAAGCAAAGAAATAACAAAAGCCAATGTTCATTATCTAGAATGGATTAAGTTCACAAGAAAAACTAAACAAAAAATAGGACATTCTTATTAAGAAGATGTGCATGACCATCAGAACAGTGTTCCTTTGGCACAAGACTTTTCAGAATTTACCCTTACAAACTCTCATACGTAGTAATGTGACCTGAACTTCCCAAACTAATCAGAACTCACACTTCTATCATTGCCATGCTCCTATTGTGTCAGCTCTCTTCACTATATCCAACCTAGCTGGAAATCAAGGTGATATGCATGCAGGGGCGAGATCCGACCAGTGTAACTACCGGTTCAGTGATTTTGCGATTTGTGTGTGGAACATCATCAGCTATGCTGCACGAACAGCTAAGCAGCACTGCACATGGGTGTGCAGCATTTGAAAAAGCACTATTTTCCTGCTTTTTCAACCACAGCTGTGCTGCGCAAAGCAGCTGAGGTTGAAAAAGCAGGCAATAAAGGTCAGGTAAGAGCCCGGGCGGGCAGGTAGGCCAAAACAGCAGCAGACATGGAACCAGTTCTATGTCTGCTGCTCTTCAGAGCTACCAGTTCTGCAGAGCCAGACAGAACCGGTAGAATCCCACCCCTGTTTAATGCATGGTCCTAAACTGGTAGACTTGTTGCTTAGCACCATAGCATTTTATCCCCACAGTGATATGGAGGATAGGACTGCTTTTTCCAGTCAAGAAAAAAATTAAAGAGATACCTGTTAGCTAATTCTGTTCTTAGAATACATTTGAGGTTCAGGGGAACAAGTTTTATTAAATAATGAAAAAGGACATAGAAAGAAGTTGGGATTACTATTACACTTGCCCTCTTTACTCACTAACTAGTCTGAGAATCGTTAGAAAATGAGATTTCGAGCCTACTCATTTGCTCTAGGACAGGGGTAGGGAAACTTGGCTCTTTTGTCACTTATGGACTTCAACTCCCAGAATTCCTGAGTGAGCCATAAAAGGTTCCCCATAAAAGACCCAAGTTTTCCTACCCCTGCTCAAGGAAAAATAACTTTAGATTACATATCATTTTTATTAAGTTATGGGCAACTTTAATGTGCCCATTCAAAAATCTTTTTCAGACAGCCCAATACATAACTAAAGATTATATTTTTATATTTCTTTAAAACTTTTGACCCAAATTTCAATTACAAGTTTTTTTTTCTTTATCATCTAAAACACTTTACCTTGTCTCCAGTATTAGTGATTAATTCTTCGAAGCAAGACTGTGCATTATCTGACTCACAGAGTAGTTTTTTTTCCTGCAGCTGCCTCTGGGCAAACACCAACACAGGAGTTACTTGCTCCATATATCTTTCACTAGAAAAAGTGAGATGCATTTTAAAATAAATATTGTTAATTTTTTTTAAAAATCCTTTCTTTCCCAAAGTCACTTTATGTTACTTACTGTGTAACTGTGTTAAATTGCATAGCTATGTTAACTAGTGATTCCCATTTCTTCAAACGAAACAGAAACTCAAGAGTTTGCAGAATGAAATGGCGTATTTCTTGGAAATCTATAATATTCACATCATCAAGGGGATGTTCAAAAGAAAGGCTGGAACCACCTTCATCAACAGCAATGCCTCCTATGCAGCTTGGAACACCAAAATTTCCTTTGGGCTCAATAATCTGTAAATTTAAACAGAGATCATAATATCCTATTCCATTTTTGCAGGTCATCTTCAAAATCACGATACAAATATCAAGTACAAACTCAACTAGCACTTCTAATTACATAAATTTTCTTTACATTGTATCAAGAATATTCATTTACACATCTAACTGAAATACATAACCATTTCTATTTTTAATAATATTGCATGTGTCCGTGATTTACTTCAATATCAAACTCATAACAATATTATATTCTGTTGGTCTTTGGTCTTTACCAACTTATTAACGTATTTGTTAGTCTTTTATTATTACTAACATATGTCTACTCTCTGAAGATATGGATCTCTTCCTTTTAACAAATACAGTCGCCATGTTAATTAAACTGGATGCTAGAATATGAGCATCTCAGACAGACATCCTGGTCTTTGTGACAATTCCCACATTGTGTATCGTGAAGCAGATGTTACCTAAGATGGCACTGACAAAGAAAGATGTTTCATATTTTTCATGAAACCCATGCTGAGCAGATCTACCAAGACTGTCTAATTCAGCAAATTCCTCCAATTATAATGATTCCTCGACAAAGTCAGAGGAAGTGGCATACATTCTAATGTACAAATTCAGAACTTCTAATTGCACCAATACTGCATTCAATGCATTCTTGCAAATCCATGTTCCCATTCTTCCAAGATCTTCTTATATGTTATCTTAGTTTGCTTTTTGTTTAAAAAAACATCCTCCCTTCTAGGAGCATACAAAATAAACAAAACCTAGTACAAGAAGACTGCTGCATCAGATTTTCACAAACATTTATCTTTCTTGAGAAATAAACCCATCTCCATTTACATTAAATAAAAAAACAGTTTCATCATTTTGCACATAAAGTATTTATCTTTTTCTAAATATTTCTAAATGTAAAGGCATAGTAAAATATATATAATTAAAATGAATTAAAGATTCCTAATCTTTGTTTAGTTGCTTCAAAATATAAAAACAACATGAATTATGTTAATCACAGAAGTAAAAATATATTTACCTTAACATAATTGCTATCTTGAAGCTCAACTATCATATCAAGCAATGTATCTGATGCTAAATAGTATGGTAACCAAATGGTCTTAAGAAAAATCTCCTTGTTAACAGGAAAGGGTGCATGAAAAGATCCTGAATGCTTAATAATAATTTGTATTTCCCGAGTATAGTTCCAAAGGTCTCGGCAGGCATTCTGAAGCAATGTCCAGTGGCGACCTCGATGGGCAACAACCTGGATTGTATTTATCAAATGCACAATTAATGAGTGGGAGTTGAATATCACAGTGATTTAAATAGTAAGTATAAGTCATATTTTCATTTATAAAAAAACTTCAAACTTCAGTATGTTCATTCGCAAGAAATCTGCTGGATAAACTATTTCACTTTCTTAAGATATTAGTTGGTATATATTTCACATAGATTATAACTGTTCTGCTAGGACTATCTAGGACAGAAATCTAAAGCAATACTGAGCAAGGTATTCATTTACGTAAGCCAATTATTTGTTTGTTTATAACCCATTCCAGTCAACCAACCTACAATTGAACAACCTACAATTCCACAAATTCATCATTTGGACTAACATAAAACAAGATAAAGCAATACCACAATGACAATTAGAAACTAGTTACAATAAAAAGCATACACTGAAATGCAACCATCCATAAATTGGAAATCAAAAAAGAACCACTTACTCAGTAGAAAAATAGGTATAGAACCTGTGCCCCCATAGCTTAATGAAATTACCATATTTCTCATCTCTTTTAACATGTATCTAGTGCCACAGTTTAGGGGCAATTTTTCCTAATAGATTTGCCTCTAATGCTTATTTATAGAAAGCTTAGCAGCTTACCATAAAAGCTTTTAGATATTAAATTAAACCACTTGAGTCTATGAATAAACTATAATATTGGATTGAATGTTATAAACCATCACGAATTATGGCTATTCCTTTACTGTATGATTTAGCCTCCTCTAACAGTTATGACTGGACAAACATTATTATAAAGTCAGGTTTTTCTTAAAACTATGATTTGTTGGACAACAACGATTGGTGGCTTTAATATTAATATATATTGAGTGCTTAGCATACATGCTATATCTAAATCAAACTATAACTTTGTGTTAAATGTAAATCAGAGTTCTTGATTTCTTTTGCAATCAGCTATCTAGAAATTATTTCAGCTGTCTGCTGATTCTTGTACCACTAACAACCAGCAGACCAATTAGTAATTGTGACCATTTAAGAACTTCCGTGAACCTTTAATGTTGCATTACTTGTGAACTCTACTCTTTTATTTATTTATCTGTGTTGGGAAATAGATCTGTTTAGAAACAGCTACTCCAGTTGTTCACAAATTGTTCCACATTATATTTAATTTTTTTTAAAAAAGAAACCCTTACAGAAAAAAGCAAATTCCATTCCACTTAATGTAACAAAAGCATCATTTCCTACATTTCTTACTATTACAGTATATTATTAAATTAGTTTAAGCCATTAATAAATTCTAATTTTCAATCTTTTTGTGGTGATTCTGATTGAAACTATACCTGCTTTTATGCTCTCTTGGCCTTTCCTTGCATTAAAACAAAAGCTAATTTATAGCTTTATGGCTTTGCTTTACAGGAAACAATTTAAGATTTGAAAATCTTACTTTAGAAGCCCTGATGTTTATTTGCCCAAGAAACCACTGAATTGCTATAGGTCCTCAATGAACAATATTCTAAGATCCTATTCTCTCTAAAATTGAAAAATATGGTTTTTATTCCTTTTAAAAGTGTCAATTTCCTTATGCTTATTTTTCATTGCATTCCGAGTAGTTGCCCTTTATACTTATTCTTCATTACATCCCAGATAATTGTAAAACTGTCATTTACATTTTGAGTTTGCTTTGCAGGGACTAGATTCCCAGCCACTTTACAAGATGGTATCTTCCTAGATTCTACCTAGTAATTTCAGTTTTTTGTTATTTCATGTTAATGTTTTGTGATGTAAACAGTCACAATATTTCTACTGATTTTGCTAAGACACTTTATTCAAACAAGCAACAAAAGCAGTACATATTGTATTATGGAAAGCAGCATATTTTTTAATATGGGGTAACATGCTGGTGAAAGTGCTGTCTGGAATCATGGAAACCCAGATTTGAGACAACCCAACCTCAGTCCAACCTAACTCATAGGGTTATCTTTAGGATAAAAGGGTCTAACTCCATGTATCTATTTTCTGCTGTTGAAAAAAGATGGGATATAAAGGTAGTGATAAATAAATATACTATTTTGTTTTATCTTATATTTATTTGTTTTTGAGTCAGTATTAACTTCTGGTGACTGCCTGGACAAATCCTTGCAATTTTCTTGGTAAGGTTTTCTGAAATGGTTGCCTGCTTCCTAAGACTGAGAGTGTGTGACTGGGCCAAGGTTAGCTGGTTGGCTTTCTGCTTAAGGTGGAAATAAAAATAGTCCCACAATTTCTAGCTTGGGTCCCTTAACTACTACACAAAACTGGCTCTTTGTTGTTACATTTAAATTAGACTGTGATTGATGATTATGATGATAATGCTGTCCATTCAATCACATCCAATTTTTCAGCAATTCTATGGATCAGCTCTTTCCCTCTCCACATTTTCTGACCTTGTGCAGCTTGTTGCAGTTGTTATATGCTTTGGCTGATATCAATTTCGATGGTGTAAATAAAGCCACTGTGTTTTTTGAAGCCTCATTTCCTTTTACTTCTGACCACTCCAAACATATCTGCCTTTCTCAGTGAATTTAATTACATAAGTAAGATGGAATTTTGTGAGTTTTCCCTTCCAGTAAATGTCTGGCTTTACACATTCCAGTACTTGCTTGTTCATCATCTTTGCTGTCCAAAAAATACACAGAAATTTATCCAACACCAAAGCTTGAACAAGTTGATTTTTCTCCTGTCTAGTTTTTTTATGATCCAACTTTTGCAACCATGGGTAACTATGGAAAACACAATTGGGAGGACTAAATTACATTTGTTGTTGGAATGATGTTCTTGCTTTTCCATGCTCAGTGCAATTCAACACTTTATTTCTTGACTGCATTTACTACTTCAATCAATCTGCAATCCTAGGAAAGTGAATTCTTCTATGCCTTCGATCTCTTCACCCTCAATTGTTATTTTGAAATTTCCATTCTTTGTAGTTGTCATAAGATTGGTCTTTTCAGGAAGAGGCCAAATTTCTCACTTTTTTCTTTTATCCATTTGATCAGATCTTTCAGTCCTTCTTTGGTTTCTGAAAGTTGTGTTGTGAACTTATCAAAGACTGTTTATGTTTCTTCTTCCAATAATTACCCTTATTTTTGATTGAAGAATCAAAAATAAGGGTAATTATTGGAAGAAGTTCCAATTTCCTCAAAATCATATTGTGATAAAAGTTGAAAAAGAAAGGTGAAAGAATGCAGTCTTTCCACATACCTTTCTATATCTTGAACCAATCAGTGTCTCCATATGATGTTTGCACAGTGGCCACCCAATTTTTTTCAGTGACTACACCAACATGGCAGATGTGTTGGCAGCCATAGATCTTCTAGGGCTCTCCACAGCTGATCATAATCAATACAGATGAAAGCTTTCTTGTAGTCAATAAAGCAGAGGCCGATGTTCTTTGATATTCCTGAAAAGTTTCCATGTTCCAGTGTAGATTTGCAATATGGCCCTGAGTGCCATGACCTCTTCTGAAGCAACCTTGAACATCTGGTTATTTTCTTTTGATGATCAGCACCAGATGTTATATAAATTAATGGGAATTCATTTTATTATTTATTTATATGCTTCCCATTACATTAGCCATTATAATCATTAACCATTTCCCATTGCTGCAAAAAGTTTCTTCTTGTGATAAATACCACTTCATTCATTTATCTGGTGTCATGTCTAAGTCAATTCCTCAAGATAATGAATTCCTCAAACTGAAAATAACCGTTGTCTATCCAGTATAGTTCAACTGACACCAAAGAGTCTGATTTTCAACCTAGCTATTTCAGATTGCTGTCATAGGCTTGTATTTGCAGCCCTGAAAAAAAATCTAATTATTTTTATAATAATGCAGCTCCCTCTTGTTCTGAAATAAAAGAGTGTGTATGGAGATGAATATAGATTGCACCTGACGAGTAATGACTTCCATGAATCACTGGAAAAAGAGAGGCAATGAACTAAAAATAGTTTAAAATTATCCTACATCATTTTCTTAAAGAATTCTTATTTTCAAAACCAGAATAACAATGCAGCAAGAAACTAGAAATTGACAGAAATATATTCTTGCCAAATGTCAGAATATATATATATATATATAAATGGCTCCATGAAATCAGAAGAGTTATGTTTATTAGAATTGTAAATATAGTTAACATTACCACAGCTCTTCTAAAATATAGGAATGTTTTTGTGAAATGCTCCAGCACAGCAGAATAACAAGTTGCTTTTTCACGTTCTTTAACAGGAATATAACCTTGAGTCAGTCGAGGAGTGTCTCTATCACTCAATTTAGAACTACGATCAGGAGAAAAAACGGGTTCTAAAATAAAAACAAAAAAAATCATTGAGTTTAACTAACAGCAATTCACAAAGTAATTGTAAAAAAACCAGATTCTAAATTTCTTAAGAGAACAAAGTCTATACAATGAGTCTTTAGTTATACTAGTTTATTAAAATAATATTTTTTCAAAAATAAAGGAAAATGCCACAGAACATTCTATATGTACTTAAATCTCTTGTAAGGTAGGGTTTTAAGTAAATAAGCATCACATCCAAATCTTCAATCAATATGTTTTAATCAGTGAAAGATGGTTCTTGGTACAATCTGAGTTAGTCACTTCACTCTATTGGAGAATATATTCCTCACTCTGCTTTCCAGAAAAAATATGTATCAAATGCTATAGAGCAGCAGCCCCCCAACCTTTTGGGCATCAGAGACTGGTTCCTTCAGAGAGATTTTTAAATGGACTGGAGGAGGCGTGGTTTCGCATACTGCCTGAATCCCGCAGATGGGGCTTTGTTTGCGTGGCCCACTTTCTGGCATGCGACAGTCCAGTGCCAGTCCATAGAGTAGGGATTGGGACCCTTGCTATAGTGCATGTTACATTTCTTTGGTTACTCAATTCAAGAAAAATAAATAAAATAAGCATGGCAGGGCACATATAACAAATATTTTACTTGACTTGTCCAGATGATAATAGGAAAATCATTAACTTTTTTATAATGTTTATAACAGCTATCTAAATCCACATTACCAAGGAAAACCAACTGGTTTCCTTACCGGTTGCTATGAGATTATTCTTCCTTTTAAAGTTTGTATATTGTCTTCCTTTACATGAAAATTACCATTTCCCATGGATTATTGACAACTACTCTGGTTTTGATATTTTATCCATCCATAAACTTTGTTGTATCCATATGAGACATACTTTTTTCAAGGTCTACAGACAGAGCACTTGGCAATATGTAGTGAAAGCTTAGTTGTGAGTTAATAAATTATACTTTTTTGAAAGTAGATGCCTAATTTGTAAGGATATGATAAATTCAAAAATTGTCAAGTACCCGACATGCATGTGGCAACCCACCTGAATCTTGGCCTGAAGCTGAGAGTTGGGTCAATTCACTGGATTCGCTCATGGCATCAATTTCAGGGGAGAGACAATTATTGTGGTCATGTATGCTTGAGCTGGAAACAGTGTCTGGAGAAATACTTTGTAATGTAGGGCTAGAAGCAGGCAAGGAAAGCCCATTGTCGAAGGCAGGGGAAGTAGGGTCAGGGGTGTCTGAGCAAAGAAGAGCAAGGAAGGTTATATTCATTGCAGATGAGCTGTTGGCAGCAGAATATTCAGGGAAAGAATTTCTACAGAAATTTGTAACTGCTCCCAACCTAACAAAAGATCAACGTACGAAAAAATCTGAATAAATGTTTTACAGAATTTTTCTGGTAGCTAGTCAGGAGCTACTGTGCTTGATTACTTAACTGATGCTAGTAATAAAGAAGATTGATGGTGTAAGAAGAATTAGCAGTGATACATTATATTGTTGCTGTAAAATGATATGGAATAGCCATTCTATTTAAAGACGTGTAGGGAAAAAAATCATAAAGTCTTGTTTCCATTTCCATTAATTCAGGGAATTCCTGAAATGTCTTAAGAAGAAAACACATGCAGTACTCAAAAGTAAAAACTGAGGAAAGTACATTTAAATAAGAATTGCTGTACTGTTTTCAGGGTAAGCAGTTGCCATGATCAATTATGCCTCAATATGAACTGTATTTGTTCTTCGGAAGTATCTTTAAGTCAGTGAATTCTTTTGAAACATAACTTCCAAGACTTGCTGTATTAACAATGTAATTGTCTACACCCAAACATAAGCAATAAACAAAATTGCAATAGATCCATGTAAGTTATATTCTTTGGAAACAATTATAAGATGTTTGCCCTGGAATTTAAAGAATTCATCAGCCATTTTTTGAAGTTGAGTATCAAGAAGGCCTGATTTATGCTAAGCCATCTGACTCTCTCAGCTTCCTAAGAGAAAATAATGTCTGACATCTACCTCAGAACACCAAACCCATATAATAGAATGCTATAAATCACAGACTCCACAGATTAGCAAACCAACACAGATAGACCATTATAAGTTGCTGTTTTCTTACTAGACTTATACTGCAGGCTGTTCTAGGCAACAACAAAATTTAAGGTTCAAGTAAAAAATAACCAAAGTTATATTCAATGGACATAATTATAATGCTTTTGAAAGAGAAGTCAACAATGTGGTTAACTGTAAGACTAGTTGTATTATCACTCCCTGTATTCCATACATACAAATATTAATTTACAGATACTGAGTTTGAAAAGATGTTGCACTAGACAGAAGAAATGGCAGAATTAAAAATAAATGTTCAATCTGGGAAAAAAGAAATAGAAATAAAAATAGAAATAGAATAAAAGAGTGAGAAGGGGAAAAAACATATTTACCTATCCCATAGGGACAGACAAGATCTTTTAAACATATATAACTGAGGAAAGACTCATTCTAAAAACAGCACAGCTACTGTTTAAGGAATTATGGACATCTTTTTGTTATATCTTATTAAACATTCACTGCACCAATTCTCATTTTAAAGATTTGACTATAATAACTCTGGTTTTTAAGATGCAATACTGTTATCTATTCCCTGACAAACAAGAGTCTTGTTTGTGGAAATGCAGATTAAGATCAAATGGCCATCTAGAATAAAATAACTACTGGAGAGGCAGAAACAGTAAAGTTTCTATAGTGAGCCCAAGGCAGATAATTGGAAAGAATCAACAACCAAAAGCCATTAAAATCCCAGAAGCAGAAAATGTAGCAAAATAGAAAACAGAGAGAGAGAAAAAGAAGAAAATAAAATGATGACTCAAAATATAATGCATATCTAGGACAAAGAATCCAGGAACAAATACACAAGATACAAGTAAGACTATAGAAGATAAAATGTATAAATGTATGGTTAGACTTTAGATAACAATAGATTGGCTATGAAAGAGAAAACACACACACTAGAAATGTTCCTTAAGTAATCAGAAAGTCAACTATATCAATATAGCCAAATAGTATAATTATCTATGCATACTGAAAAACCAGATTTAAAGCATTTTCAGACACTTCCAAAATTAGAATTCAGTGATTACCCCAGAAGCATTTAGTGTTAATGGATTATGTGCTCCACTGACTCAAACCTAGCCACCAAAGTTTAGCCACCCCCCAAAAATTATTTTTTAATTATTCCAAAAGTCAACATGCACCAATACCAATTTTACTGTTCCCTGTCTTAAAGTTCTGGAACCAAGGATCCAAAAGGATTACTGTGGCTAGCTTGATGTATTTTAATAAATAACTGCATAAAACACAATAATTGAAAATTCATGTTTTATTAACTATAGTATTACCAGGTTTTTTACTGATTTTTCCTGAAAATGTTCTTTTAAAAGACAGATGTTTAAAATCTGTAATTTCTTCCTCTGGTGCTATTATGATTGTGCCTGAATTGGTGAATGAGAATATTTCAGGGTTGAGATCATGATAACTGCAAAACAAAAACATACACAAATAACAAGCACATACTTAATAATTGAAATGTAGTAATATTACAACATTATTATTATACAGTCTTGATGCAGAATACTTCATCTAAAGCATGGGTGTCAAACTCACTACATCACATTACCATCACGTGATGTTTCATCAGTTTTCCCATTCGCAGAGCTGGGGTGGGCATGGCCTGCGCATGACACCCCTGATCTAAAGACATTTTAACAATCCTGTGGATAGTCTAAAGCAGGGGTGTCAAAATCATGTCGTCATAGCATCGTCACATGACGTATCATGACTTTGTCCACTTCGCTAAACCGGGCATGGCGTGGCTAGCACATGATGTATCTAGCCCACAGGCCACAAGTTTGACACCCCTGGTCTAAAATATGGCAACAATAGGATATGCCTAGACTATATTAGTTAACATTCTTTCTTTTTCTTCATTTGTGTCAGAAGTTAACATTATGAACTGCACCTTTTAACAGCCAGGTAACTGCAACCATCTCTTATTAAATAATTTAAATGAAAGTTTTCTAGTAAATGAAAGTTTTCTAGTATTTAAATTCTCAATATAAGCAAGACAAATTTCAAATCTGAATCAACTTTCTGTTGATTTATTGTATATAGAAAAATATGAGTTTCTTTGTTACAAAGGATATAATAGCTGTTATAATAATGGTAATATTTATTTTTGATCAAAGACCAGTACAGAAAAGGTTGCATAAATAATCTATATTGTTTTAATTAAGTTATAATTGACTCTTATTTTGATGGACTAATTAAGGGAGTCTGGCATTAGTCACAAATTTATTTTAAATTGAAAAGCAAATCATGTCAAGGACATTTACATCATTTGTATGATGTCATTGCACAAATATTACAAATTACTACTTTTCATTATTTGACATCATTTTCATGGTGCCATCATTACACAAATAATATAATCTGCCAATACTCAAACCAGCAGACAACCACTGGAAACACTGAAAACTGGACAGAATCTATGGAAAAATTCTCTGTTTAGCTGAGTTAATTGTTGTTCTCAATGAGCTATCCAGATTCTATTGAAACGTCCATGAAGAGAATCCAGTTCCACAATGTCAATGTCATGAACTGACTATAGCTGTGCTAATAATAACACCTGTTATCTTACACAAAGGCTAAAGAGTTGCTTCACATGGTCTTTCAAGGACTTTTTTCTGAAAATCTCAGCCTTACTGATCAGGTATGCCACACCTGCTTCAAGTGTAAATCTAAAATATGGCTTCAGCAAAGAACATTAAAGGATGTGAGTATCCATAGTGGGTGGGAATTTGCTTCCATAACTCAAGTATTTCCAAATGGCTCTTCTCTGTAGATTCAAAGTTCTCTTTGCAATGCTTTAGTTTCTTAGAAATTAACCTGGGTTTCTTTGAGACTTCCTAGAGCAGGGCTGTCAAACTTAGATCTCGTTAATTTCTAATCTTCCCTTAGTGATGCTTAAATTAGGCAACTCTGGGGACGGAGGAGGAGAGGCTGTAGAGTTATAAAAGTTGCCCAATGAAAGCAATTTCTTTGTGAATCAGACTCAGGAGATCATTCCTGTCATTTGGATTGACTGAGCCAATGGGAAAAGACTCTTAGTATTGCAAATAATTAATGAGAACAATTAAAATAAAAATTATGTTTGTTTTGGTCTAGGCACTTCCTTTGATGTCTTTGGTATCCTGGTTTGATATCTGTCCTAGAAATTTTAAATAAACCAGCAACACAAGAGTTTTAGAATATACGTAAAACACATTTTTTGAAATAAGAGGCTGACACAGTTAAATTGCCCCAATAGTTATTCTTTTCACTTTTTACCTGTCTGGACTTTGTACAAAGTTTTCAGTATTACAGAGTTCCTGTGCGCGTTTTTTAAACAAACTAAAGTGAACAATTGCCAGGTAAATGTTAAGCTGAGCTCGCCATGGCATTTCTTCATTATATAACCGACGAAATCTTCTTCGCCTTATGTAGACATCAGAACATATATTTAGCTTAATTATCAGGATTTCAAAAGCAATTTTTCTTTTTTCTTCTATTTGTTTCCTAAATAAAAGCATAGGGACAGTACCTTGAATGATAAACAATCATAGGAGAGACACATATTTTAAGACTATAGAAACAATTACATTCTTGATACATATGGATATGGACATTGATTTATTTCTTTGAAACTTACTTCTTTGTAGATATCTACACCTACAAAGAAATAAGTTTCATCACATTAATAAATTAAGTTTCATTAATTTAGTCTAAAGAATGCATATACAGCAGAAATGAACAACTTCTAGAAGAGGGACCAGCTTATTCCCCAGACCAGATCTAGGGGGACATATATTTATAAAGCCCTCATCATGCACATTATGAAGTTTCTAGTTTGTAATTTGTTCAAGGCACAAGGGCCTCTTTAAAGCAATAATTTCTGTTAAACTGACTTTGCTTACGTTTTGCTTTTCATGTAGTAAAGTTATGGAATAGCCAAATCTCCCTAAGTTCATCATTTCAAATATTATCTAACAATTAACATTACTCCACTCTTTCCTATTATTTTCAAAACTAAATAATTTTCTATATGTAAATAGCCCCTTTGGTGTAGTAGTTAAGGTACCAAGGTATAAATCAAGAGACTGTGACTTCTATTTATGATTTAGGCATGAATCCAGCTGGGTGACCTTGGGCCAGTCACACTCTCAGAGCCCTGGGAAACAAGCAATGGCAAACCACTTCTGAAAACTTATCAAGAAAATTATCTTGTCCAGGCAATCAACAGAGTCAATATTGATTCAAAGGTATAGGCACACACACACACAAATTCATACACTTGTGCTCATACCCTGGCAGAATTTATGATTTCTTGGCCATTTTTCAGAGAATATAAATGATAACACAAAAACTTTTCTGTCAGTCATGGTTAGTGTATGCCCGAAGCCATTTATTATCAGTCAACTGTGTTTACTCTTTTTAAATCATAATGACAACAGAAACTACCCAAATGACCCTGATCAAAAGTTTACATACCCTGGTGATTTTGGCCTGATAACATGCACACAGGTTGGCACAAAGGGGTTTGAATGGCTATTAAAGGTAACCATCCTCACTTGTGGTCTGTTTGCTTATAATTAGTATAGAAGGTCAATGAGTTCCTGGACTCCAGACAGACCCTTGGATCTTTCATCCAGTGCTGCACTGACATTTCTGGCTTCTGAGTCATGGGGAAAGCAAAAGAATTGTCAAAGGATCTGCGGGAAAAGGTAGTTGAACTGTATAAAACAGGAAAGGGATATAAAAAGATATCCAAGGAATTGAGAATGCCAATCAGCAGTGTTCAAACACTAATCAAGAAGTGGAAAATTAGGGGTTCTGTTGAAACCAAACCACGGTCAGGTAGACCAACTAAAATTTCAGCCACAACTTCCAGGAAAATTGTTTGGGATGCAAAGAAAAACCCACAAATAACTTCAGGTGAAATACAGGACTCCCTGAAAACATGTGGTGTGGCTGTTTTAAGATGCACAATAAGGAGGCACTGGAAGAAAGATGGGTTGCATGGTAGAATCGCCAGAAGAAAGCCATTACTACACAAATGCCACAAAATATCCCGCTTACAATATGCCAAACAGCACAGAGATAAGCCTCAAACCTTCTGGCACAAAGTCATTTGGAGTGAGGACACCAAAATTTAGCTTTTTGGCCACAACCATAAACACTACATTTGGAGAGGAGTCAACAAGGCCTATGATGAAAAGTACACCATTCCTACTGTGAAACACAGAGGTGGATCGCTGATGTTTTGGGGATGCGTGAGCTACAACGGCACAGGAAAGTTGGTCAGAATTGATGGCAAGATGAATGCAGCATGTTATCAAAAGATACTGGAGAAAAATTTGCATTCATCAGCCCAGAAGCTGCTCATGGGACGTGCTTGGACATTCCAACATGACAATGATCCGAAACACAAGGCCAAGTCGACCTGTCATTGGCTACAGCAGAATAAAGTGAAGGTTCTGGAGTGGCCATCTCAGTCTCCTAACCTCAATATCATTGAGCCACTCTGAGGAGATCTCAAATGTGCATTTCATGCAAAACAACCCAAGAATTTACAGGAACTGGAGACTTTTTGCCAGGAAGAACGGGCAACTTACCATCTGAGAAGATAAAGAACCTCATCCACACATACCACAAAAGACTTCAAGCTGTCACTGATGTTAAAGGGGGCAATACACTGTTTTAAGAACTGGGGTATGTAAACTTTTGATCAGGGTCATTTGGGTAGTTTCTGTTGTCATTATGACTTAAAAAGAGTAAATACAGTTGATTAATAATAAATGGCTTCAGCCAACCACTAACCATGAGTGAAATAAAAGGTTTTGTGTTATAATTCATATTCTCTGAAATATGGCCAAGAAATCATAAATTCTGCCAGAGTATGTAAACTTATGAGCACAACTGTATACTCTCTCAAGTTCTGATATGCTGCCTTATGGCAATGAGGGTGTGGGATCGTGTTCCTGATAGGGAAGAACTAAGAATTCCAGGTATATAAGCCAAAGTACATACTCCCCACAGGGGAATCTAAGCCTGAAGGTTATCCCCATGTACCTATATCAGATAACAGTGATAAGGAAAATGCTGGATGTTGGTGATCACTTTAGTGACAACAGCAAAAACATCAATTCATAGTATGTGGGAGAATGCAGTTGTAAACAAGTCCTGGATTTTACATAAAAACCCCACATGGATAGACAAGATAAACTGATTAATAATATAGTGCTAAGTGATGCCCCTTCAGGCTTAGTGCTACTGAGAAAAGAGCTGAGGATCTTTAGGGCAACTAATGATGTTTATGAAGCAACTAAATTAAATCCTTTGAGACACCTAGCTTCTGCTGTTGCCTTGAAGGAAAAAAAAATCCAAGCTGCCAAGACAGAATTACACTGAGAACATGGAATGTAAAACATGAATACAGACAGGTTCAACAGTGAAAGGTGAAATGAACTTAGAGAAGTTCTAGAACAGGGGTGTCAAACTCGTGGCCCGTGAGCTGGATGTGTCAGGTGCTGGCCACACCCACCCCCATTTTAGCAAAGGGGGGAAAAGTCATGATATGTCATGTGATGACAACATGATGACACGAGTTTGACATCTCTGTTCTAGAAGAACCTAGAGAATATAATGCACTGGGATTTCAACAGAAAAATCATACTGTTAACAATTCAGAACATGGAAAACAAAGAAGGAATAGTATTGCTTTCAGCGTCAGGAAATATATACAGGTAGTCCCTAAATTATGATGAGTCACTTAGTGACAGTTCAAAGTTATGACAGACCTCTGCAGGAGTATTTATGACCTGGTTCTGAAATTACAACAGCCGGGGTCCATTTTGCAATCATGTGTACTGTATTTTGGGCACCTGGAAACCAGATCACATTTATTGCTGTTTATAGCATCCCACAGACACATGAGACATTTTATGACATTTTTGCAAAAAATGGCATTTATTTCCATTTGGGAGCAAAACCAATCTCTAGCGATCAATTGGTTCACTTTAAAGACCACGGCATCACTTAATGATAATATCAATTAGATTCTCAGATTCTGATTATCCAAGTATAATGATCAGCATTCACCACTGATGAAGAATAAGAGGAAATAAACAGAACATGCAAGCAAGATTGGAGACAATGAGGAAAATTCACAGGTTGTTTTTGATGGGGAAAATGGAATTCACCTAAGGTCACCCTGCAAACTAGAACTCATGGTCCTTCACTTTTAGCCTGGTGCCTCAACCATTTTACCAAATCTATATGGGCAGGGATGGATTTTGATTTCCCAGGCTATGGTTAATGTCCCAAAGACACCACCATCCCCAGCCAGCAAGATTCTGTACCTCTGGGAGGACTACAACCTGGGTCCATTGATTTACACATTATATCAAATGTACTTCCATATTTAATGGTAATATGTCATAAATTCCTAAACATAAATACCATTGTAATTCATAGGAAAAAAATATATATAAACTACCGTTTTCCACCAGGTGTTTTGACCTGGCCTGGTTGTTTAGCCAGACCTTTCTTCTTGGAACCTTTCTTCTTGGGTGTTAACTCGATAACCTATATAAAGAAATGATAATTATAAATGTTCAAAACACTAATTGCAGTTATCCAGAGCTCAGTAAGAGCTCAAACAACAAATCTGCATTCATTTTATCTCAAATAAATCTTAGTAATAGCTTCATAAAATAAAACAAATTCTGTTCTAATAATAATGAACAATCATAATGAATTGTAATAAGATTGGAAACATGCAAATTTTATAAATACATATATATGTGCAAACATAATAATAAGATTTTTTTTCTCACCTGCATAATTTTTTTTCTGGAGAATCTATTTCTAACCTGGTGATTTAAAGTCTTCCAACAATTACAATTGTAATTAAATCCATCTATCTTGTTACTAGTCATTCTCTTCTTTCCTTCTACCTTTCCCAGCATTATAGACTTCAGACAACTAAGTCTTCATATGAAATGGGTCCAGATTATAATTTGAGCCTAGCATGATTCAAATCTCTGTAGATATCAATACAGCACATGCCAACTTCTTTTTGGTATTCTTTCGGTTTCTCAATTATCCAGTGTGCATCAACAACAATGTTTCACTTTCCTTTCACTTTTCTAAAACCAGTTTGAACATCTAGCATCTCCCTCCCATGCAAGACTCTAATTTTTGTTATGTGACAATAAGCATTAGTTTGCTGTAGGTTTCATTTGCTAGTGTGAAATCAATAATATTTTACACAATTTATTAAAATGTCTTCTGAATTTTGGCTGTTCATGTTGTTCATTTGAATACATACTTTTAAGAATTACTAAGGACCAGATTGTTTTTATTATATCCTGATACATAAAACCATAGAATTCAAAGAAGGTATATTTTCCTTCTCACATGACTGTCTATGTAAGATCCTAGGATATTCTTCCTACAGGCCATTATAGAAAGAAACTTGTACAGAAGAAGTGGCTGGAAAATGAAAATTCTTCCTTCACATGACTATATAGAGAAAAGCAGAGCTGAAATATGCTGGGAAATTGTTAACATTTTCCCACCAATTAGTATTTTGAAGGGAACCAAGCTTCTGATAAAATAGATTCACAATTTTTGTCAAAGAAACAGGAATCTCCATTCTCTGCTGTATTTGTCAGCAATTAACAAACAAAATTCAAATAAAAGCCAGAATGGCTGGAGAAAAAGATTGCTAACAGTTTGGTTACTGTTGGCAAACACCCTGATGGAGCTGGAAATATTTGAAACTAGAATATATTAGTTTGTCTAAATGAGATAAATGACATAAGGCAGGCAAGGAAATGACAAGGCACAGGAGAAGAGCTGAATTATCATAAAGTGACAGAAAGAAGTAAAGTCAGCTGACTTCTAAGCATTTCATCAATGCTGAATGTCTCAATGAGAGAAATGCAGATCTTCCATTCATTGAGGCACATTTGGCCAAAAAAGGCTCTGTAAAAAGATTTTGAAAGTTAAAGTGGTTTAGAAAGAAAGAGGCAAAACTGTAAGCATGTAAAAGAAACAGTGGCAGAAATAAAAGCAGAATCTATGTCAGGTGTGTCAAACTGGCCACCCATGGATTGGATGTGTCATGCACAGGTCATGCCCACCCCAGCTCTGCAAAGGGGAAAAAATGTTGCAAAATGACACGTGCTGGCCAGTTTGACACCCATGTTCTATGTGATCTGAACTCAGTCTGAAAAAACGAAAAGAAGTTGTTAAAATCTCGTAGGTAAGAATAGGCTTAAAGGAAAATATTTGGGGTTTAGACCAGGTTAAATACAAGGAAGGATTAACACGCTAACCTAGTAAAACTTAAGTATCATGCATGTGCCTCTAAATCAATATATGGAATACCCGTTCTGAACCATCTGGAAAAAAAAATCTCTGACTACTTTCATGCTTAATTATTAGTCTGTAGCTCAGGCTGTTAAATATCCTTATTATTTGATATAAATTCTTGTTGAGTTATCTTCTCAATCATCAAAGCTATAATCTTACTGTTCAGTTTAATTTAGAACTGCATTTCCATAATTTATATTGTGTACAATTATAAAATGCATTCATGTATATGGCCTAATTTGCATCTTCCCAACATCCAAGGTGTGTTATGTCAGCACAAATACCCCATATATAAATGTACCTTCATATACCTTACATGAGTCAAAAAATAGACATTAATATAGAAGACATTATACATGAGATTATTTTATATAGTTTTCTATTTTCATTGGTAGAGTGGATTGTTAACAGTTATAATTTTTGACTTCAGAATTTGATTTTATACTCAACTATGACAAGACTGTAATTCTTACTTACTGAATTTTTATTCAGATAGCTAACAGATCCCAAAATCTTTTTAAAAAAATAAATTAACCTTTGAAACTTCTTGTGTTATGGTCTTCTTTGTTTCTGCAGATCCACGAACTTTCTTCTTCTTTTTTGGAATTTGTTTGATACCAAGAAGGAATCTATTCCGCCTAGTAAACAAAAACATCTATGTTAGTTTTTTTTCAAAAAGTAGCAGCAGCTTTGAATATTTATTTTTTATATTTATAGCATTATTTCTCTCTCTCTCTCTCTCTCTCTCTCTCTCTCTCTCTCTCTCTCTCTCACACACACACACACACATGGGTTTCTTTAGATGAAAAAAGTCTGAATGTTCTGTGCTTCAAAACATTTTAGTCTGATTTCATCACAGAAAAGGTAGAGAGGGAGTTAAGAATGAGAAATAAGAAAAAGCATATACAGTAAGACAGGGGTCCCCAACCACCGGGCCGCGGACCGGTACCGGTCCGTGGATCATTTGGTACCGGGCCGCAAAGAAAATAAAAATAAAATAAAAATGGCGGCTTTCTTCGCCTTCGGTGAATGCTGCTGGGATCAGGGATCAAGGACACAAATGAAAGAAGGGGAGGGAGGAAGCAACCAAAACCCGTCCTGCTCTCCGGCTCAGCGGCTTCAGTTTCCTCCCGCCTCGTTCCTCTCTCAGTCGCTCTCTCGTTCCTCCACCAGCCCAGGAAGAAACTGCTTCAAAGAAGCCGGCAGGGTGGCTTTTCCTGTCGGCGCAGCTCCTCCGAAACGCCCGTTCACCCCCCACCCCGCCACCCGCGGTTCAATCCAGTGCTCCATTCTGCCTGCCTGCCTGCCTTCGTTTCTGGTTGTTTCGGAGCAGCTTTGGCTGAGAATAATAACTATTCGCCTCTTTTACTCAGCCGAAGCTGCTCCGAAACAACCAGAAACAACCAGAAACGAAGGCAGGCAGGCAGAACGGAGCACTGGATTGAACCGCGGGCGGCGGGGTGGGGGTGAACGGGCGCTTCGGAGGACCTGCGGCGACAGGAAAAGCCACCCTGCCGGCTTCTTTGAAGCAGTTTCTTCCTGGGCTGGTGGAGGAGCGAGAGAGCGACTGAGAGAGGAACGAGGCAGACACCTGAGGGATAAGGCTGAGGGAGGGAGGGAGACACCTGAGGGATGAGGCTGAGGGAGGCAGGGCTGAGAGACGGGGCTTCTCAGCCATCCTGCAGGGACTTGTCCTGAGCCTCCCTGAACTTGGTGGTTTGCTGGCAGACATTTTATTACCCGACTAGGTAACAACATCAGATGTTATCTAGTCAGGTAATGAAGCGTCTGCAAGCAAACCACCAAACTCGGACTCCTCCCCCCCCCCCCCCCCTTAAAAAGGCCCCCCCCCCCCCCCGCCGGTCCTCGAAAAAGTGTTTCTGCGTGAAACTGGTCCCTGGTACAAAAAAGGTTGGGGACCACTGCAATAAGAAGCCACTAAGATATTTATTTGTCTAATGATTACTGCTATAATAATTAATGTCCATTACAAATTCTGGAAGTATGTCTAAGCAGCCGTATTAATATTAACAGATATTATCATATAATCAAAGGAAAATCAACTATCATTGCAGATATAGTTTCTGTAACTGCATGGCCATTAACACTGACTGAATTTTGTCAATTCAAAATATACCTACTTTTTAAGATATTCTTGAACATCATCAGACCACTCCAGTATTCGCAACAATTTATCCTCATTTAGGGCTCTGAATACAAGCATAACAAAATATTCAAGGAAACGAGAGTTCTTCTTAAATTTCAGTACTGTGTAAATGTAAAATAAGTGTAGTTATTCCATGCCATTATATGTTTAGTACTTTCAATTTTTAATTACTATTCTTTATAGAAGATTCCATTAATCAAACTAATTTGTATCACTTTAAAAGGAATTAACATCTGAAAATAGATTTCTAACATTTAAAATTTAATCTACATCCAAAACAAAAATTAAAGCTTGACATTAAAAATAATAATAAAATAATGCTTGTTATAGAGAAATGTCTTTATGGTTAAAATTTAAACCACTAAAATTATTTCATATATTTTAATGATGACAACTATTCATGTTTGACATATTCCTGCATTGTGGAATGTGGCAAATTTTTGCTAGTTGAGGAAAGATGTTGCTGTGATTTTAAAAATGTAAGTTTGCACGGTCAGGCAGAAATCAAAGTTTAAAAAAACAGAATCTAAAGACCACATTAGCAGTGATTGAGGGTAGTGAAGTACAGAAACACAATGCATCTAATTCCTTTCTAGACTAATCATAGGAAAGTAAATTGTTTTGAAAATTGAAAGCAAATCAACAAAAAGTCATCATCAAATCGCACAGGCAATTACTGCAATATACTGCTAATTACTCTGTCCTAGATCTTCAGAAGTTATATTTCATTGCTAATATGGCAATTAGGGTTTAGACTGATTTCTAAAAGTGAATAGCAAATGATATCATTCTAACTTTAGTTATATTCCTATAACAATTTATTTATTTATTTGATTTATTTGATTTCTCAATCGCTTACAAGTTAATAGGTATAAGTATAGTTATGAATACATGAAATGGGTACATATAAGAAAAATAAAAGAAACAATAGGACAGGGACGGTAGGCATGTTGGTGCGCTTATGCACGCACCCTACAGACCTCTTAGAAAAGGGGTGAAGTCAATAGTAGACAGTTTAAGGTTAAAGTTTTTGGGTTTGGGGAAGAAACCATAGAGTCAGGTAGAGTATTCCAGACATTGACCACTCTGTTGCTGAAGTCGTATTTCCTACAATCAAGTTTGGTGCGGTTAACCTTGAGTTTGTTTCTATTATGTGCTCTTGTTGTTATGGTTGAAGCTGAGGTATTCATTGACAGGTAAGTCATTGCAATGTATGATTTTATATACCACACTTAGATCAGACCAAAGATGGCATAATTCAAGGTTTTCTAGGTCTAGAATTTCAAGTCTGGTGCCATAAGGTATTCTACAACGAGTAGAGGAGTGGAGAACTCTTCTTGTGAAATATTTCTGGACTTTCTCAACTGTGTTAATATCAGATACGTAATGCGGGTTCCAGACTGATGAGCTGTATTCGAGTATTGGTCTAGCAAATGTTTTGTACGCTCTACTTAGTAGTGAGATATTACCAAAGAAAAAGCTACGTAGGATTAGGTTAACAACTCTTAGTGCCTTTTTGGCTATGGAGTTACAGTGGGCTCTAGCACTTAGATCATTAGAGATGAGTATTCCAAGGTCCTTTATAGAACTTGGATCATCAACAAGGTCTTGACTATTCAGCTTGTATTTTATTTTCTGATTTTTTTTGCCAATATGTAAGACAGAACATTTATTTGTTGAGATTTGAAGTTGCCATTTGTTTAACCATTCTGATACATAGTCAAGATCTTTTTGAAGGGTAGCAGTATTGTTGGTGGTGGTGAACAGCTTTACATCATCAGTGAAGAGAATGCAGTTGCCCTTAATATGATCACAGAGGTCATTCATGTAGAGTATGAAGAGAGTTGGTCCTAAAATACTGCCTTGGGCAGGGATCCCCAACCACCGGGCCCCGGACCGGTACCGGTCCGTGGAACATTTTCTACTGGGCCGCCAGTTTGCCGGGCGCCACCATCTTGTTTCGATGAGAAAGTGCTTCCGAGTGAGCTTTTCCGGTTGGAAAGCAGCGTTTGGGTCCTGAAGGAATCCTTGCGCCTTAGTTTCATCAAAGGGGGGGGCGGCTTCGAATGAAACTAAGGTGCGAGAATTCTTTCAGCACCCAAAGCAAGGCGAGCTGAGCGACCGTCCCGAAGCCGTCCCGAAGCCCATCGACAAAGGTACAAAGGAGGAGTTGAAGGTGGCAGGGAGAAGTGGGGGACGGCTGGCTGGCCAGTCACTCGGCTCGCCTTGTCTTGTCATGCGTGCTGATGCCGGTACCGGGCCGTGGATCATTTTGTGATGCCAGTACCGGGCCGTGGCACAAAAAAGGTTGGGGGCCATTGGCCTTGGGGGACACCACTATTGACAGGTACAGAATTTGACAGGACGCTCCCAATTCTGACCATTTGTTGTCTGTTTGACAGGAATGCTTCTATCCAGTTATGCAGGTGTCCAGAGATACCATAAGATTTTAGTTTTAGGAGTAGTTTGTCGTGTACCACTGAATCAAAGGCTTTACAGAAGTCTATGTAGATTGCATCTATTGCTTTGCCCTGATCGAGCTGTGTAGTCCCTATGTTTTTGCAGTGTAAGAGTTGCAGGTTACAGCATAGTTTTTTTCTGAAACCAAATTGTTTATTGGAGAGTAGGTTATTTGTCTCTAAGTGGAGGATAATGGATTGGTTAATAATTGATTCCATGACTTTACAGGTGATGCAGCATAAGATTGGTCTGTAATTTTCAACTAGTCTGGGGTCTCCCTTTTTGAAGATGGGGATGACTGTGGCTTGTGACCATAGGTTAGGCAAGGAGCTGGTCCTGAAAGATTTGTAAAGATTATGCTTAGAGGTTCTTCTATGGCAGCGGGTAGCTTTTTTAAGAAGTAGGCACATATTCCATCTGGTCCAATAGATAGAGATGGTTTTAGATCGCGTAGTGCTTTTTCAACATTGTCTTCTGTAAAATCGATATGTATTAGATCAATGTAGTTGTCTGTGGTTCGACTAGGAAATACTGGGCATGATCCATTGCTGTTTACAAATACTGAGCCAAAGAATGTGTTAAAGATGTTGGCTTTAATGGTCGTTGCTGTCTTTACCATTAGGTCCTATCAGGGGTGGGATGGACCCTGAGTCTTTTAGTTTGTTGTTTACAAAATTGTAAAAAGCGCGGGTGGAATTGGTGCGTAGGTGGTTTTCCTCTTGCTTACTGTGATAATTGGTGCATTCAGTCTTTATCTGGTGGCATAAATTTTTGTATCGGCTTTTGAAATTGGCAACATGACCAGATTTGTTTTTCCACAATGTAAGAATGTGCTTAAGACCTTTAATGTCCCACACGACTTTTGGAACAAAAATTCTACCTACTCATGTATAAATTTCAATCTTACTAGACAGGCTACTATCTGAATCTATCACTTTCTGCAGAATAATTCTGATTCTCTCATAAAATATAGACTCCTACAAAGTATGTTCCAATTTAGCCAGACAACCAATGTAGCAAAAACAAAATATTTGCATTGAGGGGTTTTCCTAAAAAGAAATACAAAGGCTTCTACTTAAATTTATATTCACTGCATTTTCAAATATGTACACACATAGTGGGAAAAACACCTAATATATTGATAATACACTTTAAAAATAATTACCTTCCCTATAAGCAGACTTTGGTTGCCAATTTGTAACTACAGGATATAAGAATAAAGGATCTTCTTCTCCTGTAAGATCTTGTCCTAGTGAGAGCAGATTAGACTAAATTCAACACAACGAACAGCAGTGTACAGATACACTCAATACATTTCACAAAAAAGTGATATCACTTAAATCAGGCGTGTCAAACTTGCAGCATCACGGTGGCATCAAGTGAAGTATCGGGACTTTTTTCTCCTTCGCTAAGCCGGGCTTGGCCATGGCCAACCCATGACACATCCAGCCCATGGGACATGAGTTTGACAGCCCTGACTTAAATAAATGTTTCTCATTTTATTAAATTTTTACTTTTCATTTGTTATATACATTTGTTCTTTTTTTCTTCAAAATTTTAAAATATAACATGAATTTTAGCCATATCATTATTAGTTTTGCGGAACATAAAATATGTATCAAATATACATCAGTGGAAATTTAGGATCAACTCAGGGGTGGGATTCTACCGGTTCAGGCCTGTTCTATGTTATGGTTCAGCACAGTTTGGAGAACTGGCAAATTGTGCCCCTGGCTGGCCTCGTCCCTCTCCACCCACCCTGCCCCTCCCCTCAGTCCTTATGGTGCATGCGCGACATCGTGCGTATGCCCATCATCACTGACTGCTTTCTCCTCCTCCCAGTCACTCCTTAAGGTATTTCTTTTTCTCCTACCGATGATCAGCTGTTCCAATAATCAGCTGTGCCGAGATCCTCCTAGCTGTCTTACTGCTTTGCCCAGGAGGCTTCCCTGAGGCCCAGGAGGCAAAGCAGGGTTTGCGGGGGGGGAACTGTACCCCCCCGCGTTCCATTCTTTGCCTTCCTGAGTCCCAGGAAAACCTTCTCTGAGCAAAAACACCCAAGGAGGCTCCCCTGAGGCCCAGGAGGCAAAAAAATGGGAGGGGGGGGGTTGCTGCAAAAAAATAGGAAGCCACACCCACCCAGTCACATGACCATGCCTACCAGGCCATGCCCACCTGGTCACGCCACAGAACCAGTTGTTAAAATTGAATCCCACCCCTGGATCAACTAAATATGTAATAATTTTGATTAACTGGTTCTCTTCCTTGTTGTGGAACAAGAAACAAATTATATAAAAAGCCGTTTTAATATTAGTGATCAAATATTTTAATAAACACATTTCATTTATTAATCATCATGGTCTCTACTATAGCCAGAGTTTTCAATCAAGTTATATATCCTTTAATAGACTGGAATATTGTTCCATTTAAATCTATTTTTTCTACACTGAAATATTCTAACATATCCAAATTTAATTTCACTTCAGAGGAGGAGGAGAGGGAGGGAAGTGGGAAAGGAAAGGGAATTTTTGAAGTTCCCTGCCAATTGCCCACAAGGAAACTTAATGGGAAAGTTGGAAGTCACTCCCATTCCCACTGCTTTTTTATTTTGCCCATGGTCATTCTGTTTCTCTGTTTCAGTAATGAAGTATCTCTGAAGGATGACCTAACTGGGGTTGAGTTGTCTAGTATTATACTAAAGTTTAGAAAGTACTTAAATAGAATCAGGATATTTAGATTATTTTGTTATCTAAATACAAAGTAAATTTCTTTGAAGATAGCATAAATATTATATGCAGGAACATATTTTTTTCTATATATAGAAAAAAACATCTCTGCAGATGGACTGATTTTAAATTCCATATTTTTTAAAAAATAAGTATACCTAACATACAGTATTTAGCATATGTGATGAAATGCTTAATATGCTTAATGGGATTAACATATTTAAATATATGATTATCTAGATGATAACAATGGTTATTAGGACCAAGATATACATATTAAAAATATACCTGCTTTTATCAATTTCAAAAGCATGTTTTCCAGAACTTCTAAATTCTCATTTACTTTTCCAACTCCACCCATATGTGCTCTCAGCCTTTTAGAAGGAATCTATAATAATACATTAATTTACCATTTTATATAGCACTTAGCTAGCTGCAGAATTAAAGCAAAAACATCAGCAGGTCAATAATTAACAAAACAGTCAATATTTCTATTTCACTTTAATCTAATTTCAAAACACAGTTTGGATTTGAATTTGAATTCCAGACCATATGAATTCCACATCTGAATTCCCGACCATATTATAATGAAAGCAATGATGCGCTAAGATTTAAGCCAGACAGGGTTGTTGTGGTCAAATTAGAGGAGGAAGGATATCACATATGTTTGTCGTCTTGATTTATTTATAAAAAAATTAAAATAAAAGCAGGATAAAAATAAATAAATAAACTAGCCCTCAATAGTAAAGTGGGATCAATAAACATAAATCTATGCCATTTATTCTGGAAACATAAATCTATGTCATGCTCTTACCTCCAATTATATATATAAGTTATTGCTATGTTGGGGTTCTGTTTACTCTATGCAAACTAGCCTTCTAGTCCTGTTCAGTCTGCATACTAATCTCATTCATTTCTCATTCCCCTCCACAAGGAGAGGGAAAACATCCATAATAAAGTCTCCCAATCACTCACCAAGTGTGATTTCTAATTTTCCAGAATCTCCATTTGTTTTTTGGTTTCAGTAAGGAGCAACCCTAGCCAACCTTACAAGTGATCCTTGTTTAACAATCATTCATTCAGTGACCACTTGAAGTGATGGCGGCACTGAAGATAGACTTTAAACTGGTCCTTGAAGTTATGGCCACGGCTCCAGCCCTGTGGTCATGTGATCAAAATTTGGGCAACTGGCAGGCAGCCAGCAATTAACACTACAGGGGCATCTCAACTCAGTCCATCTGCCTATTTTCCCCCATCTGTGTCCTTTTGGCCCCTTGCACTCCACAGATTCTGATATCCTAGTTGATTTCTGCCACCTTCTTTCTTCCGCTGCTGACCAAGCATGCCTGGCCCTTTGTGAGGCAGCTGCCAGCAACACGAGGCTTTCTTCCCCAGGTTGCACACAATGGCTTCTTTGCAAGATTGAGGAAGACAGTCTCAAGTGCCTAGAAGCTTTCTTGCAAAGGGCCAGGCTGGGTGAACCCTGTCAGCAGCAGGAGCAAGAAGCTGGGGCCGTGGAGCACAGAGCAAAAGGGGGCTCAGAGTGCAGAGTGGCAAGGGTGATTATGACTGGGCTGCGGAAGCTGCAATTTCCTAGTGTAGCAAAAAAACTCTTTGCACTATTCTATTGGGCTGGGCTTTGCATTGTAGGTTATGGGCTTCTGTAGAGCTACAGCATACCAAGAAGTCCCTTTGCACCATATTGCTGGAGTGGGGCTGGCCTTTACACTGTGCTGCAGCTTGACAGGCTTTTGCAGTTCCCGAGCTGTGGCATGACACAATGGCTGTTTGTGTTTCCCTGTGTATGACAGCTTTGTGCTGTACTGCTGAGCCTTCCCAGAGTATAGCAACTTTACATTGCATTGCTAGGGCCTTCCAGAGTGCAGCAGCTTTTGCAGCCCCAGAGTTGTGATGCCCCGGGACATGGCACAAAGGCAACACAGTCAGATAAGCAATAAGAGTCCCTTTATTATCTCCAACTTGGCCTCCAATGTCCAGGTTACCTTCGGGCTGGAGAAAAACTCTCCCAGGAACAGCCTTTGACTGAAGAAAATTCAGTCCAAAACAAGGTACACACAGACTGTAACTTAAAATCCAAACAACCAAACTGAAGTAATTAGTTTGGCAGGGCAGGAGCAGGAATTTCAAACTTGAAAGCATCGTAAAATTCACATAGTTAGGAAGACGCTAGCAACACAGATAAGCCATGACAATGCAAGATAAAGTCACGTTTGATCCCAACAGCCTGCTGCACGCAGCTTGCCGTTTTTATGCACTGTGTTCCCAGTTGCAGCTAGTGAAGGAAATCAGGGCCCTTTCCTCCCCCATAAGCCACACAGCCCACATTGCTCTCTTCTCCATTCCTCCCTGCATGCCCTCAGATGAAGAGGGGGTGGGCCTGGGTCTTCCTCTGAATTCCCTCTCCCTTGTTCTATCTCTCTCCTGCTCTGCCCAGCCGAACTTTGCCCTTCCCCGGTTTCTTCCACAGCCAATGGAGCCACACTCCCACTCCCTGTCAGCTGTTTGGCTTCCTCCTCCAAGTCAGATTCCAACAGGGGCATGACAAGAGCTGCAATGGACCAAGAAGCCCACAGCTCATAGCATATTCTTTTCCTGGTCTTCCTGCACTCACGAAATATACATGCTCATCCTTTCTCCACCCTCCCTGAGCTCATGCCACATTCCCCTAACTTGCATGTTGCATGTACCAGGCCACCCAAACTGCTTCCACTTCCTTGTGGGAAACAAACTCCAAACCTGAAATTCCCTCTGCTTCCCTCATGTAGCCCATGTCTGGAGTTAAAATTGCAACTTACCAGGATTGATACTGCTAAGCAATGCAGTCATGTGATGTCTCATTTTATTATCACGTCACTTAAACATGAAAATTCTGGTCCCAACTATGATCCTAACAAGGACTTCCTCTGTCTGACTTCCAATGCTAAATAGGATCAGATCTAGCTAATACTTGAATAGAACCCATCCCCTCCCACTTGTGATTGTAGGACTGTAACTTTGTCACTTGTATCCTTACGATTTATATTGACTCTTTCCTAGTATGATTTGATTGCTGATTGTACCCTATGACTACCATTAAGTGTTGTATGTTATAATTCTTGATTCTTAATGAATGTATCTTTTCTTTTATGTATACTGAGAGTATTTACCCCAACACAAATTCCTTGTGTGTCCAATCACACTTGGCCAATCAAGTATTCTATTCTGTTCTATTCTAAAAAAAAACCATCATGGAATTCCAGGCTGCAGGTTAGATTGGATAGTTAGACCATAAATTGAATGGTCTATTTCTACACTGTTGCTAGGAGAACTGCATGGATGAGTCTAAGTAGTAAGGATCACTCAAAAGCATGTTTATCCTTTATCCTGGAGATCTTTCATGGACAGAAGAAATTCTTCACTCCAGACATTCACCCTCTATACCAGGGGTGTCAAACTTGTGTCGTCACAGTGTCATGTGACATATTGTAACTTTTTCCCCTTTACTAAACCAGGTGTGGGCATGGCCAGCACCTGATGCATCTGGTTCGCAGCCTGCAAGTTTGACAGCCCTGCTCTATACAATAAAGGTGGCAAGAGAGTGAGCTATTGTGCTACTCTCCTTCCTCCTTAAAATGGCTTATGTATCTATCCTGCTCCTTCTCCAATCATTTACTTTCATAATTTGCTCCTTCTATTTGGTTGCTCACTTTTAATAAGATATTCTCTTACTGTACTCCTAGTAGACTTGTTCCATAGGGTTAGTTGTACTTGTTATACTGTAAATATTAACTAGGTTTAGTTAAATGGAAAATATATATCGTACAACATCCCAGTAAATCATTATGGTTTTATGTACAGCCGATGAGCCCAAAAGATGCCACCACATCAAACTACCCACATAGAGCCCTAATCCCCATTCTCAGTTTTCAGCCTTCCTCATACTACAGGACAGAAAGTAAACTATACAACAGAAGAGAGGGAGAGACAAACAGACAGACCATACAACAGCCACTTGGGTTTTGTTAACTCCTTGAAGACTGAATCAGATCACCTTTCCTTTTCATAAATCATATAAAACGAGAAATGAAATGAAAAACAAGAGCAATTACCTCCTCTTCTAGTATTTCATCCGCTCCTTCTCCAGCTATAGCTGCTTGGGATGGTGTTTGTGAGCAATCCAACAACTTTTTTCCATAGTTAATAATGACTACTGCTAATTCATATTCTTTCCATAAGCGCAGTATCTATTAAATATATATCATTTAAGTCTATATAATATTCACAAGGTTTTTTTAAAAAAAAAACACAAATCTTGTGCCAACTTATAAAATAAGCTTTAAATCCAAAGAAGCTATATACAGGGATGTATGGGGATAGTGATCGGGAGAATCACTGCTGCAAAAAGAACCAAAAAAGTTTCTACTTACACTTTTTTCCTTCCCAGCATATTCAAACATTATCAGATAGGTCAATTTTATGATTGAGTGCTTAGCTTCTATCTGCTCAAGGCTTGTGAAAATGTTTCCCTTCCATTTTGATCTTATTCAGCAATGAGATCTTTCTTATTAATGGTCTGGTCCCATAACACAGTAAGATTATAAAGTGAGGGCTCCAAACGATACTGCTTGCTAGCAATTTTGCCAATTTGAAGTCCATTCCTGCAGCATGTCAAGAGATTTCTCACATTCTCTCTCTGTTCCAGTCCTGTAGAGTTTGGTAAGAAGCCTGAGCTCTTTCCAACACTCCACAACAATACTTAACGACTACAACTCTGAGAACTGGGATTGTAGTCATTGTGCTCATGTGGCATCTTGCTTAATGAACACTTCACTCAGTGACCATGATTCCAGGCCCAATTGTGATCATATATTGAGAACTATCTGTATGTTGATGATAACCAGCTTAGTATAGCCACTCTGGGCTGGGCTGGAGAGGATGTGAAGACTGTTTTCCAGTGTCTGGAGCCTGAAAGTATCTGGATGGGACAGAACAAATAAACCCCAATGAGACAGAGTTACTATTTATACTCTGTTCTATTTATACTTGATGGGGCTATGTTATGCATCCAGTGTTGTTTCTTGATAGACAAGCATTACCTCTAAAACAGCTGATCTGTTACTTTTGAGTTATCTTGGACTCCTAGCTCCTAGTAGCAGATGAAGGCCATGCCCAGAAAGACTTTTCCTAATGAACTTGCTGGGCAGTTAGTTTTATTTAGTGCAAGGGAACTTAACTGTAGTGACTTTATCACCACAAAACTGAACTTCTGCATTCTGTATACAGGTGTCTTTAAAGACCACTCAGAAACTAATTGGTCCAAATGCAGTGACCTAGCTTCTGAACAGACCCTGTATAGTGGGGAGCAGCTGGCCATAACAAAACAAAAGAGAATGAAACAGACGTATGCGCCTAGAAATAATTGCCTTACTCTAAGAACCAATAGAGGAAAAGAGTATCACATCAGGTTCTGGGAAAGAATAGCTTTGGGTTTTAGAAGTGATTGGAGTCCCAGATGAGGGCGGTTACTTCGGGCAAGGCTGGCAAATGAGAGTTGTTCTATTATAAGCTAGAATTGCATTATGATTTACCTATTTTTTATTAGGTATGAATGTGGAATCTTATCTTCTTTGTTACCTTTAATAAAGTTGATTTTTTTGAACCCTGGAGTTGACCAATTGCTTTCTACCTTGGCTGAGGTATCACATCTCAAAAATTTTATTTGGTTTCCCTTCCTATAGTTTAACCAAACTTAGAGTGTGGCATGGATTTCCCCTTCAGTCACGTCCTGGTTCCCTGAAGGGTATGGTGAGGAAGACTATAACAAATGGGTGGTATCAGCAGCAAGGATATCTAATTTTCCAGTTACTGTTCACCTGTAGGTACAGGTTACCTCAGAAAAAAAGTATCTCAGAAGAAAGTACTGGTTTGACCCTGGCATACCTTATTACGCTTTGCCATCAGCAACATAAAATAATGATACTCAAACCTTACACTGGTTCCTGAATAGTTTCCAGGTACAATTTAAAGTACTGATTTTAACTTAAAAAGTGTTTCATGGCTTGGCACCTAAATATTTACAGAACAACATATTTCAGCCCTCTTGGGAGTACTACTGATACCCCATTACCAAGAGGGTTGCGGAACTATTCTCAGAAGTCAATGCTTTTTTATTGTAGTGCCAATTTAATGGATCAGTTTCCCTATTGATATATAGTTTACCAACTCCCTGACAAAATTCAGGAAAGAACTAAATCAATCAAGGGTGTCAAACTCACATCACTGTGGTGTCACGTGACATATCAGGATTATTTTCCCCTTCATTAAACTAGGCATGGCATGGCCAGCCCTTGGGCTGGGAGTTTGATAGCCCTGAAATAACCCATTTCTATGTGGCTCTTCCATAGTGTATTTATGCCATCAGTTTTGTTGTTATTGTTTACTTTTTTAATTATTATAAACTGACTATGGATGTTCTAATGTTACATTTCTTTGAATCCTGTTCCTATAGATCAGGGGTGTCAAACTCAATTTTATTGAGGGTCAAATCAGCACTGTGTTTGTCCTCTGCGGGCCAGGGGGCATACGGCCAGGAGAAGGGATGTGGCCAGAGTGGTTGTAACTGACTGGGTGTAACCAGGGCTGTGGCCCGCTTGACGTAGACACATGGGCAGCCAGCTAGAAAGGCTGAGGAAAAGTGGTAAAAGCATGCCTATTCCCAGCAGGCAAAATGCGGCCACTGCAAGCAGGGAAAGCTTGATCTGCATCAATGCTAAGGCCGCCCAAGCCCAGCCAGGATCACATGCCTTCCCCCGCACTCCCATCTCTGCTTAGCCTGGGTAACCAGGGCTCCGATGGGGATCTGGCTTTCCCCACTCGCGGTGGCCTTTTTTGCTTGCTGGGCCTGAGCCTCAGCTGCTGGCAGCCTCAGTGCCGAGGTGCACTGGGTATACGAGGGGAATGCATCTTTCTAATTGGTGCTTTGTGTTCTTCAGACTGGGTGAGTCTGCCGAGCGGTGGCGGAGTTGCCACCCAGGAGCTACCAGGAGTAGAGACCCCCAGTGATGTACCTCCTTCACCTGGACTGAAGGCAGCCTTCTATCTTGCACCACCACCCCCAGCCGCATCTCTGTTCCTAATTGAGGATTGCAGGCAAATTCCCTGCTCGGCCAGCATTCCCGGAAGACACAGCTCAGAGCACTAGGCCTACCCAGCCCGAAGGAGGCAAAAAGGCAAAGGTTGAGTAGAGGTGGTAAAGCACGGCCAGGCCCAGCAGGCAAAAAATGGCCACCGCAAGTGGGGAAGGCCAGATCCCCATGAGAGCCCTAGTTACCCAGGTCCAGCAGAGAGGGAGGGCATGCAATTCCGGCTGGGCTTGGGCAGCCATAGCCTTGAGTTTGACACCCCTGCTATAGATGTTCTACTGCTCCTTATAGTGGAACTTTTACGTTTTTGCTGTAAACCACCATGAACCAATTTATTAAAATTGGCAGTATGTAAGTCAAATAATTAAGTATGTCACAATATATAGTAGCAGTAATATCTATCTATCTATCTATCTATCTATCTATCTATCTATCTATCTATCTATCATCTCCTGAAAGGCAATAGCAAACCATTTCCATAGTGCTGCAAAGAAAACAAGGACATGTTCTTATAATTGCCCAAAATTGAAGAACACATCATTTTATTGTTCATATACTCTAATTACAAAGTTCAAATATTTTAAATTATGTAAATAATATAACATTCTAAATACCTTTGCTGTAAAATAGCAAGAACAAGCAATCATGTGCTGAATACTATCAAAGCAGCCTGTTGATTTTCTTTGGAATATTATAGTCGGAATTTCTTGAAGAACCTTGAGATACTTAATAATGATCTGAAAATATAGTAACGAATGTGTACCATTATAGAATATTACATGTATGAATAACTAAAAATGAACCTTTGTGCTGTAAAAGTAAGCATTTAAACTTTTATCATTCAATAAAAAAATAAACTTATGTAATTCATGTTGCTTTAATTTCCTATTAAAAATGTAACCTACCTGTTAGCATGCTCCAGTATCTATTCATTTTCTGTGATGACTTATTCACTGAAAATCTTGCATATTCTGCTATGCTTAGTAAAAAAGACTACTTTATCAGATCTTTATGCAGCTTTCTTTGAATCAATATGGTCCCCAACATATATTACCTCCAGGCCTTCAATGCAGTCTTACAATAGTCCTCATAATTAATAGAATCTAATTCTATTTTTGTGGCTTCCCAGGCAGGTTTGGAACTGTGCCCCTTCCCTAGGACTGTTCCACCAGATGGACAAAAATGGCAAGTTTCAATTTTGCAATTTATTACTATCATCATTCCTTTCTGTTTCTTTTATATATTGTATTTATACTTCAGCATTATGTTTTTATAATCCAAGCAATACAAAAAATGAACTCAAAATCTGTTTCTCCAAGTCCTTAAAATAAAAACAATTAGTCTTTTCCACTGTTAGTAATGGCTCCAGGTAAGACAAAAATGATTTCCCCTCTCAGAAATGTTCTAGTCATATCAAGTTCCCATATTTTGGTAAGTCTTAGTTCTTGCTTGGTTTTGACACAGAAACAATGTACTTTTTCAACAATTTGTGTCAAGTGTTTTACTCTTACATTGTTTTTAGTGTATTGAACTAAACATCATACAAACTTATACTTTACGAAAAATTCTTACCTGAATGACAGGTTTAGAGGGAATCTTGTGATAGATCAGGGGAGCTACAAGGCCGTAACAATTAACAACTGACTGAAGGGCATAGTGAACATCATTTAGCCAGTTACTAAGTTCAACTGCCACCAGCATTCGCCCACATTCATCTATTCTAGCAACCTAGAAAGAAAATTTTCAAAATTTTCATTGTTACAAAACAGAAATATGAAAAATACTTTTGCCATCTGAAGCAGCATCTTTTGGGTCCCTCTTTTTTATATGCTTCTGGTGGATTTTATAACATTTTAAAATGCAGCTTTTATTGTAGCAGCTGATTAAAATGCAGTTTCACAACAAAACTGCACTTTGGAAAGTTGTAATACAAAGTTGCACAATGACTAATGAATGAGTGAAAGGAAATACCATCATTTTACATTAGATACAGATAATCAGAGTTGGAAGGGTTCTTGTAGGTCATCTAGCCCAAGCAGGAGACCCTACACCATTTCTGACAAATGGCAGTCCAATCTCTTCTTGAAAGTCTCAACTGATGGCGCTCCCACAACTTCCAAGGGCAAGCTGTTCCATTGGTTGATTGTTCTGTCAGAAAGTTTCTCCTTGTTTCCAGGTTAAATCTCTCCTTGTTCAGTTTCCATCCATTATTCTTTGTAGCTTGACCCCTTCCTCCCTGTGGCAGCCCCTCAAATATTGGAAGACCGCTATCATGTCTCCCCTGGTCCTTCTCTTTACTAGACTAGCCAAGCCCAACTGTTCATTGTGTTTTAGCCTCCAGTCCCCTAATCATCCTGGTTGTTCTTCTCTGTACTTTTTCTAGAGTTTCAACATCTTTTTTATAATGTGGTGAATAAAACTGGATGCAGTACTCTAGTTGTGGTCTTACTAAGGCTTTATAGAGTGGTATTAGTACCTCCCTTGATCTTGATTGTATCCCTGTTAATACAACTTAGGATTGCATTAACTTTTTTGGCTGCTACTGCACACTGCTGGTTCATATTTAGCTGGTTGTCCACTAAGACTCGAAGATCCCTCTCACAGTTACTGCTATTGAGCCTGGTTTCACCCAGTCTACATGTGTACTTTTGGTTTTTCTTGCCTCAGTGTAGGACTTTACTTTTCTCTACATTGAATTTCATTTTATTAGATATGGCCCAGTGTTCTAGTCTGTCAAGATCCATCTGGATCTTGAGCCTATCTTCTTGGGTGTTAGCTATTCCTGCCAGCTTAGTACCATCTGCAAATTTGCTAAGTTCCCCTTCTATTCCCTCATCTAAGTTGTTAATGAAGATATTGAAGAGTACTCGGCCTAAGACGGAACCTTGTGGCACCCCACTGCTTACTTCCCTCCATGTAGACTTAGACCCATTAAGGACTACTCGTTGAGTATGGTTTGCCAACCAGTTGCGAATCCATCTAGTGGTGGTGCTATCTATTCCACTTTTTTCTAGCTTACTAAGAAGTAGGTTGTGGTCTACTTTATCGAATGCCTTGCTGAAATCTAAATATATTATGTCCACGGTGTTTTGCTGGTCTACTAATTTAGTCACTGTGTTGAAGAATGAAATAAGATTGGTTTGCCAGGATCTGTTTTTAACAAACCTGTGCTGACTGCCAATTATTACTTAATTGTTTCTAGATGTTGGCAGATCTGTTTTTTTATTATCTTTTCCAGTATCTTCCCGGGTATTGATGTTAGGCTGATTGGTCTATAGTTTCCTGGGTCTGTTTTTTTTCCTTTTTTGAAGTGGGAACCACATCAGCTCTTTTCCAGTCCTCTGGTAGTTCCCCGGTGCTCCAGGGTTAACGAAAGATATGGTGCAGTGGTTCTGAGATGATCTCTGCCAGCTCTTTTAAAACTCTGGGATGTAATCCATCAGGCCCGGTGATTTGTTTTCATCAAGATCAGACAGGTGTTCTCTTACTATTTTTTTGTTTATTTTAACTTTTATTTCTGGTCTCTCTTTTACAGTTATGTTTTTGGTGGGTTGAGCTATAGTTTCTTTTTGCATGAAGACAGATGCAAAGAATGAGTTAAGTAGTTCTGCTTTCTCTCTGTTGCCTGTTACTTCCTTGTCTGTTACTTCTGCCCCTACATTTTTTCCATGAAATAGGCAAACATTTAAATATAAAAATGACATAATAGTTTGCAGATCAGAACACAATTATCATTCAGATGCCAGTTCTTCAACTATTATGATGCAATTCTAAACTCAATACATGTATACCCTAATATATTAGATAAAGCTGTTTTTAAAAATAAAGAAAAGAGTTGAATAAAAATAAATGGTCAATCTTTTTAAAAAAATTGCAGGTGGTTAATTAACCAAATAAATTCATAGTACATCCCTATTATATTAGTCACTAAATTTAGGGTATAAGTAGTGTAAAGGCAGGAATGAATTTGAATGTTTCATCACCTTTTTTCCTCCCCCCCCTCCAAATTATTGTTTTGAGACAGAGATGCCCACAGAAACGATCAAAAATGTCAAAAGAGTAGCCCTGACTATACAATTGAAAACCATCTTTTTTTAGGTGTGTCATAAAAAGGGGGAGCTTCAATTTTTTACCTTCTGTTGATATCCTGTTGATACCATTTTCGGTTATCAGGGAAACTAGAATTAAAGCTCTTTGCAGATTCAAATAATTTCATTTACTGAGGTGATAATGTAAGTAATTAATAATATGCAATTCATTCTTAGTTCAAAGAATTTCAGATTTGAAAATATTATGTTACAAGTTCAAACACCTGTTTTCAGTACAAAATCAGTAGTCTCGATGATTTTCGAAGTCCTTTAAGCATAAAGAAAGAGTGTTTGACATTCAAAACAAGAGTTGTTTTGAATTCAAAATGCTTCCAAAATGATTTAAAAACATACAGTTTACAAAATTGGACATTCTGAATTCATTTGCTTTAAATCTGAAGTGGCTACACACCTCTACAATTAGGGCTTAGAAAACCTAGAATATAATCTGTCCAAACTGAATGGTATGTTATGCAGATCTGTTCCTTCAATTATAAGAAAGCTAACCCACAACTATTTTGCATGTGTTCATGTATAAGAACAGTACCATAAAAAAATCTGCACTGAATATAAAGTAAAGCCTATCTAATAAGAATTTCACTTTTACAGTGGTATTTTTGCATCCATGCAATAGGTACAGGTAGGCATCATGCCTACAAGGGCTATCAAACTCCCAGCCCGCAGGACACACGCACGCCTGGTTTAGCGAAGGGGGAAAAAGTCCCAATACATCATGTGACGCTCCTGTGACAACGTGAGTTTGATACCCTTGTTGTAGAGTATAATACAGGTAATCTTTGGCTTCATTTAGTGACTGTTCGAAGTTACACCGGAACTGAAAATAGTGACTTTGACTAGTTTTCAAACTTATGACTGTGACCCAATGGTCACATGATTTACAACTGACTCATATTAATGACCATTGCAGTGTTCAGGAGTCACTGTATGACCTTCTGACAAGCAAAATCAATGGAGAACCCAGATTCTTTTAACAACCATGTTACTAATTTAACAACTGCAGTGATTGATTTAACAAATGTGGCAAAAAAGTCATTAAATGGGACAAATTTACTTAACAAATTGTTCACTTAACAACATAAATTTTGGGGCTCAGAGGTAGTCATAAGTTGAGGACTACCTGTAAAATCTTGAAAACCTGACAACTTCCCTGTGTGCCCCAGAGAATCAGAATAGGCTTAGATTTCTAAGGAAGAAGCACCCTCTTCCTCACCATGGCTAAGTAGATATTTTATTTAACCAGTCTATTTTATTTCACCAGTCTTGCATTCTTTCTTGAAGATTAGCTCCATCTTCCTCTACATTCAGTTGCACAGAATGCATAAAAATAAGCTGGCTCACTTCTGATCATAGTCATAAACATATAGAATCACTGAAAACCTTTTGGGCAGGGCTAAGAAAGTACAAACTTAGCAACTTCATGGCTTCAAAGCTCAAAACTATGTCTCTAAAACAGTATTAAAACATAGTATTTTTCACTAAGGTATCCTTTCAATAATGGAAAGTTAAATGTGAATTGCAAGATATTTGCCTTCTACCTAATATATAATTCTGTAGATGAATTTTACTTGTGGTAAGAATATTAAGAGCAAGAAAAATAAGATCACATCAAAAATACTAATGTTGCATAGCACATACTTGTCTTTTATACTTAAGCTCATTGAAACAAATAGAATCACAGAAGAGACATCCTTCATTGACACTAATGTCACTCATGATAAAAATACTTCTCAGAAACATATATAAGAGGTTTGGAGATGCCTGTAGCAGGGCTTCAGAATTTAGCCTACAAAAAGAAAAAAAACAACAAATAAAAACATCATTTATTTTGTGGATATTGTTATTGTTTTAATCCTTTTTAAATTATTTAAATTGTTTTATAATTTTAGAACTGTAAGCTGCCCAGAGTCACTTGGTTGAGTTGGGCAGCTATGGAAATTGAATGGATTGATGGAGGAAGAAAGGAAGCAATAAATAGCATAAAAATGGTAATAATAGCAGATTAATGACTAAAACCGACAGAGTTAACTGGCTGTAATAAGTTAAAATGAAAGACAATTCTAACTCTATTATAACTGGCAAATCTTCTGGATGGCAACCTAATCACTAACATATTGCACTAGTACACATTTCTTTGCAATGTAATATTGCCATTGTAAAAGATGATGATGATGATGATGACGATGAAACGATGATGATGATGGCTGCTACCTATGCAACTATCATTGATCAATATTGTCATATTACATATGGTATATATTACTATACTGCAAATTGTGAAATAATGACAGCACATGGTTTACCTATGTAACTTTGATCAGTTTTACTAGTCTTAATTTACTTGTTTTAGAGGAACAGTATATCCAAAAAAGTACATTGATCAAAATGTAACTACTGAAGAAAGCTGTTATTATTAAAATATGGTTGTTTTAAGACCCTATGTTTCAACAATTGCTTCTTGGTATTTAGAAACATTTGTCAAACTATTTAAAAGTGAAACAATATTCACTATTAAAATAATCATATAAACTGAATAATTTGAAAAACAGTTGTTAGTTACCTGTTCTGCGGTACAGACAAAGTGCTGCTTACAGAAACTATAGTGACATCAGTAACAGGAATACAGGGCACTGAGACAAAACAATCCCAGAGTGGTTGAAATGTTTTTTTGCATAATGCATAGTTTTCAATCTGAAAAGCAGACTAAAAATATAGTTATATTTTGAAACACCTTTTCTATGCTTATTTGAAATTATCATATGCTGTATAATCAGTAAAGTTGATGAAAACATCAATAAAATGAAAATCACATTAGTTTTATACAAACTAAAGCAAACACATTGGACAAGGTTCCTTAAAACAAAAGAAGAATTCTAGTGATATAAGGTAGCAAGATGGACAGTTGGAATGGAGCAAGATACAGTAACGGAATTTATTTATTTTATTTATTTATTTGATTTGTCAATCGCTTACAAAATAATAGGTATAAGTATATACATAGTTATGAATACATGAAATGGGTACATAAAAGAAAAATAAAAGAAACAATAGGACAGGGACAGTAGGCACATGGGTGTGCTTATGCATGCCCCCTAGAGACCTCTTAGGAAAGGGGTGAGGTCAATAGTAGACAATTTAAGGTTAAAGTTTTGGGGATTTGGGGAAGAAACCAGAGTCAGGTAGAATATTCCAGACATTGACCATTCTGTTGCTGAAGTTGTATTTCCTGCAATCAAGTTTGGTGCGGTTAACCTTGAGTTTGTATCTATTGTGTGCTCTTGTGTTGTTATGGTTGAAGCTGAAGTATTCATTGACAGGTAAGTCATTGCAATGTATGATTTTATATACCATACTTAGATCAGACCGAAGATGGCGTAATTCAAGGTTTTCTAGGTCTAGAATTTCAAGTCTGGTGGCATAAGATATTCTACAACGAGTAGAGGAGTGGAGAACTCTTCTTGTGAAATATTTCTGGACTTTCTCAACTGTGCTAATATCAGATACATAATATGGGTTCCAGACTGATGAGCTGTATTCAAGAATTGGTCTAACAAATGTTTTGTATGCTCTAGTTAGTAGTGTGATTTTACCAGAGAAAAAGCTACAGAGGATTAGGTTAACAACTCTTAATGCCTTTTTGGCTATGTAGTTACAGTGGGCTCTAGCACTTAGATCATTAGAGATGACTATTCCAAGGTCCTTTACAGAGGTTGGAATAGTCATTAATTAAATGAATTAAGTGAAATGAAGTCACAAATCCTAGATTGCTGTAAACTTGAATAAATCAGGGATGGTAGGGATATCTCACAAGCTAAATATCTGGCCAGGAGGGAAGAATATAGTGAAAGATTTAAGCTACAGATAAAGCAATGTAAAGAAGGTTCAGCAGAATTGGCTGCTGAGAATTTTTCCTATAAATTTTTGAAGGATGGGTAATTTCAATTCAGCATAATGCAAACAAAATGGTACTTTATATAAAAACAATATTTTAAAATATTAAAAATACTATATTTGTATTAAATTAGAATCAAAACATTACTAAAACAAATAGCATTCTTTCCTTAACTGAATTACTGCCAAAAAAAGATTTAGAAATATTTTATTGGGGGGGGGAATCTTATTTTTAGAAGATATGCATCCTGAAATTGAGAGTCGGATTACAAAAGAATTGGAGTTATCAAAGCAAAAGTATTATATGCTACCTGAATCAGATACGTTCGGACAATAGCAACAGATAGAGGAGGATAGGCAAGAATTGGTTTAGTTGTTTCTCCAATGCTATCACCGATGATTTTTCCATCTGAATCATAGGCTGCAACTGCAAATACATAATTTTGATTGGCCTCTAAATCTTGTACTTCTAAGACACAAGTTTCATCAGCTGGTATCTGATAATAAAAAATGTATTCGTTAAAATAAAAAGAAAAATCATGACAATTAATATCAAAATAATGTTAATACCAAAGTGTTATATTTATTATGCTTTATGCTATTCCTCTGACAAAAGCCCCAAAACAACCCCACTCTCAAATGTTTTAAAACTAAAATGAAGTTAACATCCATACTCTAGATGGGCATACCCTATTTTAATTTTTTTATTCTCAATTATTATATAATTAAGCTGACATTACACAATTAGTCCTCAATTTACAACCAAAATTGAAAATGGAACTAGTCACTAAATGAGAAGAAAATGAATTTAAGGTGGCTTCATTTATATAAAATGAAAAGTCCATTTTCACATCACATGATTTTTTTAAGGTTCTCAAACCACTGCTCATGCCTAGCAATAGCTTTGAAGAAAATTCATACAAACTAACACCTTCGTCGTTATGAAAGACATTACCGCTTCTGCTGTGTTCTTGAGACTATAATTATTTAACCGAGCTTTTGGATTGCTTCCTTCTGCTACACACCCAAAAATGCTGTACCAAAAAACCTTAAAACACAAAAACAAATACACAAGTATTATTAGTTCTACAGCTATAATTCTGTCTAATTTATGGTTTCAGACTCATAGCTCATGGTCATACGTGATCTTCCAGCTCATTCTATGTGGCTCTTGCCTTATTCACACACAGCCTGATAGTATCTGAGCAGCAGTTTAACAATTCCTGAGCAAACAGTAAAGTGAACAATGGCTCTGTGACTACAAGACAGGCTATGAGGTGGCTCTACCCCTACCTTCACCCCTCAGAAATATTACAATATTTAGGTCTGGAAACTTCTTCCTTTGCCACCATTGCAGATTTTCCATGCTCTGTGCTCATGCAACAAACTGGCAGGACTTGGACTAATGGCGCAGCATAGAACTTGGAGAGCAGCTACCCTCCTTGCCAGGTGCTGAGCTGTACTTCTCACTCTTTTGAAGTGAGTTAGTTCGGATACTTAAGCTTAAATGTAAAGCTATGCCATTTGAAATGCCGGTAATTGTCCAAAACCACACACTCCTTATAATTATAATAATTTTTTCAAGACAAATTGGATCATCAAGATATTATTTTTATGCTTTAATACTTTACAACTCCAGTTAAAATCTATTTTATTTTCCAAAAATTGCTGCATTTTCACAATATATATGTATTTTAAAAATCCTGTTGAAAGAACATTGAAAAATGATTATATTCTACCATCTAGTGGCACTTGGTTTACATTTTGGGTTTTTTATTTAAACATGTGCAAAAATAGCACCATGCAGTATGTGAACAATAATGTTGCTTTTTTAATACTTAATGAGAACAAAAAACATAAGTAAATTGTAAATATAAAATGTTTCAATATTGGATGATGATCTTGTAGTGTATATTAAAATTCTAGCAAATGTTGTGTATACAGCATTCAAAATTATATATGTCCCTCTCTATAGTAGAACAAGTTGATGAAATACTATACATTAAATCACAAGGGTGTTTCTCCCCCCACCCCACCCCACCCCACCCAAAAATTACCTTCACATCTGAAGAAAATGGTGCTGGCTTAAATGCCATGGAACAATTTGTCCTAAAAAGTAGTATTGGAGGTGGTGGAACTTTGCTTTTCGTGCTATTTGTATGATTTAATAAAGTGGCATTTAGTGTATTTTGTTCCATTTCAGTTTTCTGAATCAGAATAAATGCTTCCTAGAATTTAAATACAAATCCCAAGAAAGTAATTATTTCATTTAAATTTCTTTCATATGCAAAGTATAAAAGAATCACAGTTACAGCCAAGGACAGTTTAGTGGACAGTATTAAAATTATTACATGATTTTTCAAATGATCAGTTATTTACATTCCTGAAAGACACAATATCTTCCAGTCCATTGCTGTGCTTTTGGTTTTATTTTTTGTAAGATTTATAATTTATTAACAAATGCAGAAGTTCACTCAGTTTTCCAGAACTAAAATCTTGTTCTTTCTTTCCAGATACTGTTTGGTTCCTTCTCTTTTAATACTCTAATTATTTATGATGCTCAATTTATATCACTGAATTTCTGCCTGTATTTTTAGAAGTATTAGAAAACAGTGCACAGTGCAAAGGCTTGTAGAATTTCTGAATGGGTAACCTGCAGACCTACAAGGCTTAAGGCACAATTCCGTCCCTTAAATGCCCCCAATTCTATTTTCTACTCATTACAACATGCTATGTGAACTAGCCTATAAATCACTATTCCTGCTTTATAGTAATGTAATAATTCAGGTTTCATTTACAGTAATAAAAAGGATTTTATTATTGTGCCTTTACCTAGATTTGTAGGTTATTTTTATTTTACTTTTAAAAGTATTTCAATCTTACTTTTTGATACAGAAAATTCTTAAATAATATCTGTTATTAAAAAAATTGCTATGACAATTTTCAGGAATGCTGAGTTTGTATGGAATCTACAATTCATAAATACTGCTACAATAAACAATCACATGAATGAAAAATATAATTACACATCAAATTTACTTAAATTAACAATATAATTTATATACTTTCAGAAGCTGATTTGCAGAAGAACAATCTAATCCTACTGGAAGCATCAGGGTAGCTTTCTGCATCAAGTAGAGAGCTTTGGACAATTTATTCTTTTTTATTTTCTCCATTATCTCCAATTCTGTAAAAACAAATTTTTGAAAGTTAATTCAATTTCTTCATATAAAGTTTAATTCTGCTGGGTATTTTTACAAGTATGTACCTGTTAGATATTTTAACTGGCTTACATTCCTTGCAAGACCCTTGGCCTTTGGACTTTTGTCACCACTTTGAGTGTCTAAAAAAAAGCATAAATGTGTTTGTGTACATATTATATGGTCTACAATTATACAGTAACACAGAAGAAGTAACAGTTGTACAAGTGATCCTTGCTTAATGACCAATGGTTCAGAAACTACTTGAACTTATGATCACATAATGTTTGAATACAAAAGGCTGCAGTTGAACAAGATGGGCATTTTGATTACATACAGTCAGAAAAAAAGTGATGAGTCTCCATTATTCATTTTATAAAAAGCATAGAAATATCTTTATAAAAGAAAAGAGGCAATATAATTAATTTCAGATTTGTAAACACGAAGCAGCAGTGGCCATGTTTGCAAGTCTGTAATATGTGGTATAAGCAAAGCAAAAATTTACCTGGATAGAAAAATATAATTTTTACAACTTTATCCTGGAAATACATAAATACTATTAACTGAGAATAGTGCCATGATAAAAATAATCTGGATCCATAATAAAGACATAATAAATAAATACTACACATATTAAAAGTTATATTTTCATATTTATGATACATAATAAAATTGAATGGTCTTCCAGTATGAAATGTAATTACCAAAAAGTCCTTATACCACCTTACTTTACCTACCTTGAGTTGCATTAAGTAGTTTAATTGCTATTCGGTGCTGAGCCTGAATAAGTTCAACGTGCAGATCCATAATAAAATTGTTCCCTATTGGTGATCTCTCATTATCTGATGATAAAGTTTTATTCACAACCTGCTCTTCTGTAGTCATCTGCTTGAAAGAAAATTTGCCAATTCATCTTTATATATTTTAGGAAGCATTTTTTTCAAAATGGCTATTCAGCTTTCTTTTGGAATATTTTACTAGTTCTATTAAAACAATTAAAAGGCAAAAGTGATAATTAGTATAACCCAAATCACAAGTATAAATAAAAACAAATCATAAAGTGGGGGGGGGGGACTTCCACAAAAGACAACAGAAAAAAAACTTTTCTAACTCAGAAATATTATTAAGTTAATCATCATAATTAAATACTCTATGTTTCCTTTAATATACTGTTCCAATAATAATTAGAAGGGTTAGATTAAAAAAAATATTGATATTTCAATTTCAAGTTTAATCTTAATTTTTGCAATAATGCTGTATGTTTCTCTTCAGTACTTTTCTTTCCTTTTTTTTTTAGTATGACCATGATTAACTATGTTTTAAATTGTTGTCTTGCTGGAATATCCAACTTGTTTTCAGCTTCTTCACTGGCTAGGAGAAATTGGCTTGTAGGATATGTTGTTATATAATTAAATCCATTGCTTCTTCCACTTGCAATACATTTCCTGACCTATGGCTATTGGCTACCACACAATCACAAAGGAAACAGAGCTAACCATGCTTAATTAGTTTCTTCAAGTGCTTACCCTTTTTCTCCAAATATACATTTGTGTTTCATCAATTTATCATGGTTTTCTCTTGTGTACTTTCTGATAAGGTTAAGAAAAAAGTATTCTTCTGACTATGCTGCCCAAAACTATAAGTAATCTGTGGATGATTGCTCCAGTGATAGTTAAGTTTTTAGCTAATCTGCAGAGATCTGTTACTTTGAATAGCTTACCTTTTTACAATAATTATCAAACACTGATGTTCCATCAGGTAAAACTGTTAGTACATGAGCTCGATTAATTGCTATAATTGCTCTGTCAATATACTCATAAGCCAAAAATAATTGTTCTCGGGGAGGTTGCTGAAATATATCCATACATTTGATTAATGAAGACAAAAGCGAGAGAAAGGCAATTAATTTTTGCTTCTAAGATTTTGTTTTAAAGACTACAGAGAAAACCAAGAGAAATAAAATAATATCTATTATTTCTAGTTGTTGAATGCCAGAAATTGTGAAACTTTAACTCTTAAGCAACAGAATTACATTCTGAGCAGCTATATCAAATACTATATTAAATACAGTTGAGTCGGTTAAAAATTACAGTAAAGCAGTGTTAACAACTTCAAGGTAAATCAATATGCTTAAAAGACTTAATGACGCAATTTATTTCTGGACAGGGGCACATAACATTTTAAAAAGAATGAGAGACAGAGGGTCCTCCCCTAAGTGGTCAGTGGGAGAAACCAGTTACTAAGGAGTAATGAGGAGGTATATAGAGTGTGAGAGCTCTGGCTGGCCTTGAGCTATTATTTAAGTGCTCCTGGAGTTTCCCCCTCACACTTTGCATTGTTAGATTGACGTATGGGGGTGGCTGGGTGAGGGCCAGAGACACCAGCCAAGGAGTAGGAGACAGGGGATTCTCTTGGGGCTTGGAATGGGATAACAAATTCAAGTGGTGACAGACATGATGATTTGGGAGCCAAAAGGCAGGCCCTTGCAGGGAACTATGACCCTGATATTTAATATCAATGGCATGTTCCAGTTCTTTGAGCTCACATCCAAACCCTGGACAGTGGACCTTTGAAGGCCTGGGCCTTCAACTACTGCTGATGAATGCCAGACTGGCTAACAAAAAGGCCCCGCCCCTCCATATTTGTGACCTCTCTGGAGAGAACAAGTCAGAGACCTGACTGACACCAGAGGGTGGTATTCCCCTCTCAAAAATATGTCCAGCCAAATTAAGGTTCTGCCCCAGCCAAGACCTAAGGGAATGTATATGCCCAATTATCAGTAAATCATTTCACCCTGTTGAAACTGAGGAAGTGGGCAGGGTCTTTGGAACTGTCAGTGCAACTATCTGCTTATTAGATCTTTGTCCCTCCTGGCTGGTGAAATCTTCCAAGACGGTGACATGCAGGTGGGTCTAGGTAATGACTAATACTGCACCATTTAAGATTGAACTAGATTGGCTCAAACTAGATAAAGATTCTTTTGTTCTTGTTTAATAGAAGATAATTCAATTTAAATTTTGGCTGTCCAAAAGATATTCTTAATAGCCATTCCACAGAATGAAAAGAATAAATACTTCTATCATCTCTCTTCCCCAATCACTGAAATAGTGGGATATTACTGATTCAGCAAGTGAAATTCTTAAAAAGGAAAAATCAGTTGGTCTATAATCTGGGAATTCCTCTCTACTTTGGATTTTTCTTGAGTTAGGAAACTAACATTTCACATCCTAAATTCTTATTTCTGGACTGAAACACAGCAAGTCTTTCCAATATTTAGTTATCTTCTCTTCTTCGGAATAAACTTTTTTAACTACAATTTTCATTTGGTGTTGTTTCAGTGGTTTTTTCAAAATTCTAAGCAATCAACATATATTAATCTATGGTAGTTAAGGGAAAAATACCTGTAATAATGAAGGAATGTTACTGGTGTAGTATTCTGAAAACAGAGAATCATCTTCTGCTAAAACTGCAGGAAAGGGAAAAGTAAAACAGAGATTTATAATAGGCCTGTAGTCTCTCATAAAATACCTGTAACTGGTTCTCAATTTGTAATTGAGTAACTCAGTAATTGAGATAGCAATAGCACTGTTATATACCGCTTTACAGTGTTTTACAATTACAACCCTCTCTAAGCAGTTTACAGAATCAGCATATTGCCCCAACAATCTGAGTACTCATTTTACTAACCTTGGAAGGATGGAAGGATGAGTCAACCTTGAGCTTGGTGAGATTTGAACTGCCAAATTTCAGGCAGCTGGCAGGCAGCAGAAGTTGCCTGCAGTACTGCATTCTAACTACTGCGCCACCACGGACATATTACATAGCCTAATGCCTACATATTTAAACTTTAAAATGTCTTTACTTTAGACAATAGCCTTGAATGGAATCACTTTTGCCAAGTAGCATTTTCAGCTCCATCATACCACAATTGTAAGTGATGTTCTTTGCCTCACTTGGTTTAAATGATCCAAATCAATTAAGGAGCCAGTTAGCTTATTCTTATTTTATTGGGAAATAAGGGAAGGGAAGCAAACTTGGTCCACTGAAAAGACTATCCAGAGCAAAGAGGTCATGGGAAGCAGCAACAGACATGGATGCATCACAACTTGTGTAACACTTTCATGACCAATACTCTAATAAGCCCAATCCTCAGCAACTACCAGCCTTGCAAGAGTTTAGCACTGCTCAAAATGGACATGTTCTTCTATGGTGTAGAAAGCATCTCAGAGAAAATACACCAAGGGAAAGTGACCCATCTCCTTCCACCTCAGGCATACAAGACTTTTCTCATAACCCACAGTTTCTTCTGTGAACATAGAAGGGGACATGGAGCCTGATGAGGAAAATGATGTAATGGTATATGGGAATGACCTTGGGAGATAGGACAAGGTGATGCAGGACAAGGAACAGTGAGACAAAAGGGTGCTGAGCCTGCAGCAGAAATGTGGGCAGGGCAAGAGGCTCAGAAGAGGCCCTCTGTAATTTCTTGGGCTATAAAGGAGATGGGGGGGGGAGGTACTTTCAAATGTGCAAGATTCCGTTAATGTACTTTTACAGTAGAATTAGCTCATCTAGTTATATTTTCTGTCTGGTCTACCACATAAAACTGACAAAAACAGATTGCAAGGTATTATTATTAGCATACTGATGACAGTTCATCCTATACTGGCAGATGGCATCTCCTAGCTTCTTCATATATATGTTAAATAAAATAGGGTGACTTTAATATTTTATAATACTACATAGCATTATATGTGTTGTCAACTAAATTGTAAAAACTATGTACCTGGCATGTCTCCAGATTTGAAATCTGCAATATTTTCCATCACTGATGTTAGCCTTAACGATACTTCAGCTATTAATACAGGATTAGTGATTCCAAGATTAATGGTGTGAATTACTTCATTAACTACATAAAGAATGTGAAGCCACTAGGCAAACAAACAAAATTAAACCCAGGGTTAGAAATTTATTGTAGAATTTACAAATAGGAAATAAATACAGTTAGTCTTCACCTTACAACAATTCATTGAGTGACTGTTCAAAATTACAAAGGAACTAAAAACTGACTTGTGACCATTTTTTGCACTTACAACTCTTGCAGCCTCCTATAGTAACATAATCAAAATGTGGATACTTGGCAACTGGTATGCGTTTACTTATTATGGTTGCAGTGTTCCAGAGTCATATGATCAACTTGGAAGCCAATTAACTTATTGTGTAGCTAACTTAACTGCAATGATTCCTTAACAACTGTGGCAAGAAAGGTTGTAAAACTCATTTAACTACTGTCTTGCTTAACAATGGAAATTTTGTGGGCTCAATTGTGGTTTCAAGCCAAGAAATACTATATACAGACATACCAATTTTGCTTACCCATAGTTTTTGGCCAGGCAATCAGTGCAATCACATATATCAGTTCCCACTTAGCCAAGGCAACTTTTCAAATTTTCTAAAGCTAGCCAAATTTCAGTTCACATATTCACCGCTTGCACATACACTATTTAATGAACTATCAAGAAATGGTATTTTAAGCATCCGTCAGTACAATGCATGTTCTCTTTGATTGGTAAGAGATAAACTATACGGTGATTTCAAAATGGTCTCTCTGAACTTAGCTTTCAGAGAATAATGTCAGCATGACTCACGTAAACTCAGTTTGGTCACACTTGTGATATACTGACCAAACCATGCCAAAACTATCTATCATATCACTACTAAGGAGTTCCAAATGTGATATGGTAATCTACTTTTTTCTTTTCCTTCCTAAAACTTATATAAAACCCTTGCTTGCCCATGATAGGTGGAAGATGGTTGAAGTATGAGAATGTAGTATAAATGAAAAATCTAAAATGCATTTAAGAAACTATGACCGCTGTCATTTAGAGTGATGTGGCTATGTATGAAAATAGGAATTCATAGGTTGGTGTCATTTGCATACTATTTTCTAATGGATGATAAAAACAAGAAGAAGTTTTTAAAAGAACTATATAACATTCTGAATTAATTAAACCTGATCAAACTTAGCCTGTAAAATCACATAAAGTGACAGGTAAAGACAAGGTAAAATAATTATTGGGCCCTTTGGAGAACCAAAAATGAACACTCAGTGATGTACCAATTGATTTTAAATACAGTTTGAGCATGTATTTGTAACTACTAATGGAAAAGGAATGAAACTTATAAGTTTCATTGATCTGATAAAATAAAAAAATTGAGGATCCCCTCAATTTTTTATGGTATCAGATCAATGAAACTTATAAATGAAGAATGTGAAGAACGAAAGCTTGGTTTCATTGATTCCATTCTTGGAATGTTTAGTGAATGGTTCAATATTGAACAAAACTGAATTCAAAAGTAAGTCACCGGTACAAAAGAGACATATTGAGATGGTCTAGTCATATGAATATATGAATCAAGACTAAAATGTAAAAGAAGTATATAAAACAAGAGTAAATGGGCTGAAAGAGGAAAACTGAGAAAGTTATGGTTGGATGAAATTTTTAAGATCTTCTTATGACAAGTTTAAAAAGAAAAAGGCAATGTGTGAAGTGGTATATGGATGTGATGGAAGCAACTATTCTTTACAAAAATAGAAATACTGTATATGAAGACTGTTCAGTGAATGGTGTTGATGTGAATTAGATTTAAATTTCTTTCCTTTCTTCTTTACCTGTTTAAATTTATCTTGTTTAAGCTTAAAACAAACATTTCCCAAACCTCCTTGTCAATTTCTTCTCTGTAATAACCTTTATTATACTACTTTCTTCTAGTTCTTCCAATTACTACTTCCTAAGGGGCTCCTTCTTTAAATCAAGCTGAACTGGAGCATTTCTATGTATGTTGTCTTCTACATGCTCAGCTTTTAGCTGATTACATATGGTCTCCTTGCCCTATAGCATTATCAGAAGCAAATTGAACTTAACTTTACTTACAGAAATTATCCTAGTTATACTAGGCAGAGTTTAGCAAGCAAATGCCCACTTCAAAATCAGTAAGTTAACTGATTATATGTATGTAGCTTCATATTGATCTATAAGTCTGTAAGTAAAACTTTATGATAAAAGATCACCTTTGGTGTTTGGTATTTATGCATGAATTTTAAGAAGTTACTTCCACTCATCTGGATCTTTTGAATTCCTACTTTACACTTTTGCCACAGAAACATGGTTGCATCAATTATCATTTCTCTGGATGGCTGGTGAACCTGAAAGATAAATATTTTTCAAATGCTCCTTAACAAATAGCTGTTGATAAGCAATAGTTATCAAATACTTTTCTATTTGATAAGTTATTTTTTTCGAAATGCCCAATCCTTGTTACTCCTTCAATCAGTTGAAAGACTTGCATATTTGCATCCCTCACAAAGTACATATTTAAAATGTGCAACTTTTAAAATATGAAAAAACTTCAGAAATCAAAACTATACTTCAATAGAAGTATTCCACATTATATTGATTCACATTATGATTTTGTAATATCTGTAAAAATATAGTGTTTTTCAATTTTAAATGTAACTATTTTAGTTTCTAATTTCAGATGCACTTGACATACACTGGTATTTAAAGCTAATTAGGTTTCACAATTTCTTCCAAAGTTACTCAGCTCAGTGCATACTGAGAAAATATTGAAAAAAATCAGAACACTTTCAGGTATTCTTGTCTCCTATCCACAGACTAACCAGTGCAATCATTAATACCTTCCAGTACCACTTAGCCTCAACATGTGCTAATTCAAATTGCACTTCATTTAGATTTTGATTAATGTAAGTAGGCAACCATTTTCATTGATAAATTATGGTTTGAAATTAACCACAGTTAAATAAACCACAGATTAGAAAAATGTCTAAGTCCAATATTTTTGAACTAAGTGGGCCAAAGAAGTTAAAATGGGAGGAATATTACTCATCTTGGACTATTTTCTTTTGTATCAAGGAGGAACACAAATCCAATAGAAAAGAATATATATCTAGTGCACAGTGGAACTGCTGGCTTTTCTTTTCTTTTTTTTTGGGGGGGGGGGGCTGGTGCTCTTGGAACCTGGTTATTTTCTTACAAAGGTTTCGTTACCAGGTGGGGTAATATCATCAGTGCAAAGAAGGTGGCAAACATATCTAATATTCCTTCCTTCTCCTATTTTCCCCACAATATGCCTGTGAGGTGGTTGAAAATCTTCTTAATCTCACTGCCCATGAAAAACTCAACCAAAGTTTCAACAAAGAAGTTGTTAACATTTTAGATCAAACTGAATACAAAAATGCTAGGGGGTAACTGAAATCAGGCATCAACAGAAGCATAGAGATAAACCACATTTACACCCCATTAATTTAACACTTCCATTTCACATACTTTAGATCAATGATTTTACTATACCTCTTCAGATTTACAGACAGAAGAATAAAGAGTCCTTGCCAGCAGAAAAAGATCATCAGTAATTTTTGGTGGTTGTACAGATCCTTCTGCAGTTGCAATTTATTTTAAACAGAAAAAAATATTAAGATATTAGTTAAATTCAATTTTTCAGTTTGTTAGGATTAGGTTGAAAATGATAATTATGAAAATGAAGTATAGTTTCAATTTCACATATTTTCTTTGGAATAAAACTAACAAAATGGGAATAAATTTATATCTAAGAAAATGCCAACTTAAATAAGAATTCATTTTTTATTTAGTAACAGCAAGTTTAAAGTATAACACATCAGCAATAATATTCTTTTTCTTCCAATCTTTTTTATTTCATCTTCTGTGTGAAAATATGAGTCTGTAATTTTTTTTCTTTTTAATAGAATGTAATATAATTGTTTGATCAAAACTAAAGTAAAAGCCTAATCCTGTTGTGCCATCAACTCACACGTTTAAGGTTTAAAATTGGCATTACCGCAGCATTTCTAGACTATTAATACAATTTACAACAAAATGCAATACTAATATACGAGTAGTGGAACCAGATCACTACTGCAACATATTAATGTAATGTTAAGAATTTAGAAATACCAAATAATGGACTATTTTATTTGTAAGAAAGACCATGTTTTAATTAAATCAATCAAATTTAGCAAATCACTCTAGTGGTAATCTGTAACCCACCTAGAAACCCTATATATTTTTTCCCTTGACTACGAAAAGCAGCTGTTTCTCGGATATTATCTCCTTGAACACACAAACCATGTCTTGCTTTTCTTATGGTCAATAAATTCTGCATTACAAGTAGTAGTTTGACTTCTGCTTTTGCTTTCTTCCATACTGGATTGCTTTGATTCTAATATAGAAATAAGAATACAGGGCTTATTATTTTTAAATAATGAAACTACGTGATCTATAATTGTATTATAGAACTGAATAAAACTAATAAAATTCATTACCTGAAGAAATGAAAAAAACACTACAATTGCATGATCAAATGAATCCCATTCCTCATAACTGAAGACTATCTTAATAAATCTTAATGCAGCATCTGCGGAAATACCATTTTTCCCTGTAAGAGTAATATAAACGGTTTAAGAATATTCCATTCTTCATAAACTAATAAAAACCCAGGCTGTTTTAAATTGTTACACAGTATTGGTCAGTGGGAGAAACCAGTTACTAATTTTGCTGCAACAGTACGTCTTTAACTGCTTTCATTAAGTATATCAGGTCACAATCAATTGGAACTTTTAGTCAAAGAATACACGAGAAGAGGTAATTCCTTGTAGAGGAAATAATGTTTCCTTAAGGCCTAGATTAACTATATTGTGGAAGAAGTATATAGTAATGTCAGGACATAGGTATATGAAACCCATATTCCATTCCATTTTGTTAATGTTATAAGGCATGGTTCACATTACAAGTTCTAGAGAACAACAACTTCTCTGGTAATTAGTGATTATCAAATGTCAGTTGCACCTTTGGCATTGTCTACACTATTTTTACATCTGAGATAAACTGGGCTTCACAAAATATACAAAATCAACATGCGGTTTGCTTGGTTATAGTATTGCAGATTGCAACCAATCATGATAAATTTTGGTATATGGTTCTATGAACCTAGCCAAGACCTTTATTTGCTTGCAAAAGCTCATCCACAATTCTATAGCAAAAAAACAAGGCCAAAATCACTGATATGGGGAAACCAAGATCTGATCTCTTTAACTGTGAAAACACAGAACTGCAAATAATGAGACAAAGGATAAGAAGGGCAACAATAGAAACCATTGTACAGCAAGAAACCATTGTTGCAGACTGCCTATCAAATAACGCTTTAGCTTAGACACAAGTAGTGACTCTATGATAGCTGACCCAGAACAAAATAGAGGACCAAATAGTTATTCTATACTACTGTATATGGATAATATGATAGATTCTCTGGGAAAAACAAGTGTGAGAAGAAACCCTAATGATAAAATAGCAGCCTAATTTGGGCAGAAAAGTATTCCTAAAACTATGGTCATAGAGCAATACTTAATGGAGGTGTCCTTGGCAAGCATTAGGAAGGAAAATACCTGACTCAGATATGGAAGATGAATGTTACCAACCCCCAGGACAGCAAACTTCTGAAGAGTATAGATACAGTAGGGCCGACTTAAGAAAAATGGTTGAAAATTGCAAGGTTCTCCAAAAACAACTAGTCTAGCAAGAAAAACCTTGCTTGTAAAACAGCCACTCCAACTAGTTCACTGTCAAATAGAAGCAGATGACTAACTAGTGATTGTGTACAGGTTATTGTTTGAATTCTTGATCAGAATTTCCCCCATTAAATGATGTTGCAAAGCACAACTTTATATAGCCACATCATTTAGAAACGGAAATCCCAGGCATTTTTGGTTGCCACTGTAATTCCAGACATGTGGGTTGTTAAGTGGGAACATGCAGGAATTTCAGAGGTGCAGGGCTACTGCAAAAGTTTGGGAAATTGCCATGGGAAGCTGGGGTAGTTTGGGAAGGACTTGTTAGGACTGGTGCAGGTCACATACCAGTCACAGAAGGCCAGGGAAATGCTGGGGTGACTGATACAGGCCACAGGGGAATCATGAGGATCTGGGGCAGAGCTTGGGAGGGCTGGTGCAAGTTATGCAGAGTTACAGGAGCCTGGCTTTCCTGCCAGTTTCCCTATTGAGCTTGCTCATGGGATACCAGCAGGGAAAGTCACAAATGGCAATTACATCACTGGGTTTTCCTGCAATGTCATAATTGCAAGTTGATCGTGTGACTGTGGGGTCATATATCTATTTTTTCAATGCCATTGTATCTTTGAATAATCTCTGAATGAATGGACAAAAAGCAAGGTTATCTGTGGTGGTGCAGTGGTTAGAATGCAGTACTGCACTGCAGCTACTTCTGCTGACTGACTGCTATCAGCAGCTCAAATCTCAGAGACTCAAAGTTGACTCAGCCTTCCATCCTTCTGAGGTTGGGTAAAATGAAAACCCAGTTTGTTGGGAGCAATATGTTGACTCTGTAAACTGCTTAGAGAGGGCTGTAAAGCAATGTGAAGCAGTATATAAGTCTAAATTACTATTACTATTGCTATCTGTACAGTAACAGTAACTTAAAAATCTGACAACTTATAACAATCAAAGCAAAGCAATCTTAAGTCTCTTTCTCATTCTTTTGCTTTTTTCAGGTACACTCATATTTACTAAAAATATATTTTCTCCAACATTACCTCTGCACTCAACAACACTTATATTATGTGAGTAACATAGCTGACTCACTTCCCACTGTACAAATACACTTGAAAATGAATTGTGAATAATGAATAATGTCTTCTCTCTTACTTAGCCTCATTTGCACTGGGCATTGCTGAAACTAATACCTTTATTTTTGCACTACCTCTTGTGTTCTGATTTTGTTAGTTTACATTCTGCTATAATTGTGTTTATACTTTGCACTTATAGTTTGTATTTTGGTCCTTCAAATGTTGATTGTTGATTCTTCGACTATTGTTCTCTGTGCCAACAGGTCATATATTATTTTTCATGTTTCAATATATACTTGAGAGCAATATAAACCAAGCAATTCATCCAGATTTACTGATTTAAAGGTGCCAAGAGAGGCTTAACCTACAAACTGGACACAATATATTTGAGAAAAGAAAGATTTACCTTGCCATGAGCCAAAATTAGCACCTTTACTCCAAATTACTAGTTTTCCTTGTACTGACCTGATCATGACAAGCATGTTATGAAATGTATGGCTATTGAATGAGTATAATAAATGTAATAAATGTATGGCTATTGAATAAGTATAACGAAGTGTGGGACTCCTTTATAGAAAATACAGCTGTTAACAAATGCATGATAATTATATAAATATATTAGATAGATATTTAGGTAGATATGTATATACTGTGCGCACAATTATTAGCCAAAGTAAGTATTTTGAACATATCATCATTTTTATGGATATTTTCCTCCTCAAACTGTGATACACCTGAATGCTTAGTGGATATTAAGCATATCAAATGATGTGCTTTTGTGTAATGAGGGAGGGTGTGACCTAAGGAGATCAACACCCTATATCACTCTATATGCATAATTATTAGGAAGCTTCTTTTCCTCAGGCAAAATGGGCCAAAAAAGATATTCAACTGATTATGAAAAATCAAAAATTAAAAACAGTTATTTCAAAGAGATGCAGCACTCTTGAAATTGGTAAGATATTGCTGTGTGGTCACACAACCACCAAACATTTTGTTGCAAATAGTCAAGAGGGTCACAAGAAACATGTTGAGGAAAAAAGACACACATTAACAGATTTGAGTAAAATCAAATGTGAAGCTACCAGGAACTTATCCTCCAGTGCTGTCATATTCCAGAATTGCAACCTACCTGGAGTGCCCAGAAATACAAGGTGTTCAGTACTCAGAAACATAGCCAAGGTAAGGAAAGTTGGAACCCAACCAACACTGAACAAGACACATAAACTGAAACGGCAAGAGTGGGCCAAGAAATATCTGAAGACAGGTTTTTCGAAGGTTTTATAGATTGATGAGATGAGAGTGATGAGAATGATTCTTGAAGAACTAGATGGATGGGCCCGTGGCTGGATCAGTAACAGAGCTTCAGATGCCAGAAATGTGGAGGTGGGTTACTGGTGTGGGCTGGACAATGCTCCATTGCATGCATTGCTGTATTCTACTGCGTGGCTAGCCAGTAAAGGCCTTAAAGATTAAAAAATAATGACATGGCCCTCTTCCTCACCTGAGGAATTCTATTTATTATAGCAAAATATTATACTTTATTTTATGGGATTTTCATTTTTTCTGTTGTCTATTTTTCTCTTTTTTAAAACTCTTGTCATGTATTTTTAATAATGTATTTTTGCATTTTGTTCCTTTTGTTCTTTTTCTGTTATTTTAAAAGCTACAAACATGTATAAAAAATAAAAATAAATACATGGTCACCTAAACTGCCAAATTACTGGTTATTTATTTTTCTTTTAAAAAGGCGAGTAGAAGATAATTTAACAGGTGTCGAAACATTTTTATCTGCAGTAAAATTATAATTATTATGACTTATCTTATAAAGCACTATCTTACATAAATATTTCATCATTTTAATTAAGCACTGTAAAATTAAAAATACCTGCTAATATCTGCTGCATAAGTGATGAAGTAGTTATTATTGAAGAAACTTCAGAAGTATTAATTGAAACATTGATGCCACCACCTTAAAAAAACATAAATCTTTTTAAATACTAAACATTATTTAATGCCTGTTCAACTCCTTGAGTTGACAAACCTGCTACAAGAATGTCTCTCTTCAAGCCTTGCCCCACATAGCCACTTTACTTTTGGCTTATAAACCATCTGACCAGCACAGTCTATTAATTCTTAGAGATTGTTAATGGGAATATCCACAAAACAGAAGGCCAAATACATAATAGTAGTTAAAGAAAACTAGATGCTAGATCAGGAGTAAGCTCACAAGCACATCAATAGAAGTCCCTCCCAAAGTTGCTGTTTCCTAGCTAAGTTCCCCCTATATGTTTTAGGCTTAAGATGTGCAGCCATGAGCAAATATATAAGAAACATTTTTAAAAACATGCACAGAGAAAGAAATCCCAAAATTGGCATAGCAACTGTAAAATCAACTTGAGGGTTTTACTGGTCTATTGAAAAAAAAAGAGAAATTAGATATCAAGAGTTCTCAAGCTTCATTCTGTTTTAGGCATATATATGAACACAGCATGGTGAAATGGTACATCTGAAGTCCAATGAATCCTACATTAGAGCCCTATCAATTAAATAAATGGAACTTCCATGACTGTTAAAAGGTTTGCAAAAAGCCCATTACTGGAGTTAATTTCACATTAAGTGCAGAGCTTAGCACAAGCAGTTTCATCTCTAAGACCCTATACACGTACCAGGGAAAACTAATTCAACACTATAGCAGTCAGTCCTGAAAGATAAATCTCTAGAATTTTTGTCATGGTGAAAATCTTCTGGATTATACTATAAACTGGTTGTTGCTAATAGGCTTGAGGACAAGGTTCAACTTAGACAATGAGATCATTTTCCAATAAGCACCTTTTCATTCTTCTATAATGTGGCAGTTTTCTATAATGTGGCAGTTGAAAGCCAAAGGGTATTTTTCAGGTCCAATTTGCTTTCTCTTCTCCAACAGAGGTAGAAATTATGCTTCAGCTTACCCATAATTTCTAAGCAGGCAACACTTATTTAAATGTTAGATACCTGGAAAATAATTTCCTATCACAATTTGACTTGTCGACCATGGAATACTGATCAAACCTCTGTCCCTTCTAACACTGAAGATGTTACCTAGTCTGATAATGAAACATTTGCAAGCAAACAACCAGGTTCAGAGAGCACCAAGATCTACAGATCAGCCTTGAGCTATATATATATTCTCTTCTATTGGTATCAGTCTGATTTCCCTAGAATATATAATATTCAATTCCTTAACCATCATAGTTATTGCTAAGAACCCTGATAATCAAAGTCCATACATCTGGAATGTGGCCTATTTGGGGAAAGTTAACCTCTGTTAATTTTGTAGAGTACCCAACTTTTATTTATTTTTCTTATCATTCTATCGTATGTTATATGTATATATACAATTACCATCAAGAATATCTGCGCCTGCAAAACAGAGTTCCGCAATAATATCACGCACTTCTATTTCATCGGGAACAGAAGGTCCAGGAATAAGGGTCCGTCTGTTTTTATCAAAGAGAGCTTCCATAATGGAAAAAAAAATCGATGAATTGCAATCAAATATTTCCATCAGCAACCGTTCTGTGATGGTACGAGGCCAAGGCAACTACAATAAAATAAAAACACCAAGATCAGTTTGTATTTCAAATAAATTGAACTATAGTAATGCATTTCTATAAAACAGTTACCATGACTGCTGAATCTTATACTGTAGAATTTGGTGTCAAGTAAAACTTGGCTTCCATTTTCAATCCATTATAAGAAGCAAAATGTAATAAATCTGATTCTTTAAAAAAATGAATTGTTGGGAGAGAAAGATAAAACATGCTGCAAATAATATGCACATGTATAACACACTATGCCATTTAATTATTAAAAGCCATGATTCTGGCCTTTATACCAATGGGAAAGACGAATGAGTAAGATTCAAAAGGCTAGTAGTAAAAGTTTCTATGGCCATGCACTGATAGCAACTGGTTCTCAATAGAAATTATTTTCTGGACTTACAGCCTTCTAAAAGCCAAATTCCCCTCTAGAGATCTATGCATCAGGTAGTGGTTTCAAATACATTAATGCTTATTTGCAATTTCAGACAGCAGAGAAAACAAGACCTGGCAGAATGAAGAGTTAGGTTTCAATGTAAAGATCTCTTTTTAAAGAGTTCCATTTTTCAAGAAGGGACAGAATCTAAAAGTATAAATAATATAAAGCCTTCAGTTGAGCCCCAAATCTTTTCAGTACAGGTATTCTAATGCTACAATCTCTATCTACTCACCTGAGAATAAGTCTCACTGAGCTCAAAGGGATTTATTTCTAAGTAGATAGACAGACGGACAGGTGGACAGGCAGACAGGAAGGCAGGTAGGCAGGAAAGCAGAGAGACATGAACGAAAGCCACCTTCATGAGTTCCTATTTCTGGCCAGGGCAAGTTAACATTCCTAAAACTTACATGCTGTGCTTCTTTCAGATTAGCTTTTATTCTTGGTCTCAGAACTCCTTTTGGTCGCCTTCTTGGTTCAAATACTGTTCTTTTAAAAATCATTGCTGCCATCTGGCTCAAAGTGAAGAAATGCATAATTATTATATTACTTCTGTTTTTAAATATGGTAATCTTTGTGAAAAATATGTACCTTCACAGTTGCTTCTTTGAATTTTTTCTTTGTTTCTGTGCTCAGAGGTGATGAACTCATAAACTCCATTTGCTTTAGTTCATCAATTTTAATCAAACCACGCCGTGCAAACACCTACAACATAATATACTCATTCATTTATTAAATGCACTCTGAAACTTTCGCATAAAAATATGTTTGAAATTTCCCCTTTTTAATAACGACACAACAGGTAGAGAAAGGAAATGGCAATACTGTCTGTTCATTTTAACCTAACAGTCCAACTGACGTTATATGGAATACTCCAAACCCTATCATAGAGTCAGATCGCAAGTATTAAAGGGAACAAGGCTGGGAGATGATTTTGGAAACGCTGGCAATACCTGGGATGCAAATGTCATTCTGCTCATTTGTCCAACTGATTGGACTTCATAAGCTAATAGACAGAGCAAAACTGGAAACACATTAGAGAGACTACATTGGGCAAATAACAAATAATGAATGGGGAAAAAGCAGATGAGAATTTAACCTATAGGTAGGATAGAAAAAACTTGTTTGATTAGTAAAACAAGCAAAAACAATCAATGCCCCATGGTAGCAAAAAGTTAGAAGGGACAAATAAAAATGATGGCCCTACTATTTAGAAAAGTAGTAATAAGTTGGTAGCGCACTGAAACCCAAATCTGATAACACTAATAATTCAAAACATTGGAGAGCAGAAAAAGGAAAAAGGCAGTTAATCTATAAAGAATGCATTAAAACCCTAAAATTTCATGTAAATGATTCCTATCCTAAATATAGACTGATAAATCCCAAATATTAATGTAAACTCTTCCTCTCCTAAATGAGGAATATAAACAAAGTAATCCCTTTTAGCTATGCTTTAGAGAGAGCAGCTCAAACAGTAGTATCTTTTAAATCTTTTAATAAAAGTTAAAATAGAGATTACCTCTCCATGAATACCTGATTGGCAATCATAATAACACTGACAGACAGCAGCATACAGAGTGGATCTCCATGTCAAATAGTGTACAGCTAAAAGTGGAATTGATGATTCCATACATAATGATGCCCACAATAAATATTCCAGCACCTATTAAAAAGTATCCCTTTATTAATAAACCAGACTGTGATTATTTTTTCTTTGATATTCTAATATATGCATTTCAAGTTATAGATCAAATTTTGACTACCTTTGGCTCCCAAGCTTAAGTGTATAAATCACATACCTTCTCCAGATATGTTGTTTGTTTCTTAAGTTAATACCCTTACATTCTCTTCTCAAATAGAACACAACTTCAGATTCCATCCTCCCTTCCCAAATTCAAGCATAAAATTAGGGAGTTGTGTTTTCACATAAAGAAAGTCCTAAGTCGTAGCTCAAACTTAAGTTTTAAATTGAAGGGAGGGACTGAAGGCTTGCTTTGTTTTAATGATAATTAGGCCCTTGGAGTATTTAGAATATAGAATTATACATATTCAAATCCGTCACTTAGAGCTGGTAACTAATAGTTAAGTACAAAGATAAGTTGATGGTTACCACTAACAAAGTATCCTCTTTATCAATACAGAAACAGCCCTTTTTCTGGTGAGTCTCTTTTTCTATTTTAATTCAGTATTGATTTCTGGTAACTGCTTTTTCTAGTTCCTGTAGTTTTCTTGGCCAGGCAGGGCAAGTTAAACTATATCATTCTCTGATATTTAATTATTCATTAAAATATCAGAGAATGATATAGTTTAACTTGCCCTGCCTGGCCAAGAAAACTACAGGAACTAGAAAAAGCAGTTACCAGAAATCAATACTGAATTGAAGGCACATGTGTGCATCCACACACCCACAGCCACCCACACATATATAATATGTATGTGTGCATATATTAATCATTACTAAATGAGAATACTTTTCATGAAATAATGACAGTATAACAAATATTGATCAGAAAAATATTAATTTTGCTACATTCAAAACAGAAATTCAAGAAAGTTAATTTATAATTCATGTATACATTTAGATACTAAAAAGAAAAAAAATCTATCATGTTGGTTAAGAGCAATTGCCTGGTCCCCAAGGGCAAATTAAAATTTAGATACTGGGAAAGAACTGATAATATTGCTCCTTTTATAATGAAAATTTATTGGTTTGGCTGATATTTCTAAAATTAATTTTTTTGTTTTAAATTATCCTGCATAGTAATGAAAGCAACTACCTTTTTAATCAACTCTTTTCAAATTAAAAAAAAAAATGTAACTGTGAAAAATAGCCACTAGATGCCGCTAGAGTTCAACCTAATACAATAAGAGTCTTCTATATATCCATGTATTTTTTATACTCTAAATAGCTCCATTATATTTTTATATATTAAGTAAATATTAAACATGTGAAAGCACAAAATAGTAAAAATATGTACAAACTAAATATATGGTATATTTTATAAATATTCCACGATCACATCTTTATAGTTCTGAACCCATTTTAGTTCTCACACTCTTAAGGCAAGTTTTATACTCTTATTTAAATATTATTATTTGCTTTTGAACTTCCCTAGAGAGCTACCAATCCTATATAGTCAGCAAAAAGAAAAAAGAAAGACAAATAATTGCTTTTAAAGAAAAAGGGATCCATGGCCAAACAAGTCCTCATTTGACTTTTTGTTCACAAATCAACCACAAATCAAAAGGAGCAAGATAAAATATTCTGAACCAGGTTGTTCCACAGCCTTACTGATAATATCATGCTTTCTCCTGGCATAAGATAAGAACTCTCTCAACAATCACAAAGGACTAGTACATATTCTTATAACAAAAACAGCATCACAAGTTATTTAGCCCAGAGGTCCCCAACCTTTCTGGCTTTGCAGACCGGCGGGAGAAAGGGAAGAAATGGTTCCACGTGAGTAACAGGCACACATACTTGCATGTGCAGTTCCATTTGCACAAGCGTTGGCACAAATGAAGCTTCACGCACGAGCGTACTTGTTGCTTGTGCAAATGGAGCTGGGCATGCAAGCGCGTGCTCCTGCCACTCACACAGCCCAGTTCCCAAACAGGCTACGGACCAGTACCAGGCAATGGCCCGGGGGACGGGGTTGGGGACTCCTGATTTAGCCCTTAAAGAGCATTTCAATGATTCACAGGAACCTTTTGGAGCTTTCCTCTAAGTTCAAATAATAATGCATATTTAAATACAAAGACAATAAAAATGTTTCATAAATCATACTTTAAAATGACATGGCAGTCATTTTGAAAATGAATTCCAAATTTTATTTCCTGTTTCTAAACCTGATCCCTGTCAAACAACGTTCTCCCCCCGCTCCCTTTTTTATAAGTGAATTTTCTCTTCTGGAGCATACACATCTCTCTTCCTAATTATCTCTATAGGTATGTAGGTTAAAAGTTTCCTATTCAAACAATAAGTTTTGATTTCTTATTATTATTTAAGGAATACACTTTAATAATACATATTTGTAATACAAATAAAAGTTTAAACATTCCACAATGTTAAATTTAAAAAAATTAATAAAAAATTATAATGAACAGTAATTTTAAAAGACAAGTAATTTGACAAAGAACAGGCAGACAGATACATGCTTATACTTAATTTTATGTACCTTAGCTGATTGGCCTATAGTCATCAAGTGCCTACATATGGTATACATATGAACTGTACCTAAAAGAAAAAACATTTTAACATATAAATGCCATAGTTCTTTATTGTGATGAATTGTGTATCATTTCTACAACTCAAATATCTTATGGATAATGTATACAACCTTATATATAATAAAATTCTTGATACCATATAATGTATCATCCTCTTAAAATATCTCAATAGTAAAGTTTTATGATACTTTTCCTAAACATTAGAATTCCAAAAAAACTCTATCCTCTCAGTTGTACACATTTTACATGCTAGTGTTAATATTTTTTTTAAAACCAGTATCCCATTACATTTCTATTAATATTGAAAATATGATACAGCAAATTATTAAAGGTAAAGAGAAATTGACACTCTCCATAAGATGATTTAATTGTTTAAAAGGAGTCGCTTCAAAACAAGATGAGTAGCAAACAAATTTAATAAATCAATAAACTCTCAAAATGAAAATCATGTTGAAATTTTGAAAGATTTCTTCAGTATGGGGCATAAGAATGATATTTAATATTTAGGACTGCATTTGGAGTTTTAAAAATGTAGCATACCATTGTAGACGATCCAACATAAATGTTCATGGGGCAAAGTCATCTGCATGATGAGTTGCAGTATGGTTAAGATGCCAAAACATGTTTTCACAGAGTCTTGATTTAGGAGGTTACTGTCTTTATCACATACTATTTTATAAAGACAAATATTCCTTGCTTGCAGAACATGGAGCTAAGATGAACAATAAGAAATTACCATCAAAATGTGCCAAGCTGATTTCTACAGCTTTTTCCTTTATTTTATTACCCCAGCCAAATAACAGGCTAGCAATACAGAGCAACTCTAACTGAGTTACCATAATTGGAATCATATCTTCTGCCTTTCCCCAATTAATGCATTTGGAATATAGTATGGGTCACATTCATAGCCTATTTCATGAACCCTGACCAATGCTAAATTATAGAAACATTAAATAACATTAACAGCTGTTATAAATACTCACTGTACGTGTAGCACTTTGATCTCTAAATCCATTTGGGAAAAAATTTGACTTTAATTGATGTGCATCTAATCCGTATTTGTTTATATTTATACCACTAATTTGTTGAAGATACTGCTCATAGCAATACAAAAATGCTAGCTTATGTTCCTGAAAACAAAAATAATATGTTTTACATATATTTTCCATTAAATTGTTAATAGTTATACACAAACAGGTAGGATAAAAATGCAATAATTATAATACTTGCTTGAAAATTAATTATATTTAATTCAGTTGTTTCACACATTTATTGAATATTTAAAGTTAAAAATTTACAGTTCAGTAAGCTCATATAACAATTGAATGCGCTGGAATTCTTTTTCAAGTAAGCAACTATTATGCTGTAAGTTAGGAAACCAGACTGATGAATACAGCTGATACAATACAAAAGATATTGGAATACTTTGTAATTTATTTAGTAGTTTTCAAACAAAATTCTTCTTTATTCCAAATAAGAGCAGTCTCAAGTAAACTTTAAAAAATACTTTCACTGAGAAGAAACATTAATAAAGACAAAATTAGTAAAATTATCCCTGCTGTTCATATTTCATAGCAACTGATACTAGTTGAGTTAATATACAGTAATAGCCATCATAGGGTTCATTGGCTTTGGATCAGTATATTGTATGTACTATGTTTAAATGGTTTACAATTTATGACTTGTTGCTGTGTAAACCCAAACACTTATGCTTATTTAGCAAAACAATTTAAGCTAGATTATGGATTAGAGTTAGACCTTAGGGTAAAGCATAGACACACTAAGAGGCATAATACCTTGAATAAGAATCATAAGTAAACATTCAAATTGATTTCATACAAATTTGTATTAAATATCAAAAACAAATATGAATAAAATAGTAAGTTAATATAGGTATCTTTAAGTAATATTAAATATATTCAAATAGTCCTCAAATTATGATGATAAATTGAGAATTTCCATCCCTAAGTGGTGTCATCATAAAGCACAACTGCATTGCTATTGACCATATATTGCTACAGAAATGCATGAAACCAAAGATGAATACCTCCTAGAATGCATATGGGTCAATATAAAAGAAAAAAACGACACGGCCATAGGCGTGTATTATAGGCCACCCAATCAAGCAGAAAAAATAGATGTCCTTTTTGCCAGCCAACTAACAAACATATGCAGGAAACACACAACAATAGTAATGGGAGATTTCAATTATCCTGATATCAATTGGAAAATAATTCTGCACCAAGTGAGAAATTAAATAAGTTCCTTACCAACCTAGCTGACAACTTTGTTGTCCAAAAGGTAGAGGCTGAAACTAGAGGGACAGCCATACTAGACTTAATTCTTACAGAGAAGAAGTGATAGAGGGAGTTGAAACTGCAGGAACCTTGGGTGAGAGTGACCATGTCATACTAGAATTCAACATAACACAAACACAAGCAACAGAACATAATGACACCAGAGTCTTGGATTTTAAAAGAGCTGATTTCAATAAACTCAGAGAGAACTTGGGAAAGATTCCATGGATGAAAATCCTAAAGGGGAAAACAACTCAAGAATCTTGGGAAACTCTAAAAAGTATGATCATAGAAGCCCAGACCAGCACAATACCACTGAGAAAGAAAAGCAAGAAATCCAAGAAGAAACCAGCATGGCTGCACAAAGATCTCTCTGGCAAATTGAAAGAAAAAAAGGACAAGAACAAAAAATGGAAAGGACATACAACTGGGGCAGAATATCAGCAGATAGCCAGAATCTGCAAAGACGAAGTCAGGAAAGCAAAGGCTCAGAACGAAGAAAGACTTGCAACAAAAGTCAAAGATAATAAAAAAAGTTTCTTCCAACATATCAATAACAAGAAAAAAATCAAGGAAACAAACGATCCACTAAACAGAGAAGATGGCAAGGAAGTAACAGGCAACAGGCAACAGGCAAAGCAGAACTACTTAACTCATTCTTTGCCTTTGTCTTCACGCAAAAAGAAACGATAGCTCAACCCACCAAAAGCATAACTGCAAAAGACAGACCAGAAATAAAAGTTAAAATAAGCAAAAAAATAGTAAGAGAACACCTGTCTGATCTTGATGAAAACAAATCACCAGGGCCTGATGGATTACATCCCAGAGTTTTAAAAGAGCTGGCAGAGGACATCTCAGAACCACTGCACCATATCTTTCGTTAACCCTGGAGCACCGGGGAACTACCAGAGGACTGGAAAAGAGCTGTTCCCATCTTCAAAAAAGGAAAAAAAAACAGACCCAGGAAACTATAGACCAATCAGCCTAACATCAATACTGGATACTGGAAAAGATACTGGAAAAGATAATAAAAAAACAGATCTGCCAACATCTAGAAACAATTAAGTAATAATTGGCAGTCAGCACAGGTTTGTTAAAAACAGATCCTGGCAAACCAATCTTATTTCATTCTTCAACACAGTGACTAAATTAGTAGACCAGCAAAACACCGTGGACATAATATATTTAGATTTCAGCAAGGCATTCGATAAAGTAGACCACAACCTACTTGTTAGTAAGCTAGAAAAAAGTGGAATAGATAGCACCACCACTAGATGGATTCGCAACTGGCTGGCAAACCATACTCAACGAGTAGTCCTTAATGGGTCTAAGTCTACATGGAGGGAAGTAAGCAGTGGGGTGCCACAAGGTTCCGTCTTAGGCCGAGTACTCTTCAATATCTTCATTAACGACTTAGATGAGGGAATAGAAGGGGAACTTACCAAATTTGCAGATGATACTAAGCTGGCAGGAATAGCTAACACCCAAGAAGATAGGCTCAAGATCCAGATGGATCTTGACAGACTAGAACACTGGGCCATATCTAACAAAATGAAATTCAATGTAGAGAAAAGTAAAGTCCTACACTTAGGCAAGAAAAACCAAAAGTACCCATATAGACTGGGTGAAACCAGGCTCAATAGCAGTAACTGTGAGAGGGATCTTGGAGTCTTAGTGGACAACCAGCTAAATATGAGCCAGCAATGTGCTGCAGCCACCCAAAAAGCTAATGCAATCCTAAATTGTATTAACAGAGGTATACAGTCAAGATTAAGGGAAGTAATAATACCACTCTATAAAGCCTTAGTAAGACCTAGAGTACTGCATCTAGTTTTGGTCACCACATTATAAAAAAGATGTTGAGACTCTAGAAAAAGTACAGAGAAGAGCAACCAGGATGATTAGGGGACTGGAGACTAAAACATACAACGAACAGTTGCAGAAACTGGGCTTGGCTAGTTTAGTAAAGAGAAGGACCAGGGGAGACATGATAGCGGTCTTCCAATATTTGAGGGCCTGCCACAGGGAGGAAGGGCTCGAGCTATTTTCTAAAGTGCCTGTAGGCCAGACAAGGAATAATGGATGGAAACTGAACAAGGAGAGATTTAACCCGGAAACAAGGAGAAACTTTCTGACAGTGAGAACAATCAACCAATGGAACAGCTTGCCGTCAGAAGTTGTGGGAACGCCATCAGTTGAGACTTTCAAGAAGAGATTGGACTACCATTTGTCAGAAATGGTGTAGGGTCTCCCGTTTGGGCGGGGGGTTGGACTAGATGACCTACAAGATCCTTTCCAACTCTGATTATCTGTATCTGTATCTGCTAAGTAACAACCATTACTTAGCAGATACAGAGCCAGCTGTCATTGTTAATCAAATCCCATAGTCATTAAACAAAACAACTTCTAACCAAGATTAGATTCCCCATCCAAGTCAGTGGAGAAGCTAACAAGGGCGTTGCAACTCCCAACCCTGCATGCAGGTAAGAGGTTGCTGCTGGATGGTAAAGGGAGCAAGGGAGTGTGCTGGTACAAGGGAGGCAGGGTGAGGGTCAGAAAAGGTGCATGAAGGTACAAGGTGGTGCATGGGACAAGTGGTAGCAGCAGGGAGGGTGTGCAAGATTACAAGGAGCTGAGTAAGAAGCACAGTGCAGGTTGGAGAGAGTGCATGAGGGTGTGGGGGGCATGAGTGCTCAGTGAAAAGTGAACACAAGGGAGTGGAAAAGGGTGCAGGTGGACTGTGACTTTCTGTGGAAGACAGCAGGGAAAGTTGCAAATGGCAATCATGAGAGCACTGAAAGTGATCATGAGCGTGAATCAGTTGCTAATCACCCAGATCGCAATCGTATTGCCATGGGGGTGCTGGACCAGCCATGACCACCATTTGTTCAGTGCCAGTGAAACTTCAGACACTGAACAAATGTCAATAGGTCGAGGACTACCTGTACACAGAATGGAAGACACAGGGCTCAAAATTAGGAATACAAAATCATATAGTAGTTTTCCAAAATGCACATCATGTAAGACTGAGCTGAGACAATTAAATCATCTTTAGATTATAAGGAGGCAGTGCAGTGTGAAATAATTTCAGATTTAAAAAATATTTCAATCAATGCTTATCATTTTAAGATAGTATGTTTGCTGAAATTAATACTTAAAATATTCTGCATATACTATAGTTTGTTTCTGAGAAAAAGTGGACATTTCTCTTAAAGAAGACCTGTGGAAGCACGGTTAAAGAAATGGGTAAGATATAGTAATTTTTATCAATTCCTTTTTCTTCTTGCAACTTTCTACCATTATTCCCATCTGTTTCAGAGTTCCCTAATATTCAATAAAACCTCCTTCTCTTTACAGCAGGATCCTGTTTGCATTTCCCATTTCCTGCTATGTATAATATATATAACTGAACCCAATGAATTAAAATGAATTAAAATATTATATATGAAGCATCATTTTGCACAAGTTGATGAACACTCATGCCTACACATTTAGCAAAACACTGATAAAAGTGATTCATCAGAATCATTACTTACTTTCATTTCCATAAGCTGATCACCAATTTTTACAAGTGTTTCATTGTAATACCAATCTGGGAGTCGAGACCTATAGTTGTTCCAGATATTGAACAAAGAAGTGGTTCTAAATAAAAATTACAACAGGAAATCACTTATTGAGAGGTATGGTAATAATCTTGTTGGATTAAAATTTTTAGAATGGCAATAAGATAGTAGAGCAATATTTTACTGGATTTCCTAAATATATCAAGAACAAAAACTGTTTATAAATGTTTATAAAGTAACATATATTTAACTCATATATATTAACACCAGTTTTGTGTAGTGGCTAAGCCACAAGCTAGAAACCAACAGACTGTGAGTTCTACTCCTGGCTGAGACACAATGATAGTAGGGTGACTTTGGGTCAATTGCTTTCTCTCAGCCTTAGAATATGGCAAACCACTACCGAAAAATGTTGCCAAGAAATCTGCAGGGACTATTCCAGGAGTTAACTCTGACTTGAAGACCAAAAAAGTTATAAATAGCAGTAACATTTATAAGATATCTGAAATATTTTAACCTATTAAATTATCATTTGATTGATATATTGTCTGTAGCAGTTTTAGACACCATAAAATATCAAAATACTATTTCCATAAAACCTCCTTGAGATCTAAGTAAAACAGTAGATTATAATGTAGAAAGTTTATGAGACTAAAATAGTAACAAAAGCTGGAAAAGCAACAGAAGCAGTCAAAGAGATCTAATAGAAACAAATACATTGCTAGAACTCTGAAATCAAAACATAGTTTTATGATGACATGCATCACATAAAGATTAAATCAAACTGGGAAGAAGAAAACGACGATTAAAAAAGGATAGCAAATAAAAACATGCAATATCTAAAACACTTCCCAAATTATATTACTATAACATGCTCTCCATGAGACGTTTATGAATGCAATCAGGGGTCTACAACTGCATATGCAGTTCTGGGCACTCTGCAGTTTGCCATCTTATACCACTGTGTGAGATGAACTGGCTTCCAATTTTCAGGTGCAATTCAAGATGCTGTTTATTACCATTAAAGAGTCAGATTATTAGAGGGACTACTACAGGGCTGTCATACTCTCGGCCCATGGACTGGATGCGTCACATGTTGGCCATGCCCATGCCCATTTTAGTGAAGGGGGAAAAAGTCCTGATATGTCACATGACGCCATGATGACCTGAGTTTGAAACCCCTGGACTACTACTTTCTGAGATTGTCTGCTATTCTGAGAATGTCTGCTATTCCTGCCAACCTTTTGGACCTCAGGGACAACCAAACTCATAATTTTAGATCCCGGGGACCACTAACCGGTTCTGTAGGCATGGCCTAATTTGTGGGTGTGGCTTGGTGGTCATGTGACTGGCTGGGCATAGCTTGTATGTAAATATTATAAATATTTGTATAAATATTGAATTTTTTATTTAAAAAAGAGCAACGTTTACCCAAAATCAGGCAAATCAAGCAGATTGAGTTGCTCACAGAATAACAGATTCATTCAGAGATCTATCTATCTGCCATTGGCTAGCTCAGTCTGTCACATAAAATTTGCTTGCAAGCAAACTCACAAAATTAGCTCACAACACACCAAGCATGTAAATATTGAATTTTTTATTTTTTTAAAAAAGAGCAATTTTTACCCAAAATTAGGCAAAGCAGGCAGATTGAGTTGCTCACAGAATCATTCAGTGATCTATCTATCTGCCATCGGCTAGTTCAGTCTCTCAAATTTCCTTGCCATGAGTCTGCACTGAATTTGCTTGCAAGCAAACCTTCAGTCCTAAGGGAGGTTTGGATATGCTGAGCCGAAGATCTAAAGACTAGCTAGAAAGCAAGAAATCCAACCATTTCCTGCTTCCTGGCTAATCTAAATCTCCTGGCACAGCAGAACAGATGAGGGTCGGAAAAAAGAAAAATAGCAATTTAGTAGGCAAGTTTACAGGTAAGGAATGAGTGGGCGGGGAGGGTTCCCTCAGGCCATGTGGGCAGCGCAGCCTTGTGTTTCTGTGCAGCCTGGATTAATTGCTTTGTGGGGGTGCTCTAGGGGACTGGAGACTAAAACATACAACAAACGGTTGCAGGAACTGGGCTTGGCTAGTCTAATAAAGAGAAGGACCAGGGGAGACATGATAGCAGTTTTCCAATATTTGAGGGGCTACCACAGGGAGGAAGGGGTCAAGCTATTTTCTAAAGTGCCTATAGGCCAGACAAGGAATAATGGATGGAAACTGAACAAGGAAAGATTTAACTTGGAAACAAGGAGAAACTTTCTAACTTTCTGACAGTGAGAACAATCAACCAATGGAACTGCTTGCCCTCGGAAGTTGTGGGAACGCCATCAGTTGAGACTTTCAAGAAGAGATTGGACTGCCATTGGTCAGAAATTGTGTAGGGTCTCCTGTTTGGGTGGGGGGTTGGACTACATGACCTACAAGGTCCCTTCCAACTCTGATTATCTGTTATCTATTATTACAGTTTGTTAATTTGCCTAATTCCACTCTATGGAATGTCTATATCAGGAAAGCTTTCAAATCTGTGGTTTGCAACTTTTTAGAAGAATCCAACTTCTAAAAACTAAAAGCCTCTTTGTACCAATTCAACAAATAAAAAATATAATTGAAATTGGATCTGTAAAAAATTGTAAGTCTTCATGTGCAAATACAGCTAATCCTTATAAGAAATACCTAGTATGGCTTTAGTAACCATACTGAATGCAGCAATCAAATAAATTAATTTTAATAAAAAATCAAATTATCTTTCTTTCGTCCTCCACTTGTAAAGCTCCTCTGCTTTTGGAACTGTTTCACAACAGACTAGAATAAAATATCTCACTGATGGGAAGAAACATCACTTGATAAATTTTCTTACTGCCTAAATACTCCAGACTGGAATGGTGGAGAGGAGAGGAAATGACAATTACAGCCTCACACTTTAAAAATTGTTTTCCATAGTGTTAAAGGTAAAGTCTCCCTTGAGTCATGCTGAACTCCTGATGTTTATAAGATGTGTTGTTTTCTTGATAACAATCAGCGGGTTTGCCATAAGCTTTTCCGAAGGTTTTTTCGCTTTCCCGGGAACGCTTAGGGTCCGGGGACTATTTGATACTTTCCCACCCGAATATTAACGATGTCCAACCCTGCTTAGTTTTTCGACAGCCGCCGTTTAACAGGCTGGCATACAAATGCAGGCGAGTTACGTTGAATCCGCTCAGTAATCAGAAATTTCTACAGGGAAGGACGGAAAAGGAGGGAGTCGCCCAGGGGAAGGAGAGGGAGGCGAGGGGCTTTGGCCACCTTTCCGCTCTTACCCTCGCCTGTGCAGCTCTTGGTCCTTGGAGCTCGCGGCCCCCGCTTCCCGTTTCCGCTTGAGGAAGCCCAGGCAATCGCTCAGGTCGGACTCGAACCGGTGAACCACTGGGTTTCTTGGATCCACAGAGCCGTAGAAAATGGCGGGGGCCGGAGGAGGCAGAGTCGGGGATCGCGCCCTGCTTTTGGGAAGCTCGGCCATGGCGCTTCCCTCGCTTTCGCCCCTCCTGCTCAAGCAGCGGCACGCGGACGGTTGCTAGGAGACAGGCCAACAGGCAGAGCGAGCAAAGGGGAGTGGGGCAGGAGGACCTCGGGGCGGGGGGAGCAAAGGGAGGGGCGGGCGCTTTCTTTGTCCTCCCGGGCGCTCGCGGGGTACCTTCTTCGGTCGTGGTGCGTTGCATCCCAGCATTTCGAAGTACGGTTGTGGCCAAGTTTTTGTCCGTGACCATCCAGTGGGCTCATGGCAGAATAATTGTTTGCATTCCCACTCTGTGAGAAACGCGAAGCAGCGTGTTTCGTTTAAAAAGTGCATGCTTTTTCAGAAGTTGCTCCTATAAACGGGACTTAGCGGAATACTGTATATTTCAGGATATCTCCCCCACTAATAGGGTACAGAAATAATTTTTGGTTCACCAAATTATTCATCGAGTTTTTCTAGATATTCTTGCAAATGAACACTCAGCTCCAGAATGCAGTGTTAAAAGTTAGTAGGGAAATCTTTGATGTGTAAATGCATCCTCCACTTAAGGAACACAATTGAGCCCAACATTTCGGCTGCTAAGCAAGACAGTTGTTAAATGAATTTGACCCCGTTTTACAATCTCTCTTGCTACAGTTGTTAAGTGAATCACTGCAGTAATTAAGTTAGTTGCAAGGTTCTTAAGTGAATCTGGCTTCCCCATTGACCTTGCTTGTTAAGAGGTCACAAAATGGTCACATGACACCCAATACTGCAACTGTCATATATACATGCCAGTTGCCAAGCGTTCAAATTTTGATCATGTGACCAAGGGAATGTTGCAACAGTCATAAGTGTGAAAAATGACCATTAGTCACTTTTTTCAGTGCCGCTGTAACTTTGAATGGTCACTAAATGAATGATTGTAAGTCGGGGACAACTTTCATGAACAAACCAAAGCTACGCATTGGGCTTTGTTACTGATTCTAAAATTCTATATTGTGAAATGCTCTTAAAATATTTCCTACAGGTCAATCTTTATAAGCAGGACAACAGGTGAGAAAGCCATGGGAGAATGAAATGAAATAGCACTCATCTAAACTTCCTAGACAGAAGTCCGCAACTGAAGACCACACAAAACCAAGCATTTTTTTAAGCCATGGTAGATAAAAGTATAACACAGTATTATTTTCGACCTAATAATGATGATAAATAGAACCATGCTGTATTGAAAGCACAGTAACTCTGAGAACCACAGGACCAAATAAATCATATGGGATAACATCTTTGTGTGCCCTCATTTTTCCATAACACAATGTCCCATGAGTCAAATATTATTATTAAGAAAAGAAGCGTGTATATAGGCCTGGTTGCCACCTAGAGGTTAAAATTGTTTCTTCTTACCCAAAAGGGAGGGGGCAAAGTATTTTGAAGGAAGATAATGGGCTATTGGGACATTCAATGGATAAAAGGGAAAATAGAAGAAAAAATAGCTCTGATTTCAGGAGGTATTTTGAATGAAGATCTGGAAGTGTAGTTATTCCAGAATAGAATTTGCTACCAAATAAAGTTGTGGTAGAAGCTTTAGGCGATATTTTTTTTATTTAAGTGCCTTTAGTTTTATGTATAGCAGCAATTTGCTTTTATAATATATAATACAGTCCTTCTGACTTTTGAATTGCTCATTGGGGACTAATATTTTGCCTGCAACTGTTAACAGCAAGAACCAATCATCAGGTTTTCCATTATACTGTAATCACAAATCTGACAATAAAATATAAAGAATTTCTTACTTTGTTCAGTGTGAATGACTGGCATTCATTAAAACAGAAAGTGGCAGCAAATAGTACCTGTAACTAATTGTGTAGAAAACTGGGATGGCATCTGTGCTCTTGATTGGCACATGGCCAGAGAAAAAGCTAGAATTTCTGGGAAGCCCAAAAAATAGGTGGGGTTTGAGCCAGACAATTCAGGCTTCACCCTGATACATGAGACACAGGCTTTTTTGCCTTTGGCATTTTATGCCAGCAGTGCAATTCTATGCTATATATAAAGACAGAACCAGAACTAAAATTTGATTTACTTTCATTTAATTTTAATTAAAATCAATTCAAAACTATATTACCCCCATATATTTAATAACTTCATCATATTTTCAAAACTTCAGTTCTATAGCAGCTCGTAGTTATCTCTCTGAATATGTACTTATTAATATTTCATATTTATTGGGGATGAGTGTGCATGCGCTTTGGGCACTACCAAAAAGGTTAGCCATCATATAAACAATACATTTATTGTGTTATATATATTTACAAGCTAAATTTATGTTATATTGTATATAACATATGTTAAAGACTTGCATGTTACAGTGACTTATTCTATATCTTACACTATAGAGTTTATCCAATGATATGCATATTCACTGAAGAGAACCAGACATTAAATGGCATGTTTTAAGCTGCAATAAGTATTAGTATATTCAATCAGAAATTAGGTCTGAAAACTTTGCTAAGAACATGTCTAATTAGCCATAGTTGGAAGTATAATATTTTGAGTAATATCAAAAAGGAACAACTATAAAGCAGCCTTGGATTTTTTTTCCCAACAATGGCAATATATATAGTGTATGTATACACTATACATACACATATTATGTATGCAAGTATGTATTATGTATGTATGTATGTGTATGCAAAGAGAATAAGAGAGTTGAGGGTAATTGAAATACGTATGGTCAAACATATACCTTGGCTATTCTGTTACTCAACATTTACTTTTTAATTTTTCAGATTTTAACAACCTATAGTAAGGTACTTCCTATATTATTATTATTTAAGACCAGCTTAATATATTCCACAAAATACAGTATAGTTAACTATAAATAGTAAAATAAGTAACAAAAACAACATTTGTCTATCTATAAATACAGGGAAACATTAAATGACACAGACTCTTTTGTTTGGGTTCTTCTTACTCTGTCAGGTTTCTTCATTTCAAACCTAACTGTAAATACATTCTAGTGAATTTTAAAGATTGTTTTGAGTACCAGCTGGACTTAATAGTTCTTGTATTCTTTAAAAAAAATCCATGCAATGCATTCACTGTTTCAAGATGCTAAAAGCATTTATCCACAATTATTTTGTTATGCAGAAATTGATTTTTTATTGGCTAGGACCAGTTCACCCACTGCAATAAGTCATTTCATGGTCTATTTAACTGACATATGTTAAGCAGTCAACCATGACTTACAAACTGCACTGTTTGGGTTTACACAATACATTAAGCCAGTATAATATAGGGTCTTAAAAAGGGAGTTTGCTAAGGATTGGACTAGAAATGATCCAAATTCTCTCATGGAATCTCACTAGGAGGACTTTGAGCAAATCACTTGCTTTAGTTCCGTGGTGTCGATCCTATGGCACATGTGCCACATGTGACCCACAGAGTCCTCTCTGTGGGCATGCATGCCATCACCCCAGCTCAGCTCTACCGCACATGTGTGCATACTGGCCAGCCGGCCTTCAGGTCTCTGCCGCGCATGTGTGGAGGGGCATATGTGTGGGGGCTGCAAACCTTGCATTTTTGGTATGTGTTCATGTGTACACATGCTTTGGGCACTGGGGCCCAAAAGGTTTGCCATCAATTATTTAGTTCAACACATCTCACCGTGTTAATATTAAATAAAATTAGTAAAGATAGCCCTATCTCTGCCACTTCGTGCCCTTGAAGTGAAAGCAAAACATAAGAAATAATTAACCCCAACCAAATAAATTATATTAGGACTTAATGCAATGTGTGAGTCGAATCAGTGTTGAAATAGCTTACATGTGGAACACATGTAATTTCTTCTAAAATTATATCCAAGCAATTATATTCTGCTCCTTGGAATATAACTTGAATTAATCTACAAGTAAGGAACCAGGAAATTATACATATTTGTTTGCATACCCATTTTTATTAAAATAAACAAAATGCTTAACATTTGGGAATACACCCATAAAGTGCTGCCTTAAAATGAAACTTCTAAAAAATTATGCTGATAAAAAATTGTTCATTTAAGAACAAGGAATTCACTGAAAGACTCCTAATGGACTTTTTTTTAAAAAAAAACCAGAGCACTCAGTCTTCAGTAATGGCTAAAGGTTAGTTAACACTGCTTACCAGATCAGGCATAAAAAAATACTTCTTAAATATATAATGCCCATGAATATTTTTTTTCTTTTCTGTTTTTTACACAGTATAGTTATAGCATAGACTTAGCATCAGACACAGCAATAAATATCAGTTCTGCAAAAGTTTGGTTTTACATTCATAAGCAGTATTTGCAAGTTCTTGGTGCTATCATAATTCTGAACGACAAATATTTCCCTGACCCATGTTTTAAATCTCAAACATTCAAGTCAATAGATTGTCGGCTATTCTTTTTCCAGTCTGCACAGTTGGAGGTATTTGTTTCATGAGTACATCATGGTCCTGCCTGGCCTTAGCAGTGCTAATTCCCATTTCATCTGTTTCAATCCTTACAAGTAATAACCAAACAATGGTAAATCATTTTAATTTACCATTTCCAGATGAAGATACCAAAATAAAAATACATTTATATTACTGTTTTTCTAACATATTGGGTAATACTGTATTGTTTTTCTAAGTTATTTGTTTCCAATAGTCATCTTGTTATTTCCTGTAGCTGCAAAAATTTGCTGGAGGTGAACTCAGTAGCATGAAAGGGCCAACAATATATCATTCCCAAGCAGTTTGTAGATGACTACAGGAAGGAAAGAAAACCTGGAGTCACATAGTCTATTGTTACTGGAGAAAGAAAACCATGATTCTCTCAGACATATCTGTGCAACTCATGAATGGCAAAGCTGAGGGCATTAGTCATGTATTATGAACTGCCAGATATTTGACAACTACCACTTGATACCAATCCCTTTTTTGTCAAGAACAATAGATGGCTGGTGGGATATTGAGATAATGGGTAGGAAGGTCCATCTTGGCATCTAAAGAATATAAATGTGCTT